CCCCCCCCCTTAACATCATCACAATGGCAGCTCCTGAACTCTGGGGTGGACACTTTCAACTAACATGGCACTGAAACCTGCTTCCTTAGACCATGGCCTCTCTGTTTAGGTAATCTTGTGTGTGGTGCATGTGTATGGATGCCAGAGGAGGATGCCAGGCCCTGCTTTACCAACCTCACTTTATTCCCTTGAGACAGGTTCTCTCATTGAACCTGAAACTAGGTTGGTAACCAACATACCCCAGAATCCTATTGTCTGTCCCCACAGCACTGGAGTCATAGATACATGTTGGTATGCCTGGATTATTTTGTGGCTTGAGGGATTCAGACTCCTTATGTTTATGCAGTAAGACTTTTTGTGCAGTGGCTCACCTCCCAGCCCTCCCATGTATTTGTGAGAAACAAACTACCCCAAATTTAGTGGCACAAAAATACAATTATATTGCCACTCATGATTTTATGGGGTAGAAACACATGCAGGATTTGACTTGATCTCTTCTATCCTGAGTGCTGCTGGCTGCAGTATCTTACTAGCTTCTCCTGGTGGCTGATCAGTTCTGGTGAAGAGATTCAAGATGAGTTCACTCATGCATCTGGCACCTTGACCAAAACACCTGTGAGGATATTCCTACTTGGGCACTTTCCCCGCTTCATGAGGTCTCAGAGACTCTCTTAGAGGTCTCTTCATTGGGCCGGGCAATTGGATTTCTTCCATGACAACTCAGGGCTGCAAGAGATGTGGGACAAGCGTGCTTATCTTCTCAAGCTGGGCTCAGGAGCGGCATTGTGCAGTCTGTTGACCAAATCTATCATAGGCCATTCAGACTCAACGGGAAGAGCCACCTCCACCTCTTTGTGTCAATCCTGATAATATTAGGCTCTAGGTTTACTTTTTCTTTCCCATTTTAGTATGGAATACTTGTTTATTTCTCCTCTTCTATCACTCTTAAATGTCAAGACAAGTAAGAGCTGAGCAGAGTAGAGACTCATTTGATTTTAAAACAGGGGCTTCAGGATTTGATTTCTCTGCACCTGTGAGTTCAGTCATCTGTGTGTTGGTGCTAAAGCCTAAATCCAGTTACCCCGGACCCCATGGACAAAAAGCCTGCAGATAATGAATGCCTTGTATAAATGATGTGCCATTCATAGAGCACTGCCACATGTCTTCCTTTATACTACTAGACTTACACTCCTAGTCATGGTTAGATTATTTGAGCTGCCTATTCTAATGTAAGTGCTAGGTAAAGAATTGTCATGTTCTGTGTTAGGGGATAATGACAAGAAAAATAAACTGTGTTCAATACAGATGTCCTTGTTTAAAATATTTTGATCCAAGTTTGTTAAATTCTTGGACGTGAAAGCTTGTGGATACAGGGGGCTGAATATATGTGTAGTACGTTAAAAAGTAAAATGGCTTTACATTTTTTGTCTACATTTTATTAGTTACTCAGGAGTGTGCCTTAAAAACAATTCATTGTGTGCTGCCTCTCAATTTCATTCTTTGATTTAAAGTGTTTTGTTTTCTCCACATATTTTGATTCTTCTTTCTTGGGTATGTGCCATATCTGGCCTGTGATATCTTCCTTGTGGACTGCAGGCTTCGTATCAGCTGGGAGGCTGTAACCCCAGGACTGAGTTTGGGGAGCCTTATCGAACATGAATGCTGCTATTTACACATTGTTCTTCTCCTTTGCTCGTCTTCAGTGATTTTTGTGAGCTTACATTTCAGAAGCATCTGCTATAGGGAGGTTTTCCATTGACTTGTTTCTTTAACTATAATTTCCTTTCTCTCTCTTTTTAGCACATTAACTGTCTGAAGCACAGGGCTTCATAGTGGCGTTTGCCTACTCACTCCCTCTGCTATATTCTCATCCCTCTTCCTCTTGTGTCCTCCCCCTTCACATCTTAGAGAGTTCCCCTTTCATTTTTATGTCCTTTCCCCCATTAATTCCACACAGAAGAGAAAATGTTCAACACTCACGTTGGTGAATCCTGTGTCTTTGTTTTATTTGTTTATTTTTTGAGGCAGTGTCTCATGTATCCAGCATGGCGTGACCTTGACTTCACGGTAGCTGAGGATGACCTTGAATTTCTGATTTTTCTAGTTCGGTACCCTAGTGTTGGGATTATAAGCCTAAGTAACAGTGCCTGGACCGTGGTGCCAGGGACTGAGGCTAGGGCTCTGTTGCACGCTGGGCAGGCACTCCACCAATTGAGCCGCAGCACCATGAAGTCTTTAGCTTTTCAAGCCACACGCTAGCTGACATGACCACTTTCCCTAAGGATTTCTTCTTTCTGCAGGAGCACCACTCTCTCTCTTCCTTCGCTCCTTACGGGGGACTGAAGGTTTCCTCCCCACCCTGGTTTTCCCTCCCTGGTGTGTTAGTAGTTACTGTCTGGGCAATGTCTGCTCAACTTTAATCCTCACATTGAACTTGGTGTTTTGTTTCTGAAGCCTACGTTCTTTCTGTGTGCTTTTATCCTCCCAAGTCACTGTTCTGGTGCCATAGCGTCCCTCTGCAGTTGTTTCCTAGGTGTCCCCTACCTTCAAAGACCATTCCCTGTGAATCCTGCTTGGTCTCTCCTTCCGCTGCTCACTATTGCTCAGCTCCACTGCAGTAGCTGGTGTTTCGAGGTCGACCAACAGAGGCCATTTATGTTCTTGTTCCTTTGTCTCTCTGATCTTTGTTCTTTCCAGTTTAGTGAAAAAATTATTAAGCTCTGGTTATATATAAAGCCACCCCGCTTAACATCCTTCCAAGCACCTTTGCCTTTTCCATCTGTAATCTGTTTCATCTGAGTATGCTTTGAAAGGAAGGAATAAAGCCACAACTTCTGATTAAAGTTTATATCACAGTAAAATTGTCCCCGTAGGAATATGGGCCACATGTAGATGCCTTTTTTTCCCCCACTTTCCAAACAGATTGGGCATTTTACTTCAGAAATTTAAGATCTGGAATGTTCAGAAAAAATCTACAAGGTTTTGGGTACCAACATGATGCTACAAGTGGAAATCCTCATGCAATGAAACATTGTTTCATAGAAAAAATATTTACACATATTTCACAAGTGCTGGGGATCTAGTTGGGTGGTAGAGTGCTTGCCTAACATGCAGGAAGTTCTAGGTTTAATGCCAGCACTGCAAAAACAAGCAAGCAAGCAAGCAAGCAAGCAAGCAAACAAACAAATAAAAAACAGGCAGGGGGGATCCAAAAAGCATCGCACCTTCAGGTTATGTGTCTTACCTATAAAAGCAGGTGAAATCTGTGTTTAGAGGGTTCTATCTTCAAAAAATGTTATCATGTAAATATAAATAATCCAAAAGTCTGAAGAGGAATCTAAAATTGAAACCATTTCTTGTTCTTGTTCTAAGCTTTTTGGATAAGGGATACTTAACCTGTATTGGCTGTCGGTATAAAAATTAGTATTCAGTTAAATGTAATTATTCATATATCTCACTATTTTTTAACTTGACATCTGCTAGACATTGACATATTTTCATTAACACATATCTAGTGATACTCATAGGAAAAAGAAATGGACAAGTTTTGGCTTTGATTTCTCAATTGTTAAGAAGCCCTTGGCAGGGTTTCACATCTGTAACCCTCTACTCTGTGGATTCTGAGTTCCATATCTGTAAGGCATTGTGACAGGATGTATTAGTCATCCCCTGCTACGTAGCAAATTATCCAAAAGATAATGGTTTAATGGAACAAGCCAATTTTCTCAATTGAAAATCTGGCTGGCTTTGGTTTGGTTGGGTAACTCCATCTTTGAGATTCCCAGAAACCACACACAAGCGAAGGAGTCTTCTGAGATCACATTGATCCTTTTAGCTTACCGATGTGGGTTACTTTCATGACTCTTCTCTGTGGAGTTGCTCTACTGAGAACCCTGCCTTGAGTTCCTCACCACGCGGTCCCTTCCATGCTATAACAGCTTGCTTTTCCCATGGTAGGTGCTCCAATGGAGAAAGGGAAGGAGAATGAACAAGACCAAAGCTCCCTTGTGTCTGTGGTCTAAGCTGGGGTGTGTCATCCATGGTTGCCTATTAGCTGCAGGACACTAGCCCCAAGCCCACACATGCAAGGAGAGATTTCTTTGTACTGTTTAATGTTTATTCTGAATGCTTCTCCAAAATTAGATGCACTAGGAAAGAGAATGTATTCATTTTAGCTTCCATTTAACTCACATATCAATTTCGGTATAGGCAGGCATCTTCCTTAAGGCAAAACTATACTCCATTTGGTTTGTCAAGGAAAGATTACTTTCTGTCTCGGGAGGAGTTGAAATTTTATATATATATATATATATATATATATATATATATATATATTGCACACATGTATGTGTGTGTGTATATATATATACACACACACACACATACATGTGTGCAATATAAATACAGATGTGTAATGTATATGTTTAAAAGCATTCTTCCTCAAGCCTTTAAACAAATAGTATGGTCTAGTCCTTCTGAAAGTTCCAACAAGATAGACCTGGGACACCCTTAGACATGATCTGTCCTGACTTTACACCTTGCATTCTGCTGTTGCATTTGCTGTACTGAGTATATTTAGTTCTTATACAGAAATCCCAAACAAATGCTGACACCCCCGCACTGCAATGCAGTAAATTAACAACAAATGAAGTCAAATCAAGATTGGCTTGGTTTGAAAGTATTTGAGGAGAGTCTTTTTCTGTTTTTCATTCAAAGGTAATACACATGAAGCTCCATTTATAATTTTGGGATACTGGTGATATAACTATATCATGGTTTAGGATTTTAAGAGATATTTACCAGCTTCTGTGTGTGAAGCATACATTGCCTCCTACACCAGAAGAAGAGAGCTGGCAAGGAGAACTGCAGAAGTTCTCCCACTTGGTGTCAGGTCTTGTTGGTAAAAGTGAATTGCTGCTCTCACAATCTCAAATGGGCTAATATGGATTTCCTAAAATGTAGTGCACTAAATGGAGCTAATAGTCTAATTTCTGTTCCAGGACACGTGTGACCAGCGTGGCTGCTGCTGGGATCCTCAGGGAGCCGCTAATGTTTCTTGCTACTATTCCAGGAATCATGGCTACCAAATGGAGAGTGATCCTGTGTTTACAAATGCAGGTAGGCTGAGGGTAGAACCTTAGACCTGGGGGCTTGGCTCCATCCTAGGGGACACCTGTAGTAGCACATAGAGTACTGACTACTCTGTTGTCACACTTTATATGTGACAGAGGTGGGCACAGCTCTTGTCAGTGATTAGATCTTATTTTGGCATCAAGCAGTAATCACCCTCTGCCCCAGGAATTCAGAGACCGTGTCCTGTTTCTGGTTTTATTTTTCTCTTTGTATATAAAGATTTGTGTATTTTCTTTCTTTTTTGTATAAAAAGATTTATTCATTTTCTTTTTTTTTTTTTTTTTTGGTTTTTCGAGACAGGGTTTCTCTGTGTAGCTTTGCGCCTTTTACTGGAACTCACTTGGTAGCCCAGGCTGGCCTCGAACTCACAGAGATCCGCCTGGCTCTGCCTCCCGAGTGCTGGGACCAAAGGCGTGCGCCACCACCGCCCGGCCTTATTCATTTTCTTTATTCTTCTCTTATCCAATACATCTCATGCCTCCTTTCCTCTCAGTCCCCTCCCCCAGATTTACTGCTTTTCCATTTCCCTATAGAAAAGAGCAGGCCTTCCAGTGATATCAACTGAACTTGGCATAACAAGTTAAAATAAGACTAGCCATAAATCCTCATATAAAAGTTGGACAAGGCAACCAAGTAGAAGGAAAAGTATCCCAAGAGCAAGTAAAAGACTCAGAGACACCCCCACTCTCACTATTAGGAGTTCAACAAAAATCCCAAGCTATACAACCACAGTTTGTATGCAGAGGTCTGTCTTCACTTTTATGCACCTTCATGACTTTATATAATCATCATGACCATTTTGGTTCCCAAATTTATTATTTATAAAGTGTGAAATATAAAAATAATAATCTCCAAGATTCCTTGCAACCCTATTCTGGTGTAATTTTTATGAAATGGAAACAGTTACAAATTTATAAGCATACTTTAGAAGTTACCTAGTTAACATCAGTCTTTATGAGCTAATATTCTTACCCCTAAACAAAGAGCATAATAATGAGCACTCTGGGATGAGGATGACAGTGGGTACCACCATGAGAAGGCTCCTAGTGTAAAGAAGGGGTGGGACTCTTCAAGGTCTCATCCTTCTCTTCACTTGCTGTTTAACTGAGGACATGACTCCGGTGAACAAGATGCTCTGTAATGTACTGAGTACATAACTGAGAAAGAATACTAACTGAGACCATAAAGGTGTTTGATCCACATGGGATGACTGATGATCAGGGAACATAACAGTTAGCCATTTGGGGCTGTGTTTTCACTCAGATCTTAGAGAAGAAGGTTGTATAATTTTGGATATAGTGTTAACAGTACTTATCTTTAGGATCCAGTCCAAGATGAGATGTGCATATCCATGAGGGGATGTGTATCTATATCTTCTCTTCTTTGGAAGATAAAGGTTTTTGTTTGCCCCATTTGACCTAAAGTTTAATTTTATGTGGCCACTATTTGAAAATTAACAGAACCAACTATGAAAGCCTTTTCTCTTCTACATGTTAGGATTCACAGCCCAGTTGAAAAACTTGCCTTCTGCACCCCTGTTTGGAAATGACATTGAAAACATCCTGCTCACAGTCGAGTACCAGACATCGAACCGCCTCCACTTCAAGGTTGTAGTTTGTTTTCTCAAAATCTTATACCGCATGAGTATTCTCATATCTCATAACTGCAATCCCTGCAGAGGAGAACACTTTGCCAAGGGAAGGAGCTTTCTCTGTTGTAGTTGTTTGTCAAGGTCTTTGATGGCCTTCTTGCTGTGTGGTAACTTCCTCAATTCATATAGAGTTTACCAATGAACTTGCAGTTTCCACTCATTTGTCCTAGAGACCATGGAAATTGTAGAAGGGATCAATGTGCTACCACTGCTCTGAATTTTCTAGAGACAGCCTTCATAATCACAGTGTATCTCTACCTGAAGACTAATATATACCCAGCAGACAAACATATGAAGCTGGCAGTGTAACCAGCACATGACTTTAGACATAATGCCAGTTTGACCAGTGTCCAGTTGCCAGGACCATCTGCACAGGAAGGACTGGTGCTGGAGAGGTCACCGGTAGTTTTGAATGACAGGTCAGTTTTCATTTGGACTTTGTTTCTATTCATCTCTCCGTGCAGTTGACTGACCAAACCAAGGGAAGGTATGAAGTGCCTCATGAGCATGTGCAACCCTTCAGTGGAAATGCTGCTCCTTCCTTGAACTACCAAGTTGAGGTCTCTAAACAGCCATTTGGCATCCAAGTCACCAGAAAAAGCAATAACCGTGTGCTGTAAGTTTTGGAAATTTATCAAGGGGGGTGGGAGTAGGAAGATAATGACAAGGGAAGTGTGTAAGCTGCTGACCTTACTGCTGTGTTCCAAATGTGTGTGTGTGTGTGTGTGTGTGTGTGTGTGTGTGTGTGTGTGTGTGTGCATGTGTGTGTGTGTGTGTGTGTGTGTGTGTATGTGTGTGTGTGTGTGTGTGTGTGTGAGAGAGAGAGAGAGAGAGAGAGAGAGAGAGAGAGAGAGAGAGAGAGAGAGAGAGGGAGAGAGAGGGAAAGAGAGAATTCTTTCTTCCTTTTACTTTCTTCTATCTGAACATTTTTCTTTTCCCTTTCTCCTATCTGTCTAATCACGTGAGCACCAATCACCACTTACTAAATGTCTATGACCATTTTAAGTACAGTGCTCTGGTCATGTGGTAAGGTGTCTAAGGAATAGACCTAAGGGTTGTACCACAATGGTACCTGGCCTGGAGATATTTTTGCCTCTTGGTATCTATGGGAAAATGTCAGAGGAAAACTTAGAGAGGGACTACGGAGTCAGTGAGCTGTGAAGAGCCCTTGGACAAGAGGCTGTGTCCTTCTCACCCTACTTATCACTCATGTCTGTGATTCTGTCCTGTGTCTAGGTTTGACTCAAGTATTGGACCCCTTCTCTTCTCCGACCAGTTCCTGCAGCTCTCTACCCGACTGCCAAGTGCTAACGTATATGGTCTGGGTGAACACGTGCACCAGCAGTACCGGCATGACATGAATTGGAAGACCTGGTCCTTGTTTTCCAGGGACACAACTCCCAATGATGTAAGCTTTCAGGTTCCTTTCCTGTGAATATCACAACCTTAATCTCGAGTGTCACATGGCATTGCAGTTTAGAGGGAGAATCCGGAGTGACACTGCTTGGTTTTGCTTTTGAGATCTTCTCCTTATCAGTGATGTGATTCTGAGCAGGTTCTTACTGCTCTGGGTCTTCAATTCCTTATCTGTAAAATGAGGGTAATGTTAGATGCTTAGCTAGATCAGTCCGTGAGCGTGAAACTTAAAGTGGGGTTTATATACTCATCTTACAGGTTATAGTGAGGATGAAATGGCTGAGACATGTAAAGTATCAAGAAGAAAACATGGCACATAGAATATGCTCAGTAGATTTCCCATTGAAATCAAGAGCCTGTGGTAAACTGTTTTTCAGGCAGGAGAGAGCGCGTCTTATCCCTTCTCTGTCTCACTTAAACACATGCTACCCAAACATCTCTTAGACAAATGCAAAAATGTGTTGAGAGAGCAGCTTATGGGGAGTAACTGGTGATGATGACCTAATCTGGAGCTTCTACCATGGGGCAGTGTGAACTTTCAACCACTTAGAGCTCCATATGGATGCTGATTTATATTAAAATTCGAATAAAACACTTGCAGATGAGGTTAAGTTAGGATCAGATAGTCCTCTTTGAGAATAGAGATTCTATGAACAATAGTTTCAGAATTCATATCCTTCCATATTTTAACAAAAGTCAAGATCTCCATATACATACTAGATTAATAGTCAGAGTCGGTGCATTATTTGAGAAAGCACCAACTTACTTGTTAACATCCTCTAAACAGAGACCTGAACTCATAAAATTCATTGACATCTTCATTGATCATGATGTGATGTTTAGACTAATTGTGAATGTTTGTTTTTTAATTGTCTTCCTACAGGAAGGAAATAACTTGTATGGCGTACAGACATTCTTCCTGTGCCTTGAAGATAACAGTGGATTATCCTTTGGGGTGTTTCTGATGAACAGCAATGCCATGGGTAAAGGACAAAGGAATATTCCTAAACAAACAAGCATATAATGTATCAGAGCTCCTTTTATAGCACTATGGTTGAATGAATGAATCCCTTTCACAATGTTTAAAGCATGCCTGGCTGTGCTCTCTAGCTGTGACATCCCTACCTGGTTACCCATGGGATCTGTGTGCAAAAGATTCTCTCCTGAGTTCTCAACTCTCAAATCTGGTGGCCTCTTCTGGAATATTTGTTATTACAGAGTTAGGATAACTCTTCCTGTAATCTACTGTGAGACAGGATCTACCCACAGAGCATAACTCCTTCTTAGTCCTACGTTAAGAGATCTTGACTGGCAGCTCCAGTACAGTCACCACAGGGGAAGAAGGGATGGATAAATATCTCCCAGGGTTGATGGTGGGCATGAGATATTGAGCCTAACTCTCCTAATTGATTATCATTGGATTAGATCAGTGTTATTCAAAGATGTAGCCCACACAGTCTTTCATGTCCATACAAGATGAATATTGATATTGAGAATAAGCATTGATTTAACAGCCAAAGGTCTGCATAAGCCTTTTTCTCATAATTTATGCTCTTTTTATAGACGTATCGGCTTGCAATAATTTAAGGATTAAGTAAGCAAGAAAGATCTAATTCTTCACTATAGTTTTTGTTTGGTTTTGAGAAGCAGTCTAGATGATCCAAGATCATTCTAGAATACAAACAGCCCAAGAACAGACAAAAAGAATACATTGGCTGTCCAGTTTCAGGTGGTTTTAAAAGGAATCACAAAAATGAGTTGAGTCAAGACTTAATGGGAAAGCTACAAGGCCCTAGGTTCTCTGTGTGAATTAGTCCTGTATGACCTAAGAGTGCTTTCAGAAGACTCTGAGGCCCTCTATCCCTAGACACAGAGCAAGGCTAGGAGACAACTGCTCAGGAGGGTGATTGGAGAGTAATGGGACTTGGCATTTATGATATCGTCTCTGACCTGCTTTACTTTGACTCTTCTTCACTGTGGCTAGTACTTCAGAGTGTCTAGCTGGGCTGTGTATTTACAGTAACGATGAGGTGTAGAACAAGAATGACAGGTTCAGAGAGATTTTTTTCTTCTACCTTCTAAGATTTAATTTTTGTGGGCCTGCAAACTAAACTGCCAGAAAGAGACCAGAAAGCAAAAGTCAGAGTTTATTTGCATATGCAAAGATTATACAGACAGGTGTGCTGGGGTTGAGTAACTGAAAGGGACGATTGTAACTTGAAGCTTATACACCATCTTAACAGTGGCTGGCAGGCAAGGTGAAATGGGCATGGGTAGAGAACAAGTGTCAGGAAGGCAAGGTGAAATGAGCATGCACAGAATCTCAGGAGTAGCAGGCAAGGTGAAATGGGCATGCGCAGGAGAACACGTGTCAGGAAAGATACACGGGCCTGAAAACAGATGGGGAATGTGACATTCTTGTGACAGTATTTACTGATGTTCATTGTCTGAGAGGAGATTAGAGTTGCTTCCACGGAATGGATTTGTGACAGCTGAGTTATTTTGAGGGGCTCTGATTTTGGGTAACTAGGGGTATCAGTAACAATGGCCATCAGCCTCAAGTAACTATTGTGCTGCCATGACTAATTCTGGATTCATTTGTGAGGCTGGTTGTTCTTTAGACAGAGCCTGGGACATGGCACAGGAGTAAGGACATTCTAGTTTCCTGCTATTGACATTTGTTGCTGAACAAATATTTTAACTCTCATGTATGTGAGAATTTGTTTCTTTATATACAACACGTGGGGCATTAAAAATCACCTTACCAAAGTTCAGGTAGTTAGTGTCGATGGCTATACATTTTGTAGTCATTTCAATAGAACAAATCCTAATTTTTATTTTCTTCTATTTTAATCTTTTAAGAGGTTACCCTTCAGCCGACTCCAGCAATCACATACCGCCCCATTGGGGGGATTCTGGACTTCTATGTCTTCTTGGGGAACACACCTGAGGAAGTTGTTCAAGAATATCTAGAGGTAAACATGAAATCATGGTTATGACTGAGGGAATCCTATGTACCAAACATTAAGAGATGTAAACTTAACACACACGTGTGAGTTAGATATGCCTGAGATGATACATTTCAGACATAGGACAGACCTTATATACACACCGGAAATTTTTTTATAAGGTTTTTATATTATAAAAGTGTGAAAGGATATAAAGATACCAAAATGTGCCCTTACTCTTAAAAGGGAGATATAAAAGTTGACTAGCATTATAATGTTAATGAATCAATACACCAGAAAACTGAATATATTTTGTGCCCTAAACCAATGCATAAAACAGCTTTATCTTAAAAAGTATTGAGCTGTGAGATGAATTAATTGGTACAAGATGACTTGCTGCATGAGCATGAGGACCTGTGTTCAGATCCCCCGCAGTTCTGTAAAAAGCTGGGTGCAGTGGTGTATACTTGTAACCTCCCCATGGGGAGACAGAGACAGGACAATCCCTGGGGTGTGCTCGTCAGCCACTTATACAGTGGGGCTAATTAGCGAGCTCCAAGTTCAATGTGAGATCTTGCCTTCAAATTAAAGGAGAGGGCAGCTAAGGAAGAGATCCTACATAGATCTCTGTCCGCCACATGCAACCCTCCCCCATGCATGTGCACACACACAGTATTACTGACTTTCATTCCACATATTTATTTCAGCTCATCGGGCGGCCAACTCTGCCTTCATACTGGGCGCTTGGGTTTCAGCTCAGCCGGTATGATTATGGAACCCTAGACAATATGAAGAACGTTGTGGATCGAAACCGTGCAGCACAGCTCCCATATGTAAGTAAGCTTGAACATAGTTCTCCAAAACGAAATCCACAGAGGAACAGGAACAGCCTCTACCTTCTCCATACTTTCCCTCTTTGAGTTCTTTCCCCTTCTGGCAATAAAATGACTTTTATGCCTTTAGAATACTAGAGGGTTTGTCAGATCAATCACTCGTTTTGAAAGAACTGTGGTTCTCTTCAGTAGGAAGTGGTACTTAAAGACTAATAATATAGATGAGGCAGCAACCTGGTTTCTGACTGTGTATTGTTTTATCAGTTCAATTTTCTCATGCTTATTGTCTTGACTGCATTTTTACAGAACTTAATTTTGAGTTAAGTTAATTCTGTCTTTAGCTCAGATTTTAGCTTATGCTTCTCCATATAGGTTTATTACTTTATACATAGTCTTGGTTGAATTGTTTTGATTTAAATATATCATGGCAGAGATTGACTATAAAAGTGATATAAGAGTTCTCTAAGACCTTGGTATAAACTTGATTCTCAGGTTTTGTGTGAGGTAATGCATAATGCAGGTCTTCCATCTTCCATCTCCCAACCCCTCATTAGTTAATAAATTTTAACAGATATTTTGAGAAGACATTGAAGAAGAGAAGAGTTAGACAACACACACACACACACACACACACACACACACACACACACACACACACACACACGCACGCACTCATATGTGCACACACATGAAACTGGTTCAGGTCCAAATAATCTAATCTAACTGGCTTTTTTTTTTGGCTCAGACACAGGTAAGAAACTGAAACTAAATTAGGGAAGTAGTTTCATTGTAACCATTTAGCTTGTTGGTGATAGAATTCACATTTAAGTAGATTTACCCCAAAGTCAAATGACAAGGTTGAGGTCCATTTCTTTTGCAGTGGTGTTTTGGTGGCTGTTTACTAGTCAGTTGACAGGATTTGTCTTCTCGCACACTGTGATCATTTTGTATTTGAAATAGAACTTCAGTAGACCTTGGAATTGGGAAGAAAATGAGAAACTAGAACAGGTGGGAGAGTGAGATTTAAAAACACAGGGTGACTAGGTGAAGACAGTAAATGAGAGTTGTGCAAGACATTTGGGTAGGTGACTCCAGTCTTTGGCTGGCCTCTCTTGTCTTCCAACCCTCAGGGACTATGGCTCTTGGGGTGAGAGGGAATGAGAGACAGGAACAGCAGAGGCAGAAGTGAGGTGAGGAGAATAAGCCCAGCCATCAGAATAGTGAGAATGCCCATGTGGACTCATAGGCCCAGCTCATGTCTTCTTTACTCACTGCAGAATTCCATTTTCATCCCTAGTTAGGATATAAACCCCATTTGTAGTAGTTAGCCAAAGGAACAGGGTTGCCAGTTCAGATCGCCAGCATCTCTGTGCCTCTCTACTCTGTATGGTTCTTCTTACATACAGGCAGACATTGCCTTCCTGAGTAATCTGGGGGATGGGGGAAGAGGATTTCTTGGTGCACAGTGGAATAAGATGTGAAAAGAAATACTGAGAAATGGACCTGAAAATAATTCAGAGTTGCATATGGGCGTCCAGTCTTGAAAGTTCAAGAAGGAAGCATAGTGTACATGTTGTACTAAAATGTTTCTGCTTTGAGTGGCTGATTATGAATATTTCTATTATATTGGGGGCTGTAATGGGAAATGAGGTGTCTAGAAGACAGAAAGGGGGAATTAAAAAAACTAGAACAATCCTGTTCTGTCTCCCTCTTCATTTCCTGGACATAGGCACAGTATAAACTTTGTTCCAGTGTCGCTATTTTCATATAAAACTAGGAAAGAATACACACGGATGGACTGCGGTAGAGGTAACAAAAATAGTTATTAGGATTATTATGATAGTGAAATGGGGAAGAAGGGAGAAGAAACATCCCCGTCCTCTCTTTCTCTTGTGTGTAGGGTGAGTTTTGTTTAGATAGCCCCAGTGGTTTGTCATAAATTGTGCAGTTAATCTGATATCAGGGGTGGGGCTGAGCCTTAGGGAGATAATGAGACAATTTGTTTTCCAAATTGCTCTTCAAAAAGATGTATTTGGACAACCAATAGCACTGCATTTAGATTCTAGCACAGGAGTTGGTTTTCATCTTAGATACTAATGGTGATAATTTGGTGATTCCCTTTAGCAGGGAAATTCGTAGGCACTAAATTGTGGACGCTTGTATTCTTTCAGGATGTTCAGCATGCTGACATTGATTATATGGACCAGAGGAAGGACTTCACTTACGACCCAGTGAATTTTAAAGGCTTCCCGGAGTTTGTTAAGGAGCTACACAACAATGGGCAGAAACTTATTATCATTTTGGTATGCACTTCCTTTTTAACTCTGAAATTAGGTGGTTGCTCATCCTTTTCATTATGTCCCCTTCTCCCTACTTGGCCTCCAGTGAAATGAAAATATGCCTTCAGCAACATTTGAATGTGCCTATTTTATTGGAGACTTTGTTGAGATTCAACCTTTAGCTTAAAGTAAGTTTTTTTTTCATTGTGTTTTCTTTTTTCTTAGGATCCAGCCATTTCTAACAACTCTCTCCCAAGTGATCCCTATGGTCCATATGACAGAGGTTCAGCAATGAAAATCTGGGTGAATAGTTCTGACGGTGTAAACGCACTCATTGGAGAGGTAATTTAATAGGGAAGTGGTGGCTCTGTCTCTGGCTGGATTGTGAGTGGTTGTGGATAAGTATGTGGTTGTCTGGTACATCTTCAAAGAACTTCAACATGCTGAGGATAAGCTTTTCTTTGCCTTTTCATGCCCAAATGCCTACTATCTACTCCAGCTCTTACATGTTTTCCCCAGCCAGATCCATTCAATGACAACTCGCTCACTGAGTGTCCATTTCCTTACCCTCTCCCCTCTTGCCACTACACTCCTGCTTCTCACATCGCTCCACTGAAACTGGCATTAGTCACTGCCTACTAGGTAAATCCAATTGAAAAGGGTCATGACACTCTTGACTCAGTTTCCTGTCAATGAATAATATACTTATCACTTTTTTTTTCCTGAACTCTTTTATTATCTTGTTTTTCATGAAGGTATTATCTTCTGCTTACCTTTTAATATCCACAATAGCCCTTCAAAATATAGTGTCCAAGGGAATTGGATAGAGAAAGAATAGAGAAAATTAAGTAATGCTAGAATCTGTAGATTATAATGGGTCAATTGAAATTCATACAAAACATATCTCCATTTTCAATCCTTAGACCTGAAAGTAGGAGAAGCAACACGGAAATGTGAAAAAGAGCTGAAGACTGGCCAACAAGACAGTGCTTTTACCCTTAGATTCATTCATTTAAATAGCCAATCAACTTTTTTTTTTTTTTTTTTTTTTGTTTTTTTTTGTTTTTCGAGACAGGGTTTCTCTGTGTAGCTTTGCGCCTTTCCTGGAACTCACTTGGTAGTCCAGGCTGGCCTCGAACTCACAGAGATCCTCCTGGCTCTGCCTCCCGAGTGCTGGCATTAAAGGCGTGCGCCACCATCGCCCGGCTTGCCAATCAACATTTTCAAAATTAATTTTCTCAGGTGGCTTTTCATTTCAGTTGAGAGTGATTGAGTCTCCATATTCTAAGTGATTTACTCTACACTGAGAAGACTTATGGCTTTCTACCTCTGTCTCCACGATCACATTAGGAATTCCTACATAAAGTTCTTTGCTTATTCTATATTCACTTAATTTATTATCAGTGTTCTCTCTTTTTTTTTGTCTCCAACAGGTCTGGCCTGGAACAACTGTCTTTCCTGATTACACCAATCCCGAGTGTGCTGTTTGGTGGGCAAGAGAACTTGAGCTGTTCCACAAGGATGTGGAGTTTGATGGCATTTGGATTGTGAGTTTGAACACTTTGACCCGTGGAGGCATTCACAGTGTGTATCTCTGGCTATGTTTTTGAGTCATGGAGCATAGAAAGAAACTGAAAGCAAGGGTCACATGTTTCTTACAGTGTCAGAAAGCACACGATTGTTCAATTGTCAGCTTGAGGCTTTTCTGTAGACATGATGACAGATTCATCAAACCGAAGTGCTCAGGTATAAGATACCTTCTGGAAGTATAAAGGAGCAATGTCTCATAAAATGTCAAATGAATATGGGTGTAATACAGCTGCTGTTGAATGAAATTTAGGCCCACAGTTGAAAATTTTCTATTTATAAAAGAACTGTAGAAAATTCAAATAATACAATCATCTAAAAAGATGACAGCAAAAATTCTGTAAAATGATAGCAACCAAAGATGTATTTGGACAACCAATAGCACTGCATTTAGATTCCAGCACAGGAGTTGGTTTTCATTTTAGATACTAATGGTGATAATTTGGTGATTTCTTTTAGCAGGGAAATTCATAGGCACTATGAAATTTCTAGTGAGTTGAGAAGATAGAGACCTATATTTCTACTTTATGCATGGAACATTCTTTTTTTTTTTTTTTTTTTTTTTTTTTGGTTTTTCGAGACAGGGTTTCTCTGTGTAGCTTTGCGCCTTTCCTGGAACTCGCTTTGGAGACCAGGCTGGCCTCGAACTCACAGAGATCCGCCTGCCTCTGCCTCCCGAGTGCTGGGATTAAAGGCGTGCGCCACCACCGCCCGGCGCATGGGACATTCTTAAAAAGAAATATGTAGAGTAATTTATCTGATCCTCAGAAACAAAAGCACACTACCATTATATAAACACAGCATGCTTCTTTGCCTAATAGATTTTGCTCTCTGGTAGGATATGAATGAAGTCTCCAACTTTGTTGATGGCTCAGTTTCAGGATGTTCCACAAACAACCTCAATTATCCCCCATTCACACCAAGTAAGTCATTGTGATTGATGTGGCAAGGTGTATGTGATATTTTAAACTTACAAGGATAGACCTGAACCACTGAACAATAATGTTCACAGGGAAAGGAATGTGGGCACTACATAAAGAAAACTGGAAAAGAAATTCAATATACTGTCCATGGTTCTCTGAGGAGGCATAAATTCTCAATGGATAATCTAGTTCTTCTATGCCTAGTCCATGCTGTTGTAGGGGAAATTCCAAAACACATATGATGCAGAATTCAGAGGCTAGTGATTAGTTAGTGCCACTTTCAAGGTGAATCTCATAGAGCTTACAAAAGAGACCAGATGGGTAGTCTTGACCTTCAGGTAAGGGTACATCTGGTGCTGACCACAACTTGAAGGCTGAACATGAACCATATAGTCAAATGAACCTCAACTTCTGAGGATATGGTTATGGAACCACAGTATTAATTGTTGTTTGAAGAAAGATACAGAGCCAAGAAGAAAATTATATCTTGAGTAAGAAAAACGAAACTTCTAGGGTTATAACACTCATGGTAACTTCAGTCTGAAGACAAACTAGGAAACTGAGGCAGATGTAGGTGAGACTCAAATGTTGAAGAGGTTTGATGGGAGGCCAAACAGTCCTCACTTAATTCTTTCTGTGATAGAAGCTATTTATAGTTTTGTCAGAGGGATGTAGGATTGTCAACTCATTTTAGAAGTATTAATCTGGCATTAACATGTAGAATGAATTTAAAAAATAGGTCAGAAGTAAATAAATTGTCAAGAATCTATATTAATAAATAGAATACACAGTTCATTTCCATGGGAGCCACAGTGGTTGAGTAGGAGCAGAGAATATGTGAATGAAACTAAGACTACTAATCACTCTATGCAACATGTGATTAAGGGAAAATGGAGTCAGAAGCTAAATTACACTTTCATCCAATGTTTCTTATTTTGAGTCAGTTATATTGGTTTGAAAAATTCAGATTGAAATTCTAGCTGGATTATATTCTCTTCTCTGCCTCTGAGAATCAGGAGTGTGTGGGTGACACAATGCATTTTTGTATCAGAAAAATTACATCAACTAGATGGTCTTCTGATGATCAGAACACAGCACATTTGTTTTCAGGATGGCTACAATAAAAACCTGGCCAATGCAGCCATCTTTACAGGATGTGTGGAAGTTAAGAAGTAAGAATTAGCTTGGAAAGTTTTCCCTGATTGGTCATTTGTTGTTGTTGCAGAGATCCTGGATGGGCACTTGTTCTCTAAGACTCTCTGCATGGATGCAATTCAACATTGGGGCAAGCAGTATGATGTTCACAATCTGTATGGCTACTCCATGGCCATTGCCACAGCAGAGTGAGTCCATTATTATTACAAACTTCTATGTGATCACATTATGGATCTGAAAGAGGCTTAGTGAATCATAAATAATATTTGTTAAAATTCAAAATGAAAAGTAATCTTGAGGGAGGGGGTGTCCTGGGCAGATGGCTTAGAAGTTAAGAACATGTACAGCTCTCCCAGAGGACCTGAATTTGGTTCCCAGCACCCACATTGGGTGGCTCACAACTGCCTGTTCCAGGAATCAGCCTCCCACTTCTGGTCCTCTCTGGCATCTGCACTTAATGTGCATATACCCAATGTGTGCACAGGCACACACATACAAATACTTAAAGCTGACACAAATATTTAAAAAATATGATCATTATTACTGAGTGAATGAAGAATTTGGCATGTAGAAAATAAGAAATCTAGTAAGTATTTGCAGCATATATAAAATGAAATAAGAAATGAGTAAATGAATGAATAGAAAATCAGAAGGAATCTATTTTCCAAGGATATCTAAATACGGCAAAACAATATCTAAAATATCTAAAATACGACAAAACAAAATTTAGGCTCTTCTCCTTATACATTTTATCTTCCTATATAGTGTAAAAATAAAGGATAGGCCGGGCGGTGGTGGCGCACGCCTTTAATCCCAGCACTCGGGAGGCAGAGGCAGGTGGATCTCTGTGAGTTCGAGGCCAACCTGGTCTCCAAAGCGAGTTCCAGGAAAGGCGCAAAGCTACACAGAGAAACCCTGTCTCGAAAAAACCAAAAAAAAAAAAAAATAAAAATAAAGGATATAGAGGGTTAAGTAACTTATAGATATCCATGGGCATTGGGCTTTTACGTTGGACTCAGGAGCCTTCTACTGGGTTCTGTTTACTTTTGTGTGAAATTAAATTCTATAATGATAAGAATGTAAGGATAATTTATTTTTGATGTAACAGTGACAGCAAGAAACTAGACCAAGAACAATTTCACTGATTAACAAAATAACTGGTATAATTTTAGCTATTTTGAGATAAATGGAAAAGTTCCACAGTAAATGATTTTTCAGTGTGGCAGATAAACTCAGGGCTTTACCTGCCAGGCAAATGTTGTACCATCAAGCTATTAATCCAGCTCTGCAAAATTTTTTAGTTACGTGTACATATGCAGACCTTTAACTTAAAATATTTAATGTATTTAGTTTAAAAAATACATTTATGTTTAATTTTACAACATTTTTTCTTATAAAATTATTATTAACATGTTTTTCTACATAAAACTTTCAAAAGTAATGTTGATAAGTCCACTTTTGTTTTGTTTCTGAGGTCTTGTGATAGAAAGACTAACATTTTTACTTATGTTAAGTTTTACTTTTATTTTATAAAATCCATATACCTCTAGTTTTTAACCTTTCCAAGGTTGCTTTGGAAATTGTTGGAAATTAAGAGGCTAACGGTATGTATAAAACAAAGCTAAGCAAAACATGAATGCATGTCGTGGTGGAGACTGCTTCTAACAGCCCCTCAAATCCTTTTTGGAGAAAAGGAGCAGAGAGGAATGAGATGCTTGTTTTTTATATTCTTACTATTGTTGTTGTTCTGAGACTAGCTGAGCTCCGCACTGATCCCTAAATATCTGTCCCTTCCCAGAGCCGTGAAGACCGTGTTCCCAGACAAGAGAAGCTTCATCATAACACGTTCTACCTTTGCGGGATCTGGCAAGTTCGCATCCCACTGGTTAGGAGACAATGCTGCCACCTGGAAGGACCTCCAGTGGTCCATTCCAGGCATGCTTGAGTTCAACCTTTTCGGTATCCCAATGGTGAGTCTTCATCTCCAGCTCTCTTATGACTTTCAGTCCCTAGGAAGTTTCCTTCTGATAAGTTTTCATACTATAAAGTCTCTCATGGGTGAGGGCTTTAATGTCCATTCTTCATCACCATCACTGTGACTCTTATGGTTGTCATCATTGTCTGAACTGCCTGATGTAAAGAGAAAGTACAACCCTGATAGCTCTTGAAATATTCTTAACGTGTAACACACAAAAAGTGTGCCAATCCTCTAGTCTAAGTCAGATGCATGCATCCATGGAGTATGTAACTAGTTCTCATGCACACATACATGCAACACACCTATGTAGCAAGTTCCCAGATGAAGAAACAGCCCTGCAGCCCTGGATAGGCTTTGGATTGCTTGGTCAAATTCAACAGACACATTATTGAACTCTTACTGTGTCAAAGTGCTAAATTAAGTATGAATGGCATCCAGTAACAAAATACAGAGACATACAAGTAAACATAATTATGTCAAGCCAGGATTAAAAAAACCCACAGGGCTGTACATATTAATCGTTATGAGAGATTCTGAGAAAAATCTTTATTAATTTGATATGGTTATAAGGGACAGAGAGAGTCAGGGGAGGAAGCCCAAAGACTCTGTAGGAAAGATGGTGCTTAAGTTAAATTGTGGAGACTGGCTAATGAGTGGAGAAGCTTATTTTAAGACAACAGAATAAACACAAGCAAAAGGAGCATGAAGGGGGTGATAGATGTGTCCCTAAGATTGGTGTGGAGAACTGGAGCAGGTTGTTATCTGAAAGGGTAGATTGGAACCAGGTTTAAAGGGTTGAGAGGAGGGATAGAGAGGAAGCTGTGGAGCGTTTGATGAAGTGAGTGGGGTGATCAGAGTCAGGCTTTAGAAATGTATGTGATACAATGTTATTGGTATTGCCAGCTACTATCCATACAGTGCTCATGCTCAGTTTAACAAAATCAAGAGGCCATGGCAGAAAAGGAGTCATCTAGCATGGTGTACACACAATGATGATTCTGACCATACCACATTAGCCTTCTGGGTAAAAGATTTGAACAAAAAAGTTCCGTTAGAAAATTCCTGGTGGAAAGCAACAGAAGGGGGTGGAAGTGTGATAAGCATGTTGTCCATGTGTCATTGTAGGTAGGGGCCGATATATGTGGCTTTGCCCTGGACACATCTGAGGAGCTCTGCAGGCGGTGGATGCAGCTGGGGGCATTTTATCCATTTTCCCGGAATCACAATGGCCAAGGCTACAAGGTAAGTCAGCTGGGAAGTATAATCAATGTACATTGGGTGAGCACTAGGAATGGATCTGTTTGTATTCCCACCGTGAAATCTGTTGAGCTAGTTTCATAATATACTTCATGTATGCTGATTTGGGTCCCACTTGCCATTAATAAGGACCTGTTGATCATAAAATGTCCCAATGTCTCCATTTCTCTCTTATTGTTGCCATTGGGACCAGCTTAGTTCACACACACACACACACACACACACACACACACACACACACACACTGGTTGCTCATTTTTGTGTGGATGGCTTCCTTAGATTCAGCCCAGTTATGATGCACAGCTCAAGCAAAGGGTTAAGAATTCAAGATTCTACCTGGTGACACAGACCTCTAATCCTAGCTATTTGGGAGGTGGAGGCAGGAGGATGGATCAGAAGTTAAATACTTGCCTGGGCTACCTAGAAAACTTGTCGTAAAAAATTCCTAAATGAGAACTGCAGCTGGACACCATGCTGTGTAGAATACTTTAAGGGGCCAGACAGCAGCAGCAAGTAAGATGCTTACCTTTTCCAAGGCAGCCGGAGGGAAGTTCTGGGGACCAGAAGGTTAGGTTCTAGAAAGCTGAGAACAACTCTCACACCATTAAAACAAAAAATAGAAATCTCAGAAACCTTTAAATAAAAACGGAAATGATGGGACTCTAAGAGGTTTGTAAAACTTCTGTGCACTCTACATGCCTCGCTTGTTTTTGTAATGAGAACGAAGATGGGGAAACATTTCAAAATTATGTAAGACAGTCTCTCAGCAGGGCAGTTTGAACCCGTCCGTGAACGAGGCAGGGTTCTACTCTCCAGATGTGCCACACTCAGAGGCAATGTGCAACCTAGGACCCAGATCATGCAGCATGAAACCCTGGGTGATATCTGAGATGGTTCTGGGTATGCACAGCTTTCCCATAGTCAATCCACAACTGCAAACATTTCTTTCCTTTTAGGACCAGGATCCTGCCTCTTTTGGAGCCGATTCCTTGCTGTTGAATTCATCTAGGCACTACCTTAACATCCGATACACTCTGCTGCCTTACCTCTACACTCTTTTATACCGTGCCCACAGCCGGGGAGACACGGTGGCTAGGCCCCTTCTGCACGAGTAAGTCCTCCCAACGTTCTGTTAATGCAAACTTCGTGATGTTGACAAGGTCATAATAGCAGAGTGAAATATAAAGCCATGCAAGCAAGGGATGCAGGAGTGTGTGTGTATGTGTGTGTGTGTGTGTGTGTGTGTGTGTGTGTGTGTGTGTGTGTGTGTACGCTATAAATCAATCCCAAGGCTTTGCATATACTGGGCAAGAAATCTACCCACATATCTGAGATTGCTGGTATTGTGCCGCTAGATTCAGCTCTAGATATTTCTTTCTCTTTCTTTCTTTCTTTCTTTCTTTCTTTCTTTCTTTCTTTCTTTCTTTCTTTCTTTCTTTCTTTCTTTCTTTCTTTCTTCCTTTCTTTCTTTCTTTTTTCCTTTCTTTTTTTCTTTTGTTTTTTCCAAACAAGCTTTCTCTATGTATCTTTGGAGCCTGTCCTGGAACTCACTCTGTAGCCCAGGCTGGCCTTGAACTCACAGAAATCCTCCTGCCTCTGCATCCTCCCCCCAAGTGCTAGGATTAAAGGCATGTGCTACCACCGCCTGGCCCCAGATCTTTCTTGACAATAAGCTAAGGTCATAAAATTTGTAGATTATTTTACTTATTTTCTGAAGAGAGATACAGCAAACAATAGCACAGTCTGGGGCCAGCTTAGTGGAGATCCTGGAATAGGAACTTCTGTGTCACCTGGGGGAAGAGCGGGAAAGCACATGGGTTTGGTTGGGGACACAGATCTACATGGGATGGGAAGAGGTGGGGCAGTAGTAGGTGTCACACAGTGATTGTGGCTGTTTTCCAGGTAGCTTACATGCTTTGGTTAAATTGTAGGAGAGATTCAAAAGCCCTGGGCCCATCTCTCTCTGACCTATCTCTTTGCTATCTAGGTTCTATGAGGACATCAATACTTGGGACATAAACCGGCAGTTTCTGTGGGGACCAGGACTCCTCATCACTCCTGTTCTGGATGAGGCAAGTGTTCTCACAGAGGAAGGCAGGCAACCTCTGCTTCTGTTCCCGATCACTACTTGCCAAATCTTCTCCCGACTCTACTGCAAAAATCTGTGGTTGAGTCAACAGGGAAGAGTATGCAGGGGCATTTTGTAGTAGCATATCTGATTTATGTTTTCTTCTTTAGAGGTCTCTTATTCTAGACAAGTTCTCAACCAGTGTAAAAGCACAAACTAGTCACTTAGATTTGGGAATGAGCCTCTGGCTCATCGGGTCATTATAACCGACTATTATTGCTCTGAGATGTGGAGCCAGGATGAAACAGAGACCAACACTTACTCTAAAGTCAAAGTGATCAGGCTTGATGATCTTTGCCAGCTAGCTGAGAATGCTGGCCCAGGAGAGTTATTTGTGTAGGCTTCCCAACTTCAAAGGTAGAAATTATGGCAGCATCTAATGTATGAGCTACAGAGATAATTCAATAATTCACTGAAAGCTGGAATTGTCCCCACAGTGTATTTTATCATCATTTTTATTATTCCTAATTATAATCCCTCCCATTTGTGATCCCCCTGCCCCAGATTGCCAGGCTATAGTTCTCTTGTCTGTACTAGGAGAAAGGCATAGTTCAACAACAGAGAAAACAAGACTATGCCCACCTTTTCCAAATATGGCTGAGAAGCCCCCTATGTCTATGCTAAGGTATCTGCTTCATGCCCTCAGAGGCTGAGTCATGAAGATAACGTGTTTTTTTTATTTAATTTTAGGGTGCAGAGAAAGTGAAGGCATATGTGCCTGATGCCATCTGGTATGACTATGAGTCCGTAAGTAACTGGAACTTTTCTTAAACTCAAGCTGTAGCTGCATAGAGAGGTGCCTCTTTAGAGCTAAGAACTACCATTCTTGCACAGAGGAGTGTTTCTGTAGTGTTTCCTATAATTGCACAGCACAGTTCAGGTAGAGCAAGCCTGTAACCTACCACATATGCAGCGTATTCAGCAATAAGATAAAGACTCAAAGGGCTTCTTATGAGCAAGCCTTAGAGAGCCTCTTAGGTGATTTGAGCTTGACCAGAAATCAGATGACTAGCTCAGTGGTTATCCGTTCACATAATATACATCAAACAGGCTTAGCATGGCAAAAATGTTTTACAAGCCCTGAACTGACTTACATTTTTAGCTTCTTTTGTTTGATTGTCTGGGTAGAGAGTAGTTTTGCTACATGGAAAAGAATTAGCACCACAGAGAACTCAGCATGGTGGTGGTCCCTGGAGGGCCACATACTATGAAGCTAATGTGTTTGATTCATCTACCTGTCTTAGGGGGGGCAGTTGACATGGAGAAAGCAAAGCATTGAGATGGAACTTCCTGGAGATAAAATTGGACTTCACCTTCGAGGAGGCTACGTCTTCCCCACACAACAGCCAGACACAACCACCGCAGCCAGGTACAGCATGTGGTGTCTGTAAGGGGATGCGTGGCTGACAGAGGGGAGCTTTCCTGGGATAGTCTGTTGACCAGACTGGGTGGGAAAGGTCCTGGAGTGGGGTGTGTCCCTTTGGACTTCACTTGACCTTTCCTCTAGAAGTTTATGACCTAGAGCTGCACCCTGATTGATTTTGAGATATTTTAATCTACTCCCTCCCCAACTCTCTGAATGTGTCAGAACAGGCTGACAGCTAGACTGCTCAGCCTTCCTAGTGTCCCAAGGCGTGTCCCGCTTTGTCATTGAAAGCCTCATGTCTTGGGAAGACTATGTTGGGCAACCCTCCCTGCCTTGACCTGCATGTTTATCATTGATTGGTTCCCTCGCTTGGCTCACACATTCTCATTATAAGCTTCACCCTCATTTCCATTCCTCCCACTGAGCTATTTTCTATTTGTAACTAATAAAAACCTAGTAACTAGGTAAAGGTTAACAACTGAGCTGTCACATATACCTGCTGGGAGAGGGAAAATCAGTTTTCTCGAATAGAGTGATAGTAGGTATATCAACCACTCCAGGACAGGCCTCATATTCAGGAGGAGTTGACCAACTCTAGGGTTTGTTTGTTTTTTTTTCTTCTTGTGTGTGTATGTGTGTGTGTGTGTGTGTGTGTGTGTGTGTGTGTGTGTGTGTGTGCGCTTTTATTTGGTTACAGTTTGGTGTTTCCTTTTGGGGTGGTGGTGGTTTTATTTTGTTTTCTCTCTTTTGGGAGATTTTGTTGTTTTATTGGATTTTTGTTTGTTTTTGAGGAAGAATTTAAAATTGGATGGGTGGTGGGGGAGGATCTGGGAGGACTTGGGAGAGGGGAAGAATATGATCAAAACATATTTAAGTTTCAAAATTGTTTCAAATTACACACACACACACACACACACATTCATACACACACACACACACACACACACACACACACACACACACACACACACACTTAGCCACCCACCAATGTCACAGACTTCCTTTACATGTCATTGACTCCAGTTGTAGACTCCATCTGCACTCCACTGAAGAGCTGCATGTTTCTGTCATGTGTCCCTGAAAGTATTAGATTATTTGGTTTTACTATCCTGGGAATTGGTTCTTAGAATTCTGAAAATGTTTTCCATTGAACTCCATTTATTATCCTAAAATGTCAAACTATTGACTTTTTGTGGAGATAAATACAAGGAGTTCTGGTTTCTCTTTCTCTGATTGTTCAGCATCAGGCTGTTCTGCACAAGCGTTACCTTCCTAAAATGAGAGCGATGACTTGTTGCTGCCCTGCTTGAAATCTGGACTCCATGGGTCGTGTTTAGGAACAGTCCAGCCTAGCTTCACACTGCCTTGAGCTGCAGTTTCCTGCAGTGCCTTCCACATTCAGGCCAGCCCTGGCCAAAGCATGCTATTCCCGTCTCCTGGAAGTCACCTGTTTTACTGCATGTAGGCTTCTCACATGTTATCTTTTGCAAAAGGCTATGCATATTTGAAAAATGCTTTATCACCAAGCTTTATCCACTCTCCATTTCCAGCTGCTTTCTCAAAGGTCCAAGGTAAACTCAGGTATTATCTCCAACTCCTCCAGCAGAGTGATTGCTGCCAGTCCTAATTACTGGTTGAATATATGCTTTTCTTCTCAAGACAAAATGACAAGTAATCAAAATAAGAAAAGTGGACAGTCTATATATGACCCTATCGTGTATTTTTGCTTTATCAGAAAAACTGTCTTATGAGGGAAAAATATGTCTTTTTCATAGCAATTGACACATCTCAGGGTATGAACTCTAAACAACTAGCCATAGCACTGTTGTGGAAGATTTCTCCCTCTTCTAATAATCTGCCTTCAAAATGATACTTGCAGCCACAGTTTTATTACTCTATTGATTCTGCTCTCACATTCCCACCTCCTTCATATATACTTATTGCTGAGCTTTAGGGTCTTCTCACCCCCTGTGAGCTATTGGTACTAGAGAGAGAAGGGCCTGCCAATCTTGCCTTTGTATTTGAAGGAGAATAGAGCATCTACAGCTAGTAACTTTTTCCAGTTGTATTTAATGCGAATGTTTCATAAAATTCTTTGAGCACTAAGGATTTGGGTCTTGTGCTCCTGTTCCCCACAGCCGGAAGAACCCTCTTGGTCTTATCATTGCTCTGGATGAAAATAAAGAAGCAAGAGGAGAGCTGTTCTGGGATGATGGGGAGACGAAGGGTGAGTGCAGTGAGAGGGTGTGGCCACTGCAGACCTGCATGTCTGACTCTGTCCCTTCATCCCTGCTGGCCATTCAGCTGTGGATAATTTCAAACCTGGCATCCTAGAGCATCCTCCCAGAGAAAACATGTGCTTCTGCATGTAGTGGTCAGAGGCCATGATAGATGAACCTCAGATGGAGGAGGGAGAGCATCTCTCTGACTTTCTTTCTGTCTCTGTCTCTCTGTCTCTCTCTTTCTGAATTCTCTCCTTGGTTAGTAATGTCTAACAGGCTCTCACTTCATTGCTAAAAGACACCTGAAGGACACATTTTCAACACTGTTCCTGTAATTCACCTTCATTGTACATACCTTCCCCCTGAGTCCCTAGGGGAAAACTGTTGAAGATATGAAAGACACACCCATGTCAAGGAGGTAGCAAGTGCACACATTTCTGATTATGTGCATCTAACATTAGTATATTTTCTTTCTTTTTTTGTTTCTTTCTTTTCTTTAACTCCACTGCACCAACAATTCTTACGACTTTAACTTGGGAAACAGATTCCCATAGGATGACTGCCTTGGGGACACTGCAAAGGATTCTTTCACAGTTACGGTACTAAAGAGAAGCCAAGTGTGTGGCCATGTAAACTCTACGCACATAGAGGCACTGTGCAATGGTTACCATAATACAACCTGATGCTTCCATCACCACTAATGGCAGCATTGGCTCTCCAGAACTTTTTCTTATCATAGTTCATAGTCCTTGAACAGAATTTCCACATTTACCCATCTGCCTGATTCTGAAAACTCCTGTCCCTTCCTCTGAGTGCAACCATTTATCTCCTGTATGAACAGAAACTTGCTTCTCTTTGTTGTCTCACCTACTTCTCTTAGTGGAATATAATCCAGATTCATCTCTGCTCTAACAGTGCAGGGCTTCCCTCTTCTTTAATATTAAAGAATACTCCATTGTATTCATGCACTGTAATTCTTTCATTCATTCATCTGCTAATAGATATGGTTGTTGTTTCCCCATCTTAGCTATTGTGAAAACAAGGACAAGAGACTCAACAGCAACCACTTAGGAGGAAATATATGAGAAGCTTCTTTGGTAGTGGGCACCTCAGAGGACAGCAACCTCTTAGGAGGAAATATAGGGGAAGCTTCTTTGATACTGGGCATGGTATTGTGATTTTAAGTGTGATACCAAAAGCATAGGCAACAAATCATAAAATAAATGTGCATAGTCATTGTGGAGAACAGTGTAGACACACCTTCACATGTTGAAAATAGAACTACCATATAGCACAGAAGTCCCATGTCTGGGCATGTACCATCCAAAAGAAATGAAAACAGTATCATAAAGATACTGTGTCTCTCATATTTACTGTGGCATTATCTGTACTAGTAAAGATCCATAAGCAGCCAAAGTATCTGACAGATGAATGAATAAAGAAGTTGTGGTACACAGATCTAGTGAAGTGTCTTCAGTCATGAAAAGAAAGAGGAGTCAGTTTTAAGGAGAGGAAGGTGAAACACATCTTCTGTGGTTGCCGGACCAGTCTGACATCTCTTTCTTCTTTCAGATACTGTGGCCAAGAACATTTACCTATTCACTGAATTTTCTGTCACCCAAGTGAGTGCATATTTGTATAAATATTGTGTGGGATTTTGTCTGAAGATGACTGTATGTGTTCTATATTCATGTAACTGTATTTATTTAAATATCACCATTTATGTGGGTGAATACACTTATGACTTAATTCATAATAATTACATCAGCTATATTTATCAAAAAGAGTCAATAGTAAAAAGAAAATCATGCCGGGCGGTGGTGGTGCACGCCTTTAATCCCAGCACTTGGAGTCAGAGGCAGGCGGATCTCTGTGAGTTCGAGGCCAGCCTGGTCTACAAAGTGAGAACCAGGAAAGGCGCAAAACTACACAGAGAAACTCTGTCTCGAAAAACCAAAAAAAAAAAAAAAAAAAAAAAAAAAAAAAAAAAAAAAAAAGAAAGAAAGAAAATCAGCTAGTTTGTAAAAGATAATTCTCTAAAATGTTTGTTTCCTCATTTCTCTCCATTGGCATTATAAAATAAATTTGTACCCCATTAGCATACCTTAGGAGAGGAAATTGAGAGGCCTTTAGAGAAGGTTGGGAGTGTAGTCTAGGATGGATGTTTGAAGAGCTGGGTTTCTAAGTGTTTATAATTTATTCATAATTATGCTTGCTGTGTTTCAGAACCATTTGAATGTGACCATTTCAAGTCCAAACTACAAGGATCCCAATAACTTGGCATTCCAGGAAATTAAAATCCTTGGGACAGAGGCAATTTACAATGTTAGAGTGAAACAGAATGGTGTCCTTAGTCAGATGTCTCCTCAAATCACTTACAATTCAAACCTGAAGGTAAGAATTCACTTTGTGAGGGAGACTTTCATAAACCTCCATGATTTCTTGATATCACTTCTTGCTAAGATTACATGGGCTGTTGAAGGACCAGAGCACATCTGATGCCTGATGGGCATGTCAGAGTATTAGGAGGAAGGTAGAGATGTAGAGATAGTCAGAGGCACCATGACTCCAGTTTTTCCGTCCCTGGTTTCTTCCCTCTCAGTGTTTGCTTTTCTATAACAGGGTGTGGGGACAGGATCTGAGAGCTGATGGCTTGTGCTTGGAGGTGAAAGTAGAGATAGAGATCCTATGAATATAAACTTTAAAGTGCTTTTATCTATTTACTGTTTCTTTCCTTTTGTTAAGCTCTATTGAGAATAGTACATGTTCTCTAACATATACATTTGCAGGAAATATTTTATGCAAAAGTTGATGGTGCTACTAACTAACTCAGATGGTGATTAGAAAGTGCTGTTCTGGTAGATGTAATGACATCCAACCTTTGTGTATGACTTCATTTCCATTTCTCTATTCCTCAGCACTGTGAGGAATCCTTTCCAAGTCAGTTCTCTTGACTTCTGCTGAGGATCCTCAGGGAATTGGAGCTGTTCAATCAGCACTGTTTTCAGGATCTTTCAAATTAGGAAAATGAGTCAACTGAGACTTCAAATAGATGGCATATTGATGATACTTGACATTTATCATCACATTATGTACAGAAGAAACATACATTATGAAGTTATAAATAAAGTATTAGGTGGTTGGTTGAGTGTATGGCAAAGTGTAAGGCAGCTGGAAAATGCAGATGTGAAAAGAAGCTTTGTTCTTGGTAGAAAATAAGATAGTTAATATATCACCAAAAAACTCTTTACTGTTTGAATCAGGGTGGTAGGAGATAGAATTCACACACATGAAAAATATATGAAAGAACTAAGGAGTCGAAATCAACATTTGTAAAATATTTGCATTGGACTTACTTAATATTCAAGGCTTAATGTGGTCGTTGAGGTCAGCTTTTTGGAGAAGGCATGGATAGAACAGGACCTTGAAAGACAGAGTTTCATGGAGATGGTGTGACGGCTCAGCAGTTAATAGCACTGGATGCTCTTCTAGAGGCCGCACGTTGGATTCCCAACATACACATGTTGGTGCACAAATGTGTAACTCCAGTACCAGGGAATCCAATGCCACTTCTGGCTTCTGTGGCCACACACATAATGCACAATCATGCATGCAAGCAAAACACTCATGCACATAAAGTAAGGCTGGATTCATCAGCTTTATATGACAAGCAGTCTGAGATGGAACACAAATTGGAGTTTTTTTTTTTTTCTTCTGCAATTAAAAGTTCAAAGTTGAAACTTGCTGGAATTGTTCCAGAGGTTGAACTTTGTCAGAACTCAGATCTGTCTTGTCTAATGACTGGAAGTGGCTACTTAGATCTAGTGACAATGACCTTAGTCTAGGAGAGATGAAAAAGGGAAAAAATAAGCAAAGAAAAGAGACTTGGAAAAAGAGGAAGGCAGAGATAAAGCTGAAGTGCCAGGCCCTTCTGGCAGGAAAGAAACCCTGACCCAGCAAGTGAACTCAAATTTACTTTTCTGGCCATCAATATGCTACAGTCATTTTCAGATATTAATTGGAAGAATCTGTTATTAGAACCTGAAATACCAAAAAAGGAGAGCATGTTTCATACTAATAAAAGAGCTGGTAATGTGTACAGAAAGGGCCTTGTTTTCCTAGAAAGCATTTGTCTTGGTGATGCTTTCCAAGTTGAGCTATTCTTGACAGGCCAATCAAAGGTTTTAGAAGTCTTCCACTATCAGTCTTTAATTCCATGCCTAGCTAAGGTCTCATTCATATTTGGAAGCAGAGTGTTTGGGGCCAGAGAAAACTTGTCAGACTTGAGAGGGTTTCAGGCACACTATTAAGAAAGTCATATTTAATTCTTTAAGGTCCTGACAATGATCCTTGAATCAAGGCCTTATTGGAGGCTGGAGTGGAGGGTGGGGATTGGCAAGACAGGAAGGACAGGGTACTGGCTACTGGAAGGACACTGAGAAAGGGATGATCACCTCTGCAAGTGACAGTATGCTCCAGATAATGAATGCATTTGTCATGCAGGTGCTGTGTAAGAAACTTCAAATATAAAAGAACAGAAAAAAAATTAGAATGAAATGCTGCAGTTAAAACAAATGCAGTATATGTAACTTCAAATCTGGGTTTCTGGCCTTGGGACATGATGAAACTGGGATACTGGAAATGAAAGTTTATATAATGACATTTCCTACTCCCCAGTCTTACACTTGGTTGATAAATCTTAGACCAAAATAATTGAGAAAACTTGTGTGAGATTCCAGAAAAAACTGCTACAGCCCGAACCACATTACTCATACTGCCCTATTCTCTAGGCTTTCAATACCAAAGGGGTCATGATATGAAGAGGTGATGAATGAGAAAAATAGCTTATTTGGGAATAGGAGGAGAGAGCCTTTCTGACAAAATGAATTAGGGGTCAAGTGGTCCAGAGAAGGAACGAAAACAAAGTGTGAACCCAGCAGGTTTTTCATGGTCGATCTCTTTCTACAGTGTAATATAGAAGGTTTTGAAAGAGTACTGACATTTTCCTTTTGCTACTATCTCTTACCTCATCTGTACAGCTGTACCCTTGCAAACTGTAGTGTGCTCTTTAAATCATTAAAAGCAGAGCATAAGGATAGACTAAGAATGACATTTATACTTAATTTCCAAAAAAGAAAAGTTCAAGTCTGGCAAGATGTTTGTCGTGACGATGAATTTGCATTCCTTCAGGTGGCCACCATCACAGATATCCATCTTGTGCTGGGAGAAGCATACACAGTTGAGTGGGACATCATGATGGACCAGGAGAAGATAGACTGCTACCCAGATGAGGATGGTGCAACTGAGGCCAAATGCACTGCCCGTGGCTGCATCTGGGAGGTAAGCATGCTGAGGATGTTCCTGGAAACTGGAACCCTTGAAATACAACCTACAATGTCTTTAGCATAGCCCTGTACCCTTGAATTTATTAAAATCCACTAAAAGAAAAGGCTCCAGATGAGCCTGATTTGGATTGAGGAGTAGAGTGCAGAAAATGGGGTGTTTACTGTGTTGTTTGAAGTTGAGGAATTTAGAGTAATGCTTACTTTAATTGTTATAGACATGAGTGACTGAAGTGATGGCTTTCTCCATATAAATAGATTATCTATGTGATAACTATGGATCCCTGCTGATTTAGGATATTGACGTTCTTTTTAGGAATCCAGCTCTTCTGGGGTCCCTTACTGCTACTTTGCCAATGAGCTGTACTCAGTCAGCAATGTTCAGAATCACCCGAATGAGGCCACAGCAAACATCTCCTTAAAGCCTTCTCCTTATAGCAATGCCTTCCCGTCTACACCCGTGAATCAGCTGCAACTGCGCGTGATCTACCACAAGAATGAAATGCTGCAGTTTAAGGTAAACACAGTATGTGCCATCAGGTGTGGACAGGGCCTTTTCAGTTCTATTACTCTATGCAACCTTGTGTTACAACATTATAAAATTTTTTATTTGTTTAGTAAGTAGTCTAGAACAACATTCTAATGAAGAGAGCAATTAGATGACTGGTAGAACAGTGAAACCTCTCCTAATTTCAAATTTCAGAGAATCACTGTGTCTAAAGAGATACTTGGGAGAATGAAACATGGAGAGGGACAGAGGAGGCTACTAGGAAGGTTGGACAGTTATGGATGAGTTTGGTGTAGGGATAAGAAGGGAGATGTCCACAGGGGATATGATTGAGACCTTGAGACCATCTTGGTCATTCATATCAACTAAAAGAGGGATATACCTAAGGAATGACTGCCATGTTCGTAGCTTGCGAGTGTGCGTGTATGGTTGGTAATGATAATGGAGGTTAGAAAATGGGGCAGATTTGTGATTGACAATATAAGAGGAGGAGTATGATTTTAAATGAAATAATAGGAGACAACTTTGAAATACTCATGAAAGTGATTTGTTTTCCTTCCTTGGTTTAATTAACCAAAGGGACTAGGGATGGACTAGCTATCCTCTTGTTTGTTTCATTATTAGACTGTGAGCTGCTCCAAAACAAGGGTTTGTCTTCCATGGTGGTGGTATTGGAATCCCACACATAGGTTGCTATATAGTGAGTACTCAAATGCTATTGGAATAGTACAAGGCAGTAATCAAGGCAGAGTGACTCTGCTTAGACTACCCTTAGAATCTGGGCTCATTCTGGACTGACTTTTCCATCTTCTAATGTGTTGTTTTGTGTGTGTGTGTGTCCTCACCAGAATGGAGTTGATTGGGTGTGTAGCCTCAACTTACACTCACTAACCATTAGCTATGCAGTAGTGCTCTCCATCATACTCATCTTTCTGAGCCCACTTTAACACTCTGGGACTTTGTTGTTTCTTTACCAGAATCACCTGCTCTCAGTTTTGTGTTGGTTTATTGCTGTTTAACTTTTAAGATTCAGCCTGTATTTCTTCCATGAAACCATCTCACTGTTTCTTTCCAGTAATATCAACGCCCTTCTGCAGAATTTGTGTTAGCTCACATCCTCCAGGAGTGCTGAATTCTTCTTTCTTGTTTCCCATGAATTCCTAAGCATTTTATGACATTAACCTTGGCTTATTCAGTTCCTATCCCTACTAATTACTATTGTATCCACAGTAGTATTTGGATCCTTAATTATCCAGCTGTATTTCATCTCCAGAAGATATGTTTTTAATTAGAGAAATTTAGTTTTTTCCTGCCAATTTCAGTGGTTTCAGGTCTCCTTATACTCATATATCCACACACAAAATAATATATCGTATGTTTATAAGTACCAAACCAATTTCAGAATTAAAATTTCATGTTAATAGCAGTGTTGAAATAGGTGAAGATTCTAGAGCCCATAATATTGAGATATGACACAGATCAAGTTATTTAATAGAACCTTGTTCTCTGGTATGTTGGTTAAGTCCTGTATTGTGAGGTAAAAGCAAGACAAAACATACAACTTCTAGACTCTGTGAAACATGCTAAGAGTATGCTGAGGTATTTGTCTGTAGAGAACAATTCTATTCCAAAGCACTCTTTGAAATGACAGCTAACTGTGAACATTTGCACTATTAATGCCATGTTTTGATGTATTTACATATTATGATTGAACAATTCAGTACAGTTAGGAACTGGTGTTTCAATCCTCTAGTATTTTGTGAGGTGGAAATTAAATATCTTCACAAGTTATTTTGAATTATATTATAAGTTATGCAATTATATTATTAATTGCATATTATTGTTAATTATGAGCACCGTCAGCATGCTAAGAAAACATCATAATGTATATGCTATATTTTTTTCTTTATATAAAATGTTCTCCTCTGGCCTAGATCTATGATGCCAATCACAGTCGATATGAAGTCCCAGTGCCTCTGAACATCCCCTCTGCTCCATCCAGCACCCCTGAAGGCCGTCTCTATGATGTCCTCATCAAGGAGAATCCATTTGGGATTGAAATTCGCAGGAAGAGTACAGGCACTGTAATGTAAGTGGGTCCTGGTCTGACTTGGAGTTCCTGCTTTTCTAAACATTCCTCACCAGGTCCATATTAATTGAAGACATCCTGGCTCAAAGCATCAGACTGATCTCGTTCAAATCCATAATGCATTAGTTACCTTTTATGGCTGTGACAAAAAGACCCAACCAAGAAAACTTATAGAAGAGTTTATTTGAGTTTATGGCTTCAGAGGTTTGGAGTCCATGATGGTGAAGTGGATGCAGGCAGCACACAGGGCAGCAGGAACAGCTGAGAGCTCACCTTTTGATCTGCAAACAAGAAACAGAAAGCAAACTGGGAATGGTGTGAGCCTTTGAACTCCAGAGCCTGTCCCCAGTGACATACTTCCTTCACCAAGGCCACCCCTCCCAATAGTCCCCAAATAGTGCCCAAATGGAGACAGAGTTTTCAAATATCTGGGATTATGGTTGATATCTCACATAAACACCGCACAAGAGGAAATGCTTTCTGTTCTTAGAGGAAATCTTTAATACCCTGGGAGGGATTACTAAGGCAGTTACAGGTATGTGGGAAATATAGATACTTGAACAAGTATTTATATTAGGTTATCTTCTGGTACTGTGGTCATAGACAGATGTGCTATATCTTCCACTAAAGAAAGTTTAAATTATACTATGAAGAGGAACTTGATATAGCAACAACTGCTATGCTGGAAAAATCAGAGAAATCAGATTATTTGGTGACTTAGATACTATGATCTGCGTTTGTGTCTCTGGGGATGAGGTGATGTTTGAAATGGAACTGAGATTAGGAGAAGTTCTGAAGGGAGTTCTGGGTAAAGAAACATCTGTGATAGAATGATGTAAGTCATGAGCTAGAGGAAATTTATCAGTTTCAATAGAGACTTTACTCTGAGGTAACTGCTCTGATAAATGTGGGAGACAAAACAGGGGTGTTAGGTGGGATTTAGAACGGGAACAGCCCTGATGGATCCTCGGATGCTGTCAGGAGAAGTGAGCAGGCATGTGAGCAGAAGTGTGAGGTGATGTGAGGTGCTCATAGTACAGCCCTGGATAGCTGTAGGAAGTGGAGCATCAGGGGTCAAGAGCAGAAGACACAGTGAGTCTGGAGTGGTAAGGTGATAAACGTGATTGGACATGTGATTGTGGACAACACTAAAGGGAAGCAGTGATACAGTGTAGGAGAAGAATTACCTGTGACACAGGCCTTTAGCAGGGCTGACTGTGGTTATTTCAGTGAACGAGACTTGCTTGTTTTGTTTGAGAGAGACTCAGGTACAGATGGTGTGGGAAAATGGAGGGCTCTGTTATCCTCACAGAGGCAGCTGCTGGAAACTACTAGGAAGCTGATTTTCTTTTTTAAATGTCCCTTCTCCTTCTGCAGCTGGGACTCTCAGCTCCTGGGCTTCACCTTCAATGATATGTTCATCCGCATCTCCACCCGCCTGCCCTCCACATACATCTATGGCTTTGGGGAAACTGAGCACACAACCTTCAAGATAGACTTGAACTGGCACACGTGGGGCATGTTTTCCAGGGACGAGCCCCCGGGGGTAAGGACAGGGTGTTTGGGTCTGTGTTCTGTCTCCTCCATCCACACTGTGTGCCTGGTGGTGTTTTTTCGGACTCCATATGCTTGTCAATTTCTATTGCTAGGAGGATGGACATCTTTTTAAGTTCCCCTTTCCTCTGCTGTTCTTACCAGAAGAAGATTGACTCAACATAGCAATCAAGTTTCTGTTGAGTTTCTTTCCCATGCACACAGTCTCCTAACTTCCTTTTCCCTATGCCTCTCAGTACAAGAAGAATTCCTATGGTGTCCACCCTTACTACATGGGTCTAGAGGAGGATGGCAATGCCCATGGAGTCCTCCTGATGAACAGCAATGCCATGGGTAGGATGAACCTCTGTCCTGTTATTGTATGCCATTGATTCTTGAATTGCTTTAGAATATATTTGCCTTAGCTGTCACTATAGACAAAATTATAGTCTTTATGGAATGATTTTCCCTTTCATTGACCCTTTATGTATATTTTAATTATATATAATTTACCCAACTTTTATTAGCAATGCAGCTAATGAGAGCTTTTTTTGACTTCTTCAATTCTATATGCACCTACTCCAAAATATCTCCTGTCAGTGTGTTACAACTGAAGAATAAGAAGGTGGGGATTCCAGGGTTAAAATTCTCAACAGGAAGGATTTCATCATGTTGACATTTTCTTGTGTTTTCAGATGTGACATTTCAGCCCCTGCCTGCCCTAACATACAGGACCACAGGGGGCATTCTGGATTTCTATGTGTTTTTGGGCCCAACTCCAGAGCTTGTCACTCAGCAATACACAGAGGTAGGAAGGAAAGCTTTTTTGAAATATGTGGTGTGTGTGTGTGTGTGTGTGTGTGTGTGTGTGTGTGTTCATACACACATAATGTTTCCAATCCTGCTATACATGATTGTCATATAATGTAACTGTCATATGATACATAAATTTTAGGGTCTTTCTCAGGGGAATTTATAATATGGAATATAGGAGAGAGAATTTATTCCTATAACTATTAAAATGATGTTTTCTTCACTTATTGCAGTGTATCAGAGTATTTGTAGCAACTAGTGGTGGGCTAGTGTGGTGGTGGAGCTATGGTAGTAGTGATTTTGATGATGTGGTAAGGGATGATGGTATTGAATGTAGTGGTAGTACTATTGGTGAAAATGAATGTGAGGATGGTGACTGTGATAATGATACAAAGGATGATAGGACACGAGGTGATCATGAAAGTGGTTGTAATGGAGTTAATGCTGGGAGCTGAGAGAATGAGGTTCATGTTAGTGGTGGTGGTGGTAGATATGATGATGTTTTGGTAGTAGTGGTGTTGGTAATGATGATTGTGTCTGTGATGGCAATGGGAATTAAGATGGTAAATATTACATTATGACACTGTCACAGTGGTTACAATGTGGTGATAGAGACAATGACTGTACTTGTGTTGAAGGTGGGAGTCATGATCACAATAACTTTGTTGGTGATAACATCAACTAACATGTATGAAATATCTACTGCGTGTGTTACTAAATGCATGTGAGAGGGCGTCACACATACTAAGTCACTCAGTGAAACCAACATGAGATTGCTCCTGCTCTTAGCTTTGATTGACAGGTAAAGAAACAAACACAGAAATGTCACGTAGCTGCCCAAGGTCATACAATGAGCAAGACCTAGAGACTGTATTCTAAATTAGCTCTTTCCCTTTTGTTGTGTGTTTTTAGTATCTAAATTATATATCTAGGAATCTGAATAAAAGCAGGTTTTCCAGAAATCCTATAAAGTGTGCTCTGAGAAGCTGTAGGTTTTCTGTAGTGTGTCCCAGGAGCTCCACACACCCCTCCACTTACTCTCTGGGGTTGAATTTGTTGTCAAATTGGGTAAAATATTCTGACTTCATATCCAGTTTCCATCCAACTTCTCCTCTAACATTCTAACACTTTCTATTTTCTAGTTGATAGGTCGGCCTGTGATGGTACCTTACTGGTCCCTGGGATTCCAGCTGTGTCGCTATGGATATGAGAATGATACTGAGATCGCCAACTTGTATGATGAGATGGTGGCTAAGCAGATCCCCTATGTACGTATGTCTGTTGGGGATTTGTTTGTCAGATTTAAGTGTGGTTTTAAAATGGCGCACTGTGTTTTCTCATGTCATGTCACACTGAGCCTAGAGTATCCACAATGATTTAGGGGAGACCACTGCCATCATAATAGTGGTGGCTTAGAGTAACAAAGAGGAGCTAAGACTGGTTAGTTCCTGGATGCTGTCTCCTGTACTAGGCTTTCCTCTGCTTCTTGAATGACTTCAAGATATTATATACACTGTCCTTACTGACATGATAATAAAACACAACTCCAATACTAGCTTTGTTTAATTAAAGAAACTTAACCCCCTCATTCAGTGAACCCAGCCTATATGAGGATTGCTTTCTTGGGCCTGGCACACCATAGTGCTCCCTGAGCTTCTCACTGGCTCCGTGCTGGACTCCTGTATTGAGTTTGTAGTGGATCACATACAGAATCAGCACATTCACTTCAAAAGCAGAGGTCCAATAATCATAAATCATTTTGTGACCCTTTGGTTTTTGTCTTGTATATATTGTTCTGTGTTGCCTTAGTGCAAATCACTTCCTGTAACAGTGGTTCTCAACTTGTGGGTTGTGACTTTTTTGGGGTGAGTCCAACAGCCCTTTCAAGGGGTCACCTAAGACCATTGGAAAACACAGATATTTACATTATAAATGAGAGTAACAAAATTACTTTCTGTAACTAAGTGGTTTTCAACTTGTGTTTTGCAACCTTTTTGAGTGGAGTCAAATGGCCTATTCATATCTAAGATCACGGGAAAGCACAGATATTTACATTATAATCCATGAGAATAGCAAAATTACAGTTATGAAGTAGCAACAAAAATAATTTTATGAATGGGGCTTACCACATCATGAGGAACTGTATTAAAGTTTCTCAGCATCAAGTAGGTTGAGAACCACTGTTGTAATAGAACATCTCATTGAGAGCTCTGCATTTGATCATCTCCAACACTCGGTCCTCTACAGTGAGGACAGTTTTTGTTTTGGTTCTTTTATAGTGGACCTATGATTGTATTATATACACAGTGAATATTTGACATTATTTTCAATGAACACACATCACCGATCTCAGGACATACTCATAGAGAAAGTCAAAGCACTTTTTCTTATAGTATTTTTATTTATTTATTTATTTATTTTTTACAACAGTCTTTGCATGTTGGCATTGTTACTCATCATATATTTTTTGTTGATGTTGAAATCATTTTTTCCTGTTTTTGAGTGAAATATTTAAAAATCAGTGAATACCCAAAGATCCAAAGCTACAATATGGCATATCTAGCAGTCGAAATTGCCAGACACAGGCTGTGGTAACTGCTAGAGTCTGAACTTTCCAACCAGCAGCCACACTTTCTTATACCATCCACAGGACGTGCAGTACTCAGACATCGACTACATGGAGAGGCAGCTGGACTTCACCCTCAGCCCCAAGTTCTCTGGGTTTCCAGACCTGATCAATCGCATGAAGGGCAATGGGATGCGGGTCATCCTCATTCTGGTTAGTTTGTGTGAATGTGTAGGCTGTGCTTGAGACAATGGATGGGCTTGATGGGGATCACCTTAGAGTGCCTGTCCTCTCCTGTTTCAGGAGAGAAATAAAGGTGTAATTAGTATAAGTGTATTTCTGGGAGTCAGGAAACTCTACAGTGAAATTTCAACTGGGGACTTCCCTTTTCCACCCCCCTTCTTTGTAATCCTCAGTCTGAACTTTCACCTGCCTTGTGCTCTGATTGCAGGACCCAGCCATTTCTGGCAATGAGACACAGCCCTATCCTGCCTTCACCCGGGGTGTGGAGAATGATGTCTTCATCAAATATCCCAATAATGGAGACATTGTCTGGGGAAAGGTATGAGCTTTGTTTTGATCCAACGGGACTCACCCTGGGCAGAGCCACTGTTAGTGCTCTTCAGAACTGTTGATTTTGTGCCTGTTTTGTGTGGCTTCTAAAGTTGTGGTTCTTTTTCTCTCTTTCTTTTTTTTCTTTTATTTTCAGTTAATACCTGCTGATATGCTTAAGAGCTTTTTTGGAATCCATTCTCTTTCAGAGCAACCCTACCTGACATCTACTAGTCCTAGAACCACTGCTTACAGTTTCTTAAGAACTTACTTGTATGAACAATCGTTCAGGATATTGCTGTTAAATCTTTTCTCTCCATAGGTCTGGCCTGATTACCCTGATATTGTGGTGGATCCCTCTCTAGACTGGGACAGTCAACTGGAGGTAAAAGGCCCTACATGTGTGCTCAATGTAGTCAGGGTTGCCAGGAAGAGGCAGTCATGTCTAGGAGACTCGATGTGTCTACACTTAGGACAGAGACATGTGAGAAAGAATCACTTAAGAGCAATGGTCCTCTTGTCAGTCTGAGACCCATTATTTTTTGTGTCACAATGTTTTACTTCAAGTTGTGATATTGCATTATTCACCATGAGATTTAAGACACAGTGCACTCAAGTTTCCTGTCCACAGTTCTCCATGTCACAATGGCAATTTCAAATGCAAAGCTGTCAGTTCATAAGGGCTATGAACTCCCAATGGATGCTAGCTCTAACAGTTCCAGCTTTGTCCTCAGTTATGATATCTTTTTTTCTCCATGTGTATTTATGTTCACACACAGGCTGACTCCATATCCACACATTAATCCAGCACCACCCTTCCATCCTTCATTGGGCCTTTCCTTTTCCTTTTAGTTGAGGTCTCTTATTATTAATTTGCTTTCTTCTGTGAACAGACTTTTCCATTTAATGGAACCAAGTAGCCTAGGTTTCAGCCTTAATTTTTTTCTCATTTTCATTTGCATCTGTTGCTTGGATGAATAAATTCATTGACACAACTGGCAAAAGAAGCATCAGGCCTTTTTCTTGCTAAGATGTTTATCCACTGCCCTGAGGCAGCCTGTTAATTTTTTTAAATGAGTTTTTCTGATATACCTTTGAGCAGTGTTGACATGGTTGGAAGGCAGCCGCCCTTGAATGTCAGTATTTGCTGGACCTTTAACTCTTCCTTAACAATGATCAAAATTGAGGAACTTGAATTCCAGTATCAGTGGGTGCTGTTGGGAAGTGTAAGATAGCCCTAGTGTGCCACACATGTGTGATGGTTGAGCTGATGATGAAGTCGGCCTACACATGGTTCACAAGGTACAGCTGAGATCTAGAAATCCTGTTAGATTCAAGAACTAATCAGGTAAGTCATCATTCGGGACACAAACATAGAAGTTTTAAATTTAGGTTTTAACCACACAAAGCCCAGGATCCCCTTGACTAGTCCATTCCATACAATGTAGATGGTTTCCAAATTCTGGGAAGGTATATTATTTGTGATTTTTAATCTTTACTCTTAATTTTTTTCCTAATAAGTCAAGAATGTTATGTCATATAGGCTCTATTCAGATCATCACTATGTACAATTGTGGAGTTATAAGAATTCATTAAGTTCTTATAAAATGACTGCTTCCTGCAAAATATATTCATTTCCAATAAATGGATTGTATGTTACTTTGACAGCAATACCGAGCTTATGTGGCCTTCCCAGACTTTTTCCGTGATTCAACTGCCACATGGTGGAAGAAGGAGATTCAAGAACTCTACACGAACCCACAGGAACCAGGGAAGAGCTTGAAGTTTGATGGCCTGTGGATTGTAAGTGTGTATGGATGTGTCTGTGAATACATGTGTATGGGTGTGCTTGTATGTGTTTGTGTTGTTTTTTGCATGTGGATCCATGACATTGGGCAAGGTGATAATAATTTCCAGGAAAAGATTTCAGACATAGCAAAGTGCCAATCATCCAATCAAACTTAGAATTGTCCTCAACCTAGTACCCAGGAACCTGTCTGAAGTTCCTGGTGTAAAACTTCCACAGTGATTAGTGGGAATTCCTTAAAGCATTGTTTGTCATAAGTGGGGGGGCATTAAATCATCTAGTCAGTCATGTTGAGGTTAATTGTTCTTTCTGGCCTGTGCTTCCCCAATGGTTCATGATCCTCTCTGGGCTGCATCTACAGAGATGTTAGATATTGAATGTATAACTACTTCTTTGTTCTTGAATTGACAGAATGTAAGTATCATTAAAGATTATCCATAATTTTGCTATTTATAGGATATGAATGAACCTTCCAGCTTTGTGAATGGGGCAGTTCCTTCTGGCTGCAGTGATTCTACTCTGAACCGCCCACCCTACATGCCTTGTAAGGACCTTGGGATCTCTTCACTTGTTGCACAGTGACTGGAAGGAAGATGAGCTCAGTATCCTGGGGTGACCCTGACCAACAAGGACACCTCCTCACCATTATTTTGTATTAATAGGGCATGAGACAAAAGCATGTCATATTATCCAACTGGAGATGTTAGAAAATTTCTTGAATTTGTCCAGAAATCACTCAGCTGTGCTAATGTCTCTGTGGTGTGATAACTTACAGAATTTCTTTGTCCACCAATATGTACAATGAAGTCACTTCCCCTTTTCACAGAGCTGGTGGACTTTGGAGTTATGCACATTTATAGCTTAGCTCCATATACATGCCTTTTTTGAGTTGTGAGACCTTCCAGAGACATTACCAAATCTAAGTTTCCAAAAGTATAAGAGACAGACAACACTATCCACTTAAAGAAATATGATAAGAAAGACATGAAATAGAAATAATTTGTGTAGGAAAAGCTTATGGAACTGGAAGGATGATTATGCCTTATTCTGGTTATTCTGGTCTCTGCAGGCAACCTCTTTCTCTTTCAAACACACACACACACACACACACACACACACACACACACACACACACACACACACACACCCTTACACATACACAAATAAATAAAAGTAAATCTTTTAAGGAAGTTTTTCTTAGGACCTGCTCCATGGTGAAGAATTGACAACCTATATTCTCTCCACATCTCCATTTTATTTAGTGAATTTGATGCTAAAAATGCCTTCAGTCACCTTGCTACTCAGAGAAGCCTATTGCACTTACGCTCCTGGGAAGGGGAGTGTTACCCAGGCAGAGGTTCTTAGTCTTAATGTCTTCTAAAAAGAGGTGAAGAATTAAGAGTCAAGGGTGATCTTCACTGACATTTCATTATTTCCCTCAGATTTGGAAGCCAGGGACAGGGGCTTGAGCAGCAAGACCCTGTGCATGGAGAGTGAGCAGATTCTTCCAGATGGCACCCTATTACGGCACTATGATGTGCACAGCCTGTATGGGTGGTCCCAGACCAGACCCACCTATGAGTGAGTAACCCTCTCCTTTCTCAAGTTGGTGGCACCTGCAGAGACAGTCAGTGATGGGTTTATTTTCATGAATTTGTTGTTCATTTTCCATAAGAAGGGCTAGAAAGTAATCCAACTATAACTTTGTAGATATTTGTGTTTATTAAGCAAATATTCTATGAGCATGTGGCCACATGGAAGCAAGATTTAAACAAGGTACCACCACACCAGTGGGAAATAGCACTGGTAAGGACCCACTCATCTGGGGACACCAGGTCATTACACATGTGGAAAGTGCCATAGTTAGAAGGAGCATTAGATAGAAGAGACAAACAGGACGAACAGGACTGAAAGGCCCCTCCTTTATCTCACAACTGGATGATCTTTTTAGATGTCTGCTATTCTATTGTTGTTTGTTTCTTAATTATTTTGGTCACTTTCATAAGACAGTCAATGGTTCTTTTATTGAATAACACCATGTTCTATGCCCAATTTGTAATACTAATTATCTCCTGGGAAACTTTAGAAAGGAATTGCTATTCATCATCCTCAAATACAGAAAACTAAGTACTGGGTAAATAATCAAGAGCCCTTATTACACGTTTACCTTTTGGTGACAATCTGTGGGTTCATCACATGATGATTTTTAAAAAAATGATAAAAAGGCATGGAAAAGGTGTCCCCTGCCATTTTCCATGTCAGCCAGTAGAACGCCCCCAGATCAGATTCCCAAATTCCCTCCAAAGATGGAGCAAACATTCGCCATCATAAAAGGGTTAGGAGGAGAAACTCTATTGCCTTCTTTTTCATGCCCTTCTTCAGCATAACTACTTGTTTCCCCACCAGAGCTGTGCAGGAGGTGACAGGAGAGAGAGGGGTCGTCATCACCCGCTCCACATTCCCCTCTTCTGGACGCTGGGCAGGACACTGGCTGGGAGACAACACAGCTGCCTGGGACCAGCTGGGGAAATCCATCATTGGTGTGTGGGTTGTGCCCAGGGGCCTCTGCTGGCTGTGGGTGGAGTGGGGAGTAGGATCCTTGGTGAAGGGGGAGGGGCAGGCAGAGAATGAGTGCCTGTCCTGACCCTGCTGCATCTCTCCTTGCAGGCATGATGGAGTTCAGTCTCTTTGGCATCTCCTATGTAAGTGTCCTTCCATGCTCCTCCCTAGGAAGGTGGCCTCATCTCTCAAAAGCTCCCAGAGCTCACTTTGTTTGTTGTTGTTTCAGACCGGGTCAGACATCTGTGGGTTCTTTCAAGATGCTGAGTATGAGATGTGTGTGCGCTGGATGCAGCTGGGTGCATTTTACCCCTTCTCCAGGAACCACAACACCATTGGGACGAGGGTAGGATGTCAGCTTCCTCACATATATTATGTAACTGGAAATGCTACCTCAGTTTCTGAGTTCAATCCTGCTGCCTGTTTTCCCTGGGACACCATCGAAGTCATGAATCCTTTTCCTGTAAACTATAGTCTTTAATATTACTTCGATGGCTTTTTGCTTAGGGACTATTTTCCACCATATCTCATGAAGAATGTCTTATCAATTTTTTTCCTGGTAGAATTTTACTGATTTTTATCAGTCCATTAAGAATACTCTAGGATTCCTAGTCACCATTTCATAAGGCTTATGGTATGTTAGATGTGTGATATACAGTTCAAATAGGCCTTTAATGACCTTCTTGAATTCTTTAGTTGTCTCTGGAGGACTTTGAACACTTTTCTTCTGTTGCTTTAGAGACAAGACCCTGTGTCCTGGGATGAAACCTTTGAGAATATTTCCAGAAGTGTGCTAGAGACCAGATACACCCTGTTGCCATATCTCTACACCTTGATGTACAAGGCCCACACGGAGGGCAGCACAGTTGTGCGGCCTCTTCTCCATGAGTGAGTGTCGAGCTGGAATGCTGGTGAATGATGGACAGTTTATTTATCATGTAGGGTGGAAGTGGATCCAAACAATTTTTCCACATTGAAGTGATAAGTCCCTTTTTTATTATTTTATAATTTAATTTAATTTTACATATCAGCCACGGATTCCCTTGTCCTTTCCCCTCCCGCACCGCCCCCCCCCCCCCCGCCTCCCCCCCAGTCCACCCCCATTCCCATCTCCTCCAGGGCAAAGACTCCCCTGGGGATTTAGTTCAACCTGGTAGATTCAGTTCAGGCAGGTCCAGTCCCCTCCTCCCAGGCTGAGCTAAGTGTCCCTGCATAAGCCCCAGGTTCCAAACAGCCAGCTCATGCACTGAGGACAGGTCCCGGTCCCACTACCTGGATGCCTCCCAAACAGTTCAAGCTAATCAACTGTCTCAGATAAGTCCCTTTTGTTTGAGCTCTCCAGAGACTATCTCTGTCACTCCTTCTAGTACAGTGAAATACATAACACCTGTGTTCTATATAAGGTACTTACTGAAGTTATGTAATGGAAGCTCCCAGCATAGCACAATTTCTTTCTTTGAAGGCCCTACAAAGACTTCCCTATTTGGTGTAGGGATTTTGTTATTTGAACCCTGACCAGAACATCTTCTTGTAACTTTAGTGGGCATTCCAGGGACAGATGACAAGGACCAACATATTATTGCTTTATAATGTGCCACAGTGAGGAAATAGAAGATGTGTTGTGGCAGATAATGCATTTCTGAGGTTTTAATAATACAGCATGTAGGAAATGGGGTCTATGTGATCCTTATCAGTCTAGTGAAATATAAAGAAGGTATGGAATGTAGCTGGATTTCTGACTTGGTTCTGAACTTGAGGACTTCTTGGAGGCCTTGTTCTGAGGCCCCTCTGGAGTCACACTGGCACCTTTATTTCCTTTTCCAGGTTTCTGTCAGACCGGGAGACATGGAATATAGACAGACAGTTCCTGCTGGGTCCAGCCTTCCTGGTCAGCCCTGTGCTGGAGCCTGTGAGTATGGAGACAGGAGGGATTCAGGATTCCACTGTAGGGCTGGATGACAGGGGTGATGCAGAGGCTGGTGTGAGAGGGATTATGAGACACAGTTTCTTACTTTGCACTCGACTCCTTTGGTCCTTCTGAGCCACATTCCATGCCTTAGGTATTCTGCCTTTCGACCTTTAATGTCAGCCTAACATTTCAAGGAATAACCTTGTGATGTATTTAAGGATGTAATTATTTCTCTGTGAGCTAAGGTAAGGTATCATTGTCAAGTGCAGGAAGTGTAAAGATTCCTTATTTTCTATTATTCTTAACTAAAATTAACTGGAAAACTATTTATAGCAATATGCATTTTTTATTTCTTTTGTCCTTTAATTACTTCTTTTATTTTTGAGGTTATAATGTAATTTCACAATTTTCCCCCTCCCTTCATGTCATCTTTTGAAACCAGCTAGTTTTCCCCTTCCTTCTATACATGGCCTTGAAGCTAGAGAAAACAATTAATTTATTTACTGTGTGTATAAAGTGGCTTTTGATAAAATGAACAGGTAATTAACACCCATTGCATCTTTTTGAGGCTACACAATTTTCTTCTGCTCTATAGTCAACATTGCCTATTTGTTCCTAGGGGAGGGGATGAATACATCTGTAATACAGTGGTGTTTTTTTTTTTTCTCTGAAGTCTTGTTACCCGAGGAGCTTTGTGAAAGCATGTATTTGGGGTAGGCTAATTTCTGTTGCTGAAAAAGGAGGATCTTCATCATTGATTCCATAAGGGAGATGAAATAATAATTTTGTCTAATTCTGTTAGTTTTATTATTAACTCCTCACCAATGCATGCTGGTCACAGTGTCCTAGAGAGCAGAGTCCACTGCTCACACTTTCTTTGTCTTTTATTGCAGAATGCCAGAAATGTCAGTGCCTATTTCCCTAAAGCCCACTGGTATGACTACTACACGGTGAGTTTTTCTTTTTATTTGTACAATCCAGAAAGTGGTAGCCTATAGAGTGTCCTCATATGATAGATATCAAGTTTCATGCCACTGGAAATCACCTTTGTGGTCTTGAGTGGCTACTTTACATTTTGTGGCCTCATTTCTAACTTCTGACCATGACCAGTCACCCTTCAGGCAAGTGTTCTGCAGTGACAGGCAGGGTGTCTCCTTGGTGTCATGCTTGGTGGGAGTCTTTCTGTTTGAGTCTGTAGCTTTGTCCTAGTATCGTTCCGGTGGTGAGACACCAGTAAACTCTTGAAATCATGCTGTAGGTTTCATTTTTGTTTATAAAGTTCTTATTCTTGGAGATCTTTTCCTCTTTGCACTTTATTAAAAGCAGACAATGCTGGAGACATGGGCCAACATGTAGGTATGTGAGCATAGAGTCCATGTGCCTGGAGTTTGATTCTTAGATCATCCCACTAGGTGGCTGGAGGGAAGAAACTCCCATGAGTTATGCTCTGATCTACACACACACACACACACACACACACACACACACACACACACACACACACACAGGCACACATACCCCTCTCTAAGTGGATAGACAGATAGATAGATAAATAGATATATATATATATATATATATGGAGATAGATAGATAGATAGATAGATAGATAAAATTTCCAAGTCAGTCTCTGTAGTTTGTAAACCTAAGGATAGTTTCTCTATATCATTGTCTAAGTTTAATAGCTATGAGACATACATAAGTATTTAAAACACAAAGATATATGTCACAGGACTTGGCTGTCTGAGTTGTTCACATGTATTTACTGACGAGAAGTCAACAAGAAACTCTCTATGATGTATTGTTGGCCAGTGCAGGCTAAGGGTCCAGCTGAAAGAACATGGTATTAGAGGTTTGTTGTCCTCTAAGAAAAGGAGAAGGAAGTGTCAGACAGAAGAAGTCAGAGCCTATGTCAGTCCCTTGGGGGACAGTCCCAGGGGATTGCTGTGAGAGTGGGTGAAAGCTGTGTGAAGATTAGCAGAGTGCATTTCCTCCTCTTCTTTGACTTGGAAGGACTAGACACTCCTCCCCATGCTTTGTTGTTGGCTAGTTCTGACTTTAGGGTGGGAATGCTCTAGTGCCTTCTGAGTAGACAACAGTCAGCATAAGTGATCCTCGTGTTGTCTGAATTTCACGTTGTTCTTCTCCTTGTTAAGGGAGACCTTCTGGGTATGTTGGGAGTTTCTAATATAGGGCCTGAACTAGGATTAAGTAGGGACACACAATTTAAGGAGGACCTGTACTGTAAGGCTCACCCTGCCTTTACATGGCCTTGAAAGCATAGACCACCTTAAAATTTGCACCCTAGCATCTTGCTAGCCTGTTATAGTGCTGACCTTACCCAGTAAAATGCTTTTTGTTGAGCAGTAGGTGTAGGAATTACAGCCTGATGAAGCTGAGCATGTAATCAGTACTTAAGGTTAGTGGATCTGAAGTACTGGCACATAAGTAAGTGACTTTAGGTACAACATTTTAAAAGTGAAGTATGATGGCTAATAAAAAAGAGTCTCCTGGATTGACTAATTTTATTTGTGGCTTTTAAATAGAAGGTAGTTTCAGATAAAGGGGTGGTAACTGAAATCACCTGCAAAGGCAAGCTGTTCACAGAAAAAGAAAAAAAAATTAAAATGATGTTTACTTAAAACAAAGATTAACTGGTTGGAATTGCTGAGAAAATATTGTCTTAGCTATTATTCACGAGCTACAGATACTCAATATTTTTCTTTTTTCTTTTCTTTTCTTCTTTTTTTTTGAGGGGGGCAGGCAGGGATAGCTAAACTGTGTTTCACTTAATTTTACACTTCTTATTTTCTGTTGTATTGGAGCACGGCCAGACGCAAACTATATGAATACTCCTTACCTCTAAAGCAACAGTGTTCAGATACCTAGCAGAGGACAATTGCAGTGTCTCACAGTCATTGTGGGATGAGGTAATGGAGCTGTTAGTGGCCTCTAGGGAACAGACACCAACACTGCCACTTTCTATCCAAAAGCATAGGACAGCCTAGTCACAAGAAGGAAATATAACTCACAAAATATGAATAGAACCAATGTCAGGGAGATGTCAGCACTGCTGTAGCTGAGACAGTGTAGGAAGGTTTGAGACACACGTCAGGTCACACTGCACCCCACCCACAAGAGACTAGATGAAAGTGTTGAGAGAACATAGAGTTGGGTACATCCTGTTAAGGATATTTAAACAATACTATTTCCTTGGACGTTTTCTATGAAACAGGAGTCAGAAGTGTTAGCTACCTAGCAGGTGTATGAAAACAAGTGAGGAGAGATGGACAATCTGTGGTTTCTTGGTGAAAGAGAGATCTAGTATTGCCCTTAGGGGAAATGTTTCAGAAACTAAGAAGGAGTGGCACATTGTCCAGTGTCACCCCCAATTAGAAACAGTGTGTGCAGTGAGAGTGGGTGGATCCACAGGAAGACCTCATCTGCTATGTGCTGTAACTCTCCCCATAGCTCCACTCTCCATAAGGTCAGGGATTCTAACAGGGTCTTAAAGCTTGAAACACAGCAAGCTTTAACACAGCAGAGGGGAACAAAGTGTGATAATGACCTATGTTGCATGGTGGTGACCGGATTGTTCAGGACCTGCTGGCTGTCCAGAGAGGTGTGCATTCTTTCCCTCATCATCTCTTCTCCTGCCACAGGGTGCAGACGTTAATTCAACAGGGGAGTGGAAGCTCTTGCCAGCCCCTCTTGAACACATCAATCTTCACATCCGTGGAGGTTACATCTTGCCATGGCAACAACATGCTCTGAACACACACTTGAGGTGAGTGATGGGACTAGGGCTCTGCTTTGCATACTGTGAGCTCATCTTTTTGTGATGAAAAACCACATTTACATCAAGCATGCCTCTCAAGGCCAAAAGCAGTTTTCATTATGCTATATGTGAACATGCTTTGCCCCTTTTCACAAATGGGTATTTTGTCCATATCTGTGGAATGTGGTGAGGAAGGATGCTGATGACTTCTGCCTGCCTCTCTCTCTCTCTCTCTCTCTCTCTCTCTCTCTCTCTCTCTCTCTCTCTCTCTCTCTCTCTCTCTGTGTGTGTGTGTGTGTGTGTGTGTGTGTGTGTACGCATGTCTGCATGCAGGATTTTCCTTGAACTCTTCTCGAGAAGCAGTATAGTCTGAAGGTTTCTCCAATCCTGCCTGGCACTGAGGTCAGGACGAATCTTTCCCAACTGCGTCCAGCAGCTACTTGGTCCCAAGTAAACACACAGAGGCTTGTATTAATTAAAACTGCTAAGCCATTAGCTCAGGCTTATTACTGACCAGCTCTTACACTTAAGTTAACCCATAATTCTTATCTATGTTTAGCCACGTCACTTGGTACCTTTTCTCAGTTGTGCCTTGTCATCTTGCTTCCTCTGTGTCTGGCTGGCTGTAGTTTCCTCCAAATTGTTATCAAATTTCTGGAAGTGCCACTCTACACTCTCATATCTTTTATTGTGTCACTTTTCACTCTCTATTTTTGTTGCTTGGCAAGTGTGTTGAATGGGTCTTATAATATTAAGATTTAGGAGTTGTGTGGATGTATCTTTATATGTGTTAGCATTTTAGCAATGACAACTCAATCCGTGGACTATAAAGGAAATCAGCCAATTTTGTTGATAGTGGGGTGTGATCAGGTAGTAGAAGGTTGACCTGGAACAAATATAATAAAAAACCTGAGGCCAGTGAGGGGCACATGAGGAACAAGCATGAAGCCGCTGTGTTATGTTTTGTTTTGTTTTTCTCAAAAGAAAGTAATAGACATTAGAGTAAGTAAAACTAGTCAGTTAGCCATATGGTATATAACAGAATTAGCACTTGACAGGCAAAGGCACTAGGGCCATGAGATCATGACCATCCTGGTCCAGGGAGCGAGCTCTATGCTAGTCTGAGCTGCTTGTCTCAGATTAAACAACCAAATGACTCCAAACAAAGACACTCAATATAGAGTTACCATTATACAGGTTAATCTTATTTTGTGTGTTTCTGAGTAAAAATTTCCTTGGCAGGGAAAGCATATCTAGTGGCAGCAGCTGATATAGTCCTTACAGGATGGTGTCTTTAGTGACCTGGCCACAGCACCACCGTCTAAGACTCCATCCTATTCTCATAGCCTGCACCCTGTATATCAGTGCTGCCACAGCATCCACTGTAGCTGATGTAGTGATTCTGATGCTCACATCCTGACTTCCTGTTTGGACATATGTTGCTGAGGTTTGGGATATTTCTTTCTTGTGACAGTTATACTGGAAAAAGTGTCTTCTAGCATTCTTAGCCCTGTTCTGAAGGGAAGAAGTCATCCATGACTAGTCCTTTACCCATCCATCCTTTATGCATGTGAAATATTGTGGCAATATTTTCTAAAATCCTTTGAACCCTAAGGATTTGTGCCTTGTGTAAATCTTGTTCCCCACAGCCGGAAGAACCCTCTCGGTCTGCTCATTGCCCTGGATAAGAACAAAGAGGCAAGAGGAGAGCTGTTCTGGGACGATGGACAGTCAAAGGGTGAGTGTGGTGAGAGGCTGTGGTCCTTGCAGACCTGCATGTCTGACTCTGTCCCTTCATCCCTGCTGGCCATTCAGCTGTTGGTGAAATCTCACCAGACATCCTAGAGCATCTTCCCAGAGAAAACATGTGCTTCTGCATGTAGTGGTCAGAGGCCATGATAGATGAACCTCAGATGGAGGAGGGAGAGCATCTCTCTGACTCTGACTCTGTCTTTGTCTCTGTCTCTCTCTCTTTTTCTGAATTCTCTCTTTGGTCAGCCATGTCTAACAGGCTCTTATTTCATTATTAAAAGGCATCTGAAGGACACATTTTCAAGACTGTTTCTGTAATTCATTTTCATTGTAAATCACTTCCCCATGAGCCTTGGGGGGCGGGGGTGGGGGAAACTGTTGATGATATGAAAGGCACACCCATGTCATCGAGGCAGCGAGTGCACACAGTCCTGATTATGTGCATCTTCTGTGCTTCTGCACACTCTTTCTTTGTGTCTCTCCCTGCTTCCCTCCCTCCCTTGTTCTCTCCCTCTCTCCCTCTCTTCTTTCTTGTTTCCTTCTTTCCTTCCCTCCTTTTGTCTCTACTGCACTAAGAATTCCCATGACTCTACCTTGGGAAATAGATTCCCATAAGAAGACTGCCTTGGGAGGACTACAAAGGATACTCTCATGGTTATAGCATTAAGGAGAAGACCAGTGTGTGGCCAACAGACTCTGCACACATACAAGCACTGTGCAATGGTTACCATAACATTAATTGATGTTTCCATCACTGTTAATGGCAGCTTTGGCTTTCTAGAACTTGTAATTATGATTCATAGTCTTTGAAAAGATTTTCCTCATTTACCCTTCTACCTGATTCTGAATTCTCCTGTTCCTTCCACTGTATTTAGGCCATTTATCTCCCGTATAAACAGAGACCATACATTGCTTCTCTTTGCTGTCTCACCTACTTCTCCTAGTGGAATATAATCCAGATTCATCTCTGCTCTAACAATGCAGGCCTTCCCTCTTCTTTAATATTAAAGAATACTCCATTGTATTCATGCACTGTAATTCTTTTATTCATTCATCTGCTAATAGATATGGTTGTTGTTTCCCAAATCTTAGCTACTGTGAAAACAAGGACAAGAGACTCAACATCGACCTCTTAGGAAGAAATACAGGGGAAGCTTCTTTGATATTGGGCATGGTATTGTGATTTTAAGTGTGACACTAAAAACATAGGCAATAAATCATAAAATAAATTCGCATAGTCATTGTGGAGAAGAGTGCAGACACATCTTCACATGTTTAAAATAGAATTGCCATATAGCACAGAAATTCCATGTTTGTGTATGCACCATCCAAAAGAAATTAAAACAGTATGCCACAGAGATACTAGGCCTCTCATAGTCACTGTGGCATTATCTGTACTAGTGAAGAACCATAAGCAGTCCAAGTATCTGACAGATGAATGAATAAATACATTGTGATACACAGATCTAGTGAAGTGTCTTCAGTCATGAGAAGAAAGAAGAGTCATTTTTAAGGAAAGGCAGGTGATGCTTGTCTTCTGCGGTCACCAGGCCAGGCTGACATCTCTTTCTTCTTTCAGATACTGTGACCACAAACTCTTACCTATTCAGTGAATTTTCTGTCACCCAAGTGAGTGCATATTTTTATGAATATTTATGGAATTTTGTCTGAAGATGACTATATATGTTCTTCTGTGTGTATCTAACTGTATTTGTTTAAATATCAGCATTTATGTGGGTGAATACACTGTATTTATGACTTGATTCAGAATTATATCAGCTATGTTATTAGAAAGAATCAATAATAATAAAGAAAATCATGTGGGGTTGTAAAAGACAATTCTATAAAATATCATTCTGTTTCCTCCACTCTCTCTATGGTCATTGTAAAAATAAATTTGTACCCCCATTAGCATGTACCAGCAAAGGAAATTGATAGGCCTTTAATGAAGTTCAAGGATGTAGTTTAGGGTGGGGTATTTGAGGGCCTAGGAATCCTGGTACTCACTATTTGCTCATAATTTTGCTTGATGTGTTTCAGAACCATTTGAATGTGACCATTTCAAGTCCAAACTACAAGGATCCCAATAACTTGGCATTCCAGGAAATTAAAATCCTTGGGACAGAGGCAATTTACAATGTTATAGTGAAACAGAATGGTGTCCTTAGTCAGATGTCTCCTCAAATCACTTACAATTCAAACTTGAAGGTAAGAATTCACTTTGTGAGGCAGACTTTCATAAACCTCCATGATTTCTTGATATCACTTCTTGCTAAGATTACATGGGTTGTTGAAGGACCAGAGCACATCTGATGCCTGATGGGCATGTCAGAGTATTAGGAGGAAGGTAGATATGTAGAGATAGTTTGAGGCACCCTGACTCCAGTTTTTCCGTCCCTGGTTTCTTCATTCTCAGTGTTTGCTTTTCTGTAAGGGAGTGTGGGGACAGGATCTGAGAGCTGATGGCTTGTGCTTGGAGGTGAAGGTAGAGATAGAGATCCTATGAATAAAAACTTTAAAGTGCTTTTATCTATTTACTGTGTTTTCCCTTTTGTCGAGCTCTATTGAGAATAGTACATGTTCTCTAACATATACTTTTGAAGGAAATAGTTTATGCAAAAGTTGATGGTACTACTGCCATAGATGGTGATTAGAAAGTGCTATTCTGACAGATGTAATGACATCCAAACTTTCTGTATGACTTCATTTCTATTCCTCTAGTTCCTCATCATTGTGAGGAACGTTTCCCTAGTGAACTTAGATTTCCAATAAATGGTGTATTGATATTTGACATATTGTCATCACAGCTTATAAAGAGGATACATATATTACCACATTACAAAGAAAGACTTGTGTGGTTGGTTGTGTCTATGGCTAAGTGCAAGATATCTGAAGGATGCATATGTGAAAACAAACTTCGTTCATATTAAAAACTAAGATACTTAACATATCACACACAAAAAACTATTGTTTGAATCAGGGTAGTGAGAGATGCAAATCAGATACATGAAAATATTAAGAAGGTGTCTAAACCAACATTTGTAAAATATTTGCTTTGGTTTTGGTGGAATGCAGTAGTTGAGACCAGCTTTTTGGTTTTGTATAGATGGAGAAATAGTTCAGCATTTAATTTCACTGCCTGTTCTTCCAGAGGTCCCAGATTTGATTCTCAGTTCACACATGTTGATTCACAAATATCTGTAGCTCCAGTTCTGGGGAATCCAATACAACTTCTGGCTTCTGTGGATACCACACACACATAAGGCACAGACATATGTGCAAGCAAAACACCCCTGCACACAAAATAAGGCTGGATTCATAAGCACTATGAGACAAGAAGTCTTAGATGAAAAACAGATTGGAGTTTTATTTTTCTGTAATAAAAAGTTCAAAGTTGATAACTTGCTAGACTTGGTTCAAGAGGTTTATTTTGTCAGAACTAAGGTCTGTCTTGTCTAACGAGTAAACGTGGCTTGGTGGATCTAGTGACAATGCCCTTATTCCAGGAGAGATGAAAAGGGAAAACCAAATAAACAAAGAAAATAAAGAAAAAGAGGAAGGCAGAGATAAAGCTGAAGGGTCATGCCCATCTAGCAAGAATGACACTCTGGCGCAGCAAGTGAACTCAGATTTACTTTTCTGGCCATGAATATGCTACAATCTTTAAAATTTCAGATATTAATTGGAAGAATCTGTTAATTGAACCTGAAATACCAATACAGAAGATCACATTTTATACAAAGAACATAGCCGCTAATGTATTCAGAAAGGGCCTTGTTTTCCTAAAAATATTTGTCTTGGTGATGCTCTCTAATTTGAGCTATCAGAACAGGGCAGCCAAAGGGCTCAGAAGTCTGACATTATAAGTCTGTAACTCCATGCCTGGCTTAGGACATTTGAAATGAAAGTTTATATAATGGTACTTTCTAGTCCTCAATCTTACCCTTAGAAGTAAATCTGAAATAAAAAGAATTGAGGTAGGCCAAGTGGTGGTGGCCTTTAATGCTAGCCCTTGCAAGGAAGAGGAAGACAGATTTCTGTGAGTTTGAGGCCAGGGAGAGAGTTCTAGCACAGCCAGGGCCACACAGAGAAATCATGTCTCCCCCCACCCCCAAATAATTGTAGTAATCTGTGTAAGACTCTATAGAAACCTGGAACCACATTATTCATATTGCCCTATTCTCTAGACATTCCACACAAAAGGGGTCATGATATGAGGAGGAGATGATTGAGAAAAATAGCTTAATTTGGGAATAGGAGGAGAAGCATTTCATAAGAAAATGAATACGGGTCAAGTGGTCCAGGAAAGGAATGTAAAAAAGTAAGATCTTAGCAGGTTTTTTTTCCTATCTTTTTCTGCAATGTAGTATGTAAGGTTTTGAGAAAGTACTGATATTTTCATTTTGCCACTATCTCCTACCACATATAAACAGTTGTACCCTTGCAAACTGTAGTGTGCTCTTTAAATTGTTAAAAGCTGAGCATAAGGATAGACTAAGAATGACATTTATACTTAATTTTAGTAAGAAAAAAAACAACAACCAAGGTTTATGTCTGGCAAGACCTTTTTGTCCTGAGGATGAATTTGCATTCCTTCAGGTGGCCACCATCACAGATATCCATCTTGTGCTGGGAGAAGCATACACAGTTGAGTGGAACATCATGATGGACCAGGAGAAGATAGACTGCTACCCAGATGAGGATGGTGCAACTGAGGCCAAATGCACTGCCCGTGGCTGCATCTGGGAGGTGAGCATGCTGAGGATGTTCCTGGAAACTGGAACCCTTGAAATGTAACCTACAATGTCTTTAGCACGGCCCTGTACCCTTGGATTTATTAAAATAAAGATAAAAGCTCCAGATGAGCCTGATTGAGGAGTGGAGCAGGTAAGAATGGAGTTTTCACTGTCTTGTTTGGAGTCCAGGAATGCTTACTTTAATTGTTATAGGCATGAGTGAATGAATTGATGGCTTTCTCCATATATTTTCTAATCTGTTTGATAAATCCAGATCCCTGCTGATCTAGGATATTGGAATTCTTTTCAGGAATCCAGCTCTTCTGGGGTCCCTTATTGCTACTTTGCCAATGAGCTGTACTCAGTCAGCAATGTTCAGAATCACCCGAATGAGGCCACAGCCGACATCTCCTTGAAGCCTTCTCCTTATAGCAATGCCTTCCCGTCTACACCCGTGAATCAACTGCAGCTCCGAGTCATCTACCACAAGAATGAAATGTTGCAGTTCAAGGTAAACACAGTGTGTGTGAGATCAGGTGTAGACAGGGCCTTTTCAGTTCCATTACTCTGTGCAACCTTGTGTTACAACATTCAAAAAAAAAAGTTTTGTGTTTTTAGTAAATAGTCCAAAACAACATTCTAATGAAGAGAGCAATTAGATGACTGGGAGAACAGTGAAATCTCTCCTAATTTCGAATTTGAGAGAATCACTGTGTCTAAAGAAATATTTGGGAGAATGAAACATGGAGAGGGACAGAGGAGGCTACTAGGAAGGTTGGACAGTTATAGATGAGTTTGGTGTAGGGATAAGAAGGGAGATGTTCACAGAGGATATGATTGAGACCTTGAGACCATCTTGGTCATTCATATCAACTACAAGAGGGATATGCCTAAGGAATGACTGCCATGTTCATAGCTTGCAAATGTGTGTGTATGGTTGGTAATGATAATGGAGGTTAGTAAATGGAGCAGATTTGTGATTGACAATATAAGAGGAGGAGTATGATTTTGAATAAAATAATAGGAGACAACTTTGAAATACTCATGAAAGTGATTTGTTTTCCTTCCTTGGTTTAATTAACCAAAGGGACTAGGAATGGACTAGCTATCCTCTTGTTTGTTTCATTATTAGACTGTGAGCTGCTCCAAAACAAGGGTTTGTCTTCCATGGTGGTGGTATTGGAATTCCACACATAAGATGCTATATAGTGAGGACTCAAATGCTGTTGGAATAGTACAAGGCAGTGATGAAGGCAGAGTGACTTTGCCTAGACTACCCTTAGAATCTGGTCTCAATTTGGACTTGAGTTCTCCATCTTCTCATGTATTGTTTTGTGTGTGTGTCCTCACCAGAATGGAGTTGATTGGATGTGTAGCCTCAACTTACACTCACTAACCATTAGCTATGCAGTAGTGCTCTCTATCATACTCATGTCTTTCTGATCCCACTTTAACACTCTGGGACTTTTCTTGTTGTTTCTTTACCTGAATCACCTGCTCTCAGTTTTGTGTTCCTTTATTGCTGCTTAACTTTTAAGATTCAGTCTGTATTTCTTCCATGAAACCATCTCACTGTTCCTTTCCAGTAATAGCAAAGACCTTCTGCAGATTCATGTTAGCTCATATCCTTCAGGAGTGCTGAATTCTTCTTTCTTATTTCCCAGGAATTCTTCTTTTTTATTAAGAAAACTTTTTCATTTTACATACCAGTCATAGGTAGTGGGCACCAAAAGCCTCCTCATCCACCAGGGATGAATTCTGATTCTACTGCCAGGGGCCCCCAAGCAGATCAAGCTAAACAATTGTCTTGCCATGCAGAGGGCCTAGTCCAGTCCTCCCGTGAATTCTTAAGCATTTCATGACATTAACCTTGGCTTATTCAGTTCCTATCTGTATTATTTACTATGGTATCAACAGTAGAATGTGGATTCTTAATTATTCAGCTTTACTTAATTTTCAGAATGAATGTTTTTAATCAGAAAAACATATTTTCCCCCCAATTTCAAAGGTTGCCATCATCTTTACATGCGTACATCCACACATGAAACAATATATCTTAAGTTTATAAGTATCATACCAATTTCAAAATGAACTTTTCATGTTAACATCAGTGTTGAAATGGATGAAAGAATGTTCTACAGCCCATAATACTGAGACATGACCCAGATCAAACTATTTAGTAGAACCTTTTTCTCTGGAATTTTGGTTAAGTCCTGTATTGTCAGGTAAAAGAAGACAAATCATTCAGCCTATAGACTCTGTGAAACATGCTAAGAGTATGCTGACGTATTTGTCTATAGAGTACAATTCTGTTCTAAAGCACTCTTTGAAATGACAACTAACTGTGAATATTTACAATATTGATGTCATGTTTTGAAATATTTACATATTATGAATGAACAATTCAGTATAGTTAGGATAACTGGTGTTTCAATTCTCTAATATTTTGTGAGGTGGAAATAACACCTTCAGAAGTTATTTTGAATTATATTGTTATTTATGCAATTATAATATTAGTTGTGCAATGTTATTAATTATGAACACTGTCAGCATGCTAGGAAAGCATCATAATGTACATGCCATATTTTTGTCTTTACATTAAATGATTTTCTCTGGCCTAGATCTATGATCCCAACCACAGTCGGTATGAAGTCCCAGTGCTTCTGAACATTCCCACTGCTCCATCCAGCACCCCTGAAGGCCGTCTCTATGATGTCCTCATCAAACAGAATCCATTTGGAATTGAAATTCGCAGGAAGAGTACAGGCACTGTAATGTAAGTGGGTCCTGTCTGACTCAGAGTTCCTGCTTTCCTAAACATTCTTCACCAGGTCAATCATTCTTGAAGACATTCTGGCTCAAAGCAACAGACTGTCCCAGTTCAGATCCATGATATGTTAGTACTTTCTGTGGTTGTGCTAAAAAAGCCATGACCAAGGCTATTTATAGAGGAGTTTGATTTCATGGCTTCAGAGGGTTGGAGTCCATGATGGTGAAGTGGATGCAGGGAGCAGACAGGGCAGCAGGAACAGCTGAGAGCTCACATCTTGAACTGCAAACAGAAAGCAAACTTGGAAAGGTGTGAGCCTTTGAACTTCAAAGCCTGTCTCCAGTGACATACTTCCTCCACCAAGGCCGCACCTCCTAATATTACCAAATAATACCAAAAAGGGGAAAAGTATTTAAATACCTGGGACTATGGGCGATATCTCATCTAACCATCACAGATGAGGAAGTGATTTCTGTTCTTAGAGGAAATTTTAATACTCTGAGAGTGATTACTAAGGCAGTTATAGGTATGTAGAAATTATTGAACAAGTATTTACTGAATTCCTTCTGTATATTAGGTGATCTTCTGGTACTGTGGTTGTAGGCAGTGTGCTATTTTTTCCATTAAACAAAGTTTAAATTATACTATGAAGAAGAATTTGATATAGCAACAACTACTATGCTAGAGAAAATCAGGGAAATGAGATTATTTGCAGACTTAGGTATCATGATCCGATTTGTGTCTCTGGGGATGAGGTGATGTTTGAAATGGAACTGAGATTAGGAGAAGTTCTGAAGGGAGTTCTGGGTAAAGAAACATCTGTGATAGAAGGATGTAAGTCATGAGTTGGAGGAAATTTATCAGTTTCAATAGAGACTTTACTCTGAGGTAACTGCTCTGATGAATGTGGGAGACAAAACAGGGGTGTTAGGTGGGATTTAGAACGGGAACAGCCCTGAAGGGTCCTCGGATGCTGTCAGGGAAGTGAGCAGGCATGTGAGCAGAAGTGTGAGGTGATGTGAGGTGCTCATATTACAGCCCTGGATAGCTGTAGGAAGTGGAGCATCAGGGGTCAAGAGCAGAAGACACAGTGAGTCTGGACTGGGAAGGTTGATAAAAGTGATTGGATATGCGACTGTGGACAACACTAAAGGGAAGCAGTGATACAGTGTAGGAGAAGAATTACCTGTGACACAGGTCTTTAGCAGGGCTGACTGTGGTTATTTCAGTGAACAAGACTTGCTTGTTTTGTTTGAGAGAGACTCAGGTACAGATGGTGTGGGAAAATGGAGGGCTCTGTTGTCCTCACAGAGGCAGCTGCTGGAAACTACTAGGAAGCTGATTTTCTTTTGCAAATGTTCCTTTTCCTTCTGCAGCTGGGACTCTCAGCTCCTCGGCTTCACATTCAATGACATGTTCATCCACATCTCCACCCGCCTGCCCTCCACATACATCTATGGCTTTGGGGAAACTGAGCACACAACCTTCAAGATAGACTTGAACTGGCACACGTGGGGCATGTTTTCCAGGGACGAGCCCCCGGGGGTAAGGACAGGGTGTTTGGGTCTGTGTTCTGTCTCCTCCATCCACACTGTGTGCCTGGTGGTGTTTTTTCGGACTCCATATGCTTGTCAATTTCTATTGCTAGGAGGATGGACATCTTTTTAAGTTCCCCTTTCCTCTGCTGTTCTTACCAGAAGAAGATTGACTCAACATAGCAATCAAGTTTCTGTTGAGTTTCTTTCCCATGCACACAGTCTCCTAACTTCCTTTTCCCTATGCCTCTCAGTACAAGAAGAATTCCTATGGTGTCCACCCTTACTACATGGGTCTAGAGGAGGATGGCAATGCCCATGGAGTCCTCCTGATGAACAGCAATGCCATGGGTAGGATGAACCTCTGTCCTCTTATTGTATGCCAATGATTCTTGAATTGCTTTAGAATATATTTGACTTAGCTGTCACTACAGATGAAATTATAGTCTTTGTGGATTGGTTTTCCCATTCATTGACCCTTTACGTATATTTTAATTATATATAATTTATTCAACTTTTATTAGCAATACAGCTAGTGAGAGCTTTCATTTAATTTCTACAATTCTATATGCACCTACTCCAGAATATCTGCTGTCAGTCTGTTAAAATTGAAGAAGGAAGGTGGGGATTCCAGGGTTAAAATTCTCAACAGGAAGGATTTCATCATGTTGACATTTTCTTGTGTTTCCAGATGTGACATTCCAGCCTCTGCCTGCCCTCACATACAGGACCACAGGGGGCATTCTGGACTTCTTTGTGTTCTTGGGCCCAACTCCAGAGCTTGTCACTCAGCAATACACAGAGGTAGGAAGGAAATCATTTTTGAAATATGTGTTTTGTGTATGCATGTGTGTGTTCATATACTCATAATGTGTTCCAACCCTGCTATACAGGATTGCCATATAATGTAACTGTTATATGGTACCTGAATCTGATGATCTTTTAGGGGAATTTAAAATATGGAATATGAGAGAGTGAATATATTTCTAGAACCATTAAAATTATGTTTTCTTCACTTATTGCAGTATATTAGATTATTTGTGATAACTAGTGGTGGGCTAGTGTGGTGGTGGAGCTATAGGAGTAGTGATTTTGAGACATGGTAAGGGATGATGGTATTGATTGTAGTGGTAGTACTATTTATTGGTGAGAGTGATTGTGAGGATGTTGACTGTTATGGTGATAATAGTAGAGAGGATGATAGGACATGAGGTGATCATGAAAGTGATTGTAGTGGAGTTGATGTTGGGAGTTGAGATAGTGAGGTTCATGTTAGTGATGGTGAGGGAAGGTATGATAGTTTTGGTAACTAGCGGTGTTTGTATGGTGCTTATGTCTGTGGTGGCAATGGGAGTTAACATGATAGAATGTATGACATCATTACATTGTCATAGTGGTTGCAGTGTGGTGACAGAGACAATGACTGTACTTGTGGTGGTGTTGGGTGTCATGTTCACTGGATTAATAGCATTGTTGGTTATGACGTCAAAAACACGTATGAAATATCTACTGCGTGTATTACTTAATCCATGTGAAAGGGTGTCACATATACTAAGTTACTCAGTGAAACCAACATGAGATTGCTCCTGCTCTTAGCTTTGATTGACAGGTAAAGAAACAAGCACAGAAATGTCATATTGCTACCCAAGGTCATACAATGAGCAAGACCTAGAGACTGTATTCTAAATTAGCTCTTTCCCTTTTGCTGGTGCGCTTTTAGTATCTAAATTATATATCTAGGAATCTGAATAAAAGCAGGTTTTCCAGAAATCCTGTAAAGTGTGCTCTGAGAAGCTGTAGGTTTTCTGTAGTGTGTCCCAGGAGCTCCACACACTCCTCCACTTACTCTCTAGGTTTGAATTTGGTGTTAAATTGGGTAAAATATTCTGACTACATATCCAGTTTCCATCCAACCTCTCCTCTAACATTCTAACACTTTCTATTTTCTAGTTGATAGGTCGGCCTGTGATGGTACCTTACTGGTCCCTGGGATTCCAGCTGTGTCGCTATGGATATGAGAATGATACTGAGATCGCCAACTTGTATGATGAGATGGTGGCTAAGCAGATCCCCTATGTACGTATGTCTGTTGGGGATTTGTCAGATTTAAGGGTGGTTTAAAATGGCGCACTGTGTTTTCTCATGTCATGTCACACTTAGCCTAGAGCATCCACAATGATTCAGGGGAGACCACTGCCCTCATAACAGTGGTGGCAAAACAAAGTCGAGCTTAGAATGGTTCATGGATTCTCTCTCCTGTACCAGGCTTTCCTCTGCTTCTTGACTGACTTCAAGATATTTAATCATGCTGTTTAAGTGACATGATAGTTAAACCCCACTCCAATACTCCTACTTAATTAAGGAAAATAAAACTAACTCAGTGAATCCATCCTATATGAAGATTACTTTTCTGGACCTGGCACACCACAGTGCTCCCTGAGCTCTGAGCCTCACACTGGCTCCATCCTGCAATCCTGTAGTGAGTTTGTACTGTAATCACGTACAGAATCAGCACATTAACTTCAAAACCAGAGGCCCAATAATTATGAATCATATTGTGACCCTTTGTGTTTGTTTTGTATGTATTGTTCGGTGTTACGTTAGTGCAAATTACTTTCTGTAACTAAGTGGTTTTCAACTTGTGTTTTGCAACCTTTTTGAGTGGAGTCAAATGGCCTATTCATATCTAAGACCACGGGAAAACACAGATATTTACATTATAATCCATGAGAGTAACAAAATTACAGTTATGAAGTAGCAACAAAAATAATTTTATGGCTGGGGCTCACCACATCATGAGGAACTGTATTAAAGTTTCTCAGCATCGGGAAGGTTGAGAACCACTGCTGTAATAGAACATCTCATTGAAAGCTCTGCATTTGATCATCTCCAACACTGGGTCCTCTACAGTGAGGACAGTTTTTGTTTTGGTTCTTTTATAGTAGACCTACGATTGTATTATATACACTGAATATTTGACATTATTTTCTATGAATAACTATCACTAGTCTCAGGATACACTTAGAAAAAAATCAAAACACTTTTTCCTGTAGTATTATTATTTAATTTTTACATAGCACTTTCAGTTATTTTTTATAGCATGTTTTACGGATCAGCATTAATACTCATCTTACATTTTTTGTTGATGTTGAAATACATTTTTTTCTGTTTCTGAGTGAAATATTTAAAAATATGAATATCCAAAGATCTAAAGCTATGATATGACATACATAGTGCTTAAAATTACCAGACACAGGCTGTGGTAACTGCTAGAGTCTGAACTTTCCAACCAGCAGCCACACTTTCTTATACCATCCACAGGACGTGCAGTACTCAGACATCGACTACATGGAGAGGCAGCTGGACTTCACCCTCAGCCCCAAGTTCTCTGGGTTTCCAGACCTGATCAATCGCATGAAGGACAATGGGATGCGGGTCATCCTCATTCTGGTTAGTTTGTGTGGCTGTGTAGGCTGTGCTTGAGACAATGGATGGGCTTGATGGGGATCACCTTAGAGTGTCTGTCCTCTCCTGTTTTCAGAGAGAAATAAAAGTGTAATTAATATAAATGTATTTCTGGGAGTCAGGAAACCCTACAGTGAAATTACAACTGGGGACTTCCCTTTTCCACCCCCCTTCTTTGTAATCCTCAGTCTGAACTTTCACCTGCCTTGTGCTCTGATCGCAGGACCCAGCCATTTCTGGCAATGAGACACAGCCCTATCCTGCCTTCACCCGGGGTGTGGAGAATGATGTCTTCATCAAATATCCCAATAATGGAGACATTGTCTGGGGAAAGGTATGAGCTTTGTGTTGATCCAGCAAGACTCACCCTGGGCCAGGCACCATGTTAGTGTGTCTGTGGATGTGGTTTTTACTCTTTGTTTTTTGTCTCTGAATTTCTGCCATTCATTTTATAATCAATATTTATTGATTATTGATAACAATTAAGCGATTTGTAGAATCTTATTTGATCATTTTTCTGCCCACAGGTCTGGCCTGATTACCCTGATATTGTTGTGGACCCCTCTCTAGACTGGGACAGTCAAGTGGAGGTAAATGTCCCTCATAGATGTTGATTAAGCCAGGAAACAAGAAATACCGGTGCCTGGCAGTGGACATGGCATGAAAACACACTTAGAACCTGTGTCCTTCCTGCCATTTGTTTCCGGATAATCTTACATACTCATTTTGTTTCTAATTCGTGTCTTACTTCCCACTTTGATATCAGTTTTGTTGTTATTGAGCTTTAAAACAAAAAAGTTAGGTTAGATGTCATTGCTTACCACGGCACAGCTGTGATTTGAAACGCAAACCTGTCTGCATCCAAGGTCCCACGGATGTTCAACTAGATGGTAACTCTAAGAATGATCCTTTTTTCAATGAATATAGGTACCTGTTGTTTCTTTGGATATTGCTTTTCGATAGGGTGTGTAGCCTTTTTATTTGGTGTTTGACTTTTTTTTTTTATTGCATTCCTTGTGATTCAGACAGCCTCTTCTAGCTTTAAGGTTATAAATCCTGTCTGATTTACATTGTCTTGTGTCTCCCATCTTGGCTTTTACCTCAATGCTACTATATGGTGTAAGCCCCAGCCATGTCCTGCTGTTATTTCTTACCACCTCATTGTTTAGCTCCTGATACATTCAGTTCTGTGGCGAACATAAAGGAGGCTTTTTGTTGAGACACAGCAAGGACTGAAATGTCCCGCAATAAATAACAGGGAGAAGTATGGAGACTTTATGGATATTTGCTCTTGCTGAGTGGTAGAAATTCACAAGTCGATAGAGAGTATGGATTATTATTGATCTATTATTTTCTCCAATTATGTTAAACACAGAAGCAAATATAAATATCAACTTGAAAATACAAGACAAGATCTTTGCTCTTAAAAAGTATAACATGTAGTCAAAGAGCAATACATTGGACATACTTTTCAAGTAAGATGTAGACAATGTCTTTATGATTTGAGGGAAAAGGAAGTGAAACCAAAGTGGAAGCTCCCCCCTACCTCCAGTCCCCCTACTTCATATTACACATGGCTGAAAGCATCCTCTGATTTTTACAATCACAGCAAACAGAGAGCCATACTAGTTATTCAAAGATCAGAAACATGCAATCGAATCCAACCTCATTCCCAGTGTGAATGTTCCCTGAACGCTTTTATCCAACCTGATACCCTTCACCTAACGTCTGACCTTTCAGCTAAGGCTCACATGACTTCTACCTTGCCTCATCAGTCCTCAAGAAATTATGGGGCAATTGGGAGAGGGGATCCATAGCATGAGTTAGTGAGTGCAGTATTTGATCACTCCCACTCCTGTTTAAAAGAAGGAGAAATTCATTGGATGTTTTTCTAATTCATATTAGGCAGGGTTTTGTGCTTTCTTATCTGTGTTTCACATGCTCTTCTGAGACAATGCTTATCCAAACATCTGCTATATACTTGGTTCATATTATCATCATCTACCACCATGTAGTGTAAGACTTTGCATGAGCCATGTTCATATCAGATGCATGTCTGCTGCTTAACATAATCATTTATGACAAATAACAAATAATCATTATTTAACAGCAATACCGAGCTTATGTGGCCTTCCCAGACTTTTTCCGTGATTCAACTGCCACATGGTGGAAAAAGGAGATTCAAGAACTCTACACAAACACACTGGAACCAGAGAAGAGCTTGAAGTTTGATGGCCTGTGGATTGTAAGTGTGTGCACATCAGTTTACTTGGATAGAGGAAAGGAGTGGTGTGTGTATATGTGTGTGCACATGCACGTGGGCACCCACGTGTGTGCATGTTTGTGCATCTTCCTATACCTTAATTTTTAAAAATATTTACCATTTATTTCATTTGTATGAATGTTTTGTCTATATGTATGCATGTACACCATGTATGTACTGTTTTGTCTCTATGTGATGTATGTATGTACATGATGTGTGTGCCTGGTGCTCATGGAGGTCAGAAGAAGGTGTCAGATCTGGAGCTGGAGTTACAGATGGTTGTGAGCCACCATGTGGATGCTGGGGGCCCAGCAATAGCAACAAGTGCTCTTAAGAACTGAGAGATCTCTGCAGCCCATCTACCTGTGTGTGTCTTTGGAGATGCCACAGTGTACTCCTTCTACCAGGTGTGGAATAGCCTTCATCCTCTCCACACCTGGTCTTTACCTGAAGCTCCTTCTCTAAGACCTCCAATGTCATTATCAGAAATCTCTTGGAATTTGGTCCCCCAAGGGAACTTTCCCTATAGAGATCATTTGTTCTTTATAGCCTGATTCCCCAGCAGTTGAAGATCTTCCCTGTGCAGGTGTCCAGAGATAACTGGATGTTTAATGCTTTTATTCATGCTATTTTCTTAACTCTGAATTTACAGGCTCTGATTACATTTAAATAGAAATAATGTTTCTGACATTTGTAGGATATGAATGAACCTTCCAGCTTTGTGAATGGGGCAGTTCCTTCGGGCTGCAGTGATGCTACTCTGAACCGTCCACCCTACATGCCACGTAAGGAATTTGGGCCTGCTCCTCCTGTGCAGCACTGTCTGGAAGCAGAACTGAATGCTGGAGTAAATGTTGCCTATCACCAAAATGCCATTGAGGAGAGGCAGGAACTGAAATCCATTGTACTTTATTCAGAGGCAGGCAGGCTGGGAATGCAGAGGATTAACATTCCCCCAACCAATCTTCCCCGAAATGTGTGCTGAGCCAGTCAAAATGTATACATGCAGATTCATTTCTACGTAAGGAAATTTCTACTGTGCTCCTATAGTATAAATAATTAACCCTCTCTGTCCAGTCATCAGGGGGTACCTGGTCATCAATGGTAGGTTCTCATAGTTTCTGTGGTTTAATGGGGCTGGAGACAAAGAATAGGAAAGCCCTTTACCCAATTCGGTGTGTGTAGGATCCAGGAGACATTAGGCAAATTTCTGAAATTCATCTAGATGATTCTCAACACTATTAATGTCTCTGAAGGCTTCTCATTGTAAAATGTCTTAGCTATCCAGTTTTATGAGAATGCATCCACCTTCATTTTTTTTTGTAACCAATGATTGGAAAACGTTACTTCCCATTATCATGGAGCCAGTTGACTTTAAGGTTCTGTTTGTGTTTACGCCTTAGTTCCATCAATTTTATTTTCCTTGGTGTATAACATATTTCAAAGATCACACAATTTTCCTAGTATCAGTTTTCTATTTTAGAGTATACACAGAGAGGCAGAAAATATTATAAGTCTCATTGAAGTGGGTTAAGAATGATAAATAGTTTGTGTTAGCAGTCCTAGTCAAAGCCTGCTCAGCTGTCAGTGAATGAAAACCCAAGGTTCTGTTGCCTCCTTTACCTTATTAAGTGAACCCGCAATGGAAATCACATGCAGGCTCCTTGCATCTCAGCTCAGAGCACTGTACTGAGTTGACCCTAGGCAGGGGAGAGATATCAAATTAATCTTAAGTTGTGGAGTTAAATCCATTAATAGGAGGTCTGGAATGAGAAAAATCAGAACTGTTTTTCACCGTCTTAACTCTTCCCTCAGATTTGGAAGCCAGGGACAGGGGTCTGAGCAGCAAGACCCTGTGCATGGAGAGTGAGCAGATGCTTCCAGATGGCTCCCGGTTGCGGCACTATGATGTGCACAGCCTTTACGGGTGGTCCCAGACCAGACCCACCTACGAGTGAGTGACCCTCTCCTTCTACTTCTTCTCCTTCTACTTCCTCTACCTCTGTGATGGGTGTTGTAGCTCCTCTACTTTTCCATTCATTTTCCCATCCCCAGGGGTCCGTATAATATAATTGTAAAAACTGTGTGACAATTCTTATTTGTTAAGCAACCTCTCCTTAATCATGGAGCCAGCTGTGTGAGGCAATCAATAGTTCTCTTGACTGTACCCACAGGCACCCTGAAAGTCATCGTGCAGTATAGGCAGTACTGTGGTATCATTGGTGGCAAGAGGAAACAGGTAGCTGTGGGCTAGAAAGCTCGCCTGTTTGTGTTGGGAGTGAGTTGTCTCTTTAGGTGTTGGTTTTTCTTTGACTACTCATGTTGGATAGTCAATTGGTCTTTTGTTGAAGTAGGTAGGTATACTCACATAGGGAACCAACAGAAAAACAATCCTCAAATATAGAATATCAAGTATGAGTAAATAAATAGCCTCATCCTGTGTCTGCTTACTCTTTGGGGACAAGCCAATGAATTGTCACATGGTGAGATACTTTGAAACAACTGTGCAAAGGCCTTACCTCCATTATTATCCCAATTAACCAACTAGACCTCCTCTAAAGGGTCATTTCTATATTCCTTTTAGTCACACAAGAAATATTTTGTCATGATGTCTTAAGAGCAAGGGCTTGGGGAACAAGCCTCTCTTGCCTTTAATTTTCTTCCTTGTTTCCCCACCAGAGCTGTGCAGGAGGTGACAGGAGAGAGAGGGGTTGTCATCACCCGCTCCACATTCCCCTCTTCTGGACGCTGGGCAGGACACTGGCTGGGAGACAACACAGCTGCCTGGGACCAGCTGGGGAAATCCATCATTGGTGTGTGGGTTGTGCCCAGGGGCCTCTGCTGGCTGTGGGTGGAGTGGGGAGTAGGATCCTTGGTGAAGGGGGAGGGGCAGGCAGAGAATGAGTGCCTGTCCTGACCCTGCTGCATCTCTCCTTGCAGGCATGATGGAGTTCAGTCTCTTTGGCATCTCCTATGTAAGTGTCCTTCCATGCTCCTCCCCCTCCCGAGGAAGGTGGCCTCATCTCTCAAAAGCTCCCAGAGCTCACTTTGTTTGTTGTTGTTTCAGACTGGGTCAGACATCTGTGGGTTCTTTCAAGATGCTGAGTATGAGATGTGTGTGCGCTGGATGCAGCTGGGTGCATTTTACCCCTTCTCCAGGAACCACAACACCATTGGGACGAGGGTAGGATGTCAGCTTCCTCACATATATTATGTCACTGGAAATGCTACCTCAGTTTCTGAGTTCAATCCTGCTGCCTGTTTCCCAGGGACACCATCAAATCATTAATCCTTTTCCTGTAAACTATCGTCTTTAGTATTACTTCGACGGCTTTTTGCTTAGGGACTATTTTTTTATCATATCTCATGAAGAATGTGTTATAATTTTTATTCTGGTAGAATTTTACTGATCTTTATCAATAAATTAAGAATACTCTAGGAGTCCTATTCATTTCTGAACTTCATGGTATGTTAGATTTTGATGTTTAGTTCAAATAGGCCTTTAGTGATCTTTTTGAAGTCCTTAATTGTGTCTGGAGGAGTTTGAACACTTTTCTTCTGCTGCTTTAGAGACAAGACCCTGTATCCTGGGATGAAACCTTTGAGAATATTTCCAGAAGTGTGCTAGAGACCAGATACACCCTGTTGCCATATCTCTACACCTTGATGTACAAGGCCCACACAGAGGGCAGCACAGTTGTGCGTCCCCTTCTCCATGAGTGAGTATCAAGCTGGAGTCCTGTTGAGCAATGGCCAGTTTATTTATCATGTAGGGTGGAAGTGGACCCCAACAATTTTCCACATGGAAGTGATAAGTCCCTTTTGTATGAGCTCTCCAGAGAATATCTCTATTACTCCTTCTAGTACAGTGAAATACATAACACCTGTCTTCTATATAAGGTACTTACCGAAGTTATGTAATGAAAGCTCCCAGCATAGCACAATTTCTTTCTTTGAAGGCCCTACAAAGACTTCCCTATTTGGTGTAGGGATTTTGTTATTTGAACCCTGACCAGAACATCTTCTTGTAACTTTAGTGGGCATTCCAGGGACAGATGACAAGGTCCAGCATATTATCGCATTATAATGTGCCACAGTGAGGAAATAGAAGATGTGTTGTGGCAGATAATGCATTTCTGAGGTTTTAATAATACAGCATGTAGGAAATGGGGTCTATGTGATCCTTATCAGTCTAGTGAAATATAAAGAAGTTATGAAGTTGTAGCTGGATTTCTGACTCGGGTCTGAATTGGGGACTTCTTCGAAGCCTTGTTCTGAGGTCCCACTGGGGTCAGATTGGCACCTTTATTTCCTTTTCCAGGTTTCTGTCAGACCGGGAGACATGGAATATAGACAGACAGTTCCTGCTGGGTCCAGCCTTCCTGGTCAGCCCTGTGCTGGAGCCTGTGAGTATGGAGACAGGAGGCATTCAGGATTCTACTGTAGGGCTGGATGACTGGGGTGATGCAGAGGCTGGTGTGAGAGGGATTATGAGACACGGTTTCTTACTTTGCACTCGACTCCTTTGGTCCTTCTGAGCCACATTCCATGCCTTAGGTATTCTGCCTTTAGACCTTTAATGTCAGCCTAACATTTCAAGGAATAACTTTGTGATGTATTTAAGGATGTAATTATTTCTTTGTGAGCTAAGGTAAGGTCTGCAGGGAGAAGTGCAGGAACAAGTGCAGGAAGTGTAAAGATTCCTTATTTTCCGTTATTCTTAACTAAAATTAACTGGAGAACTATTTGTAGCAATGTGTGTGATTTTTTTAAAATCTCCTTTGTCCTTTAATTGTTTTTTTTTTTAATTTTTGAGGTTATAATGTAATTTCACAATTTTCCCTCTCCCTTCATGTCATCTTTTTAAATCAGCCAGGTTTCCCTTTAAGCTAGAAAAAGCAATTAATTTACTTTCTCTGCTGTAATATGGCTTTTGATAAAATTGAAATATAATTAATGCTCCTTGCGTCTTTTTCAGGCTGCACAATTTTTTCGTGCTCTATGGTCAACATTACCTATTCATTTCTTTTGGGAGACGATGAATACATCTATAATACAGTAGTGTTTGATTTTCTCTGAATTATGACCTGAGAGGCTTTGTGAAAGCACTTGTTTTTGGCAAGCTAATTTCTGTTGCTGGAAAAGGAGGATCTTCATCATCGATACTATTAAGAAAGTTGAAATAAATTTGTCCAATTCTGTTAGCTTTATAATTATTCTAACTCCTCACCAATGTTTGCTGGCCACTGTGTCCTAGAGAGCAGAGTCCACTGCTCACACTTTCTTTGTCTTTTATTGCAGAATGCCAGAAATGTCAGTGCCTATTTCCCTAAAGCCCACTGGTATGACTACTACACGGTGAGTTTTTCTTTTTATTTGTACAATTCAGAAAGTGGTAGCCTATAGAGTGTCAGGATAGATAACAAGCTTCATGCCACTTCTGAAATTCACCTTTTGTGGTTTTGAATGGCCACGTTACATGTTGTGGCCTCATTTCCTAGTATTTCCCTTGGGGAAAATGCTTCAGGAACTAAGAAGGAGTGGCACATTGTCCAGTGTCACCCTCCCACCACCCCCGCCCCAATTAGAAACAGTGTGTGCAGTGAGAGTGGGTGGATCCACAGGAAGACCTCATCTGCTATGTGCTGTAACTCTCCCCATAGCTCCACTCTCCATAAGGTCAGGGATTCTAACAGCGTCTTAAAGCTTGAAACACAGCAAGCTTTAACACAGCAGAGGGGAACAAAGTGTGATAATGACCTATGTTGCATGGTGGTGACCGGATTGTTCAGGACCTGCAGGCTGTCCAGAGAGGTGTGCATTCTTTCCCTCATCATCTCTTCTCCTGCCACAGGGTGCAGACGTTAATTCAACAGGAGAGTGGAAGCTCTTGCCAGCCCCTCTTGAACACATCAATCTTCACATCCGTGGAGGTTACATCTTGCCATGGCAACAACATGCTCTGAACACACACTTGAGGTGAGTGATGGGACTAGGGCTCTGCTTTGCATACTGTGAGCTCATCCTTTTGTGATGAGAACCATATTTACATCAAGCATGTCTCTCAAGGCCAAAAGCAATCTTCATTCTGCTTTATCTGTTCTGTTCTATTTTTTTTGAACATGTTTGTCCCTTTTCACAACTGGGCATTTTGTTTGTATCTGTGACCAGAGTGTGTTAAAGCAGCAGGTGGTATGTGCTGAGGAAGGATGCTGACAACTTTTGCGTGTGTGTGTGTGTGTGTGTGTGTGTGTGTGTGTGTGTGTGTGTGATATCACACTCTGCCTTTGGATTCTCCTTGTCCTCTTCTTGAGAAGCGATGGACTGAGACTACACCCTGGTGGACTTGGAGAGATCCTTTACCCTGCTCCTCTGTAAATAAACCCTTGTAGTTTTCAGGACACAGACAGCTCTGGCGGTCAGCCTTCTGCTTTTCCCAGGGCTGTTGCAATTTTAGTTGTGAAAGTCCCATCTTGGGAAAGTTCAGTTCCGGTCATGGGTCCCCTCCTGTCCTGGTCTGACTGTCTATCCCATGTGTGGTGTTCTTGCCCCACCCGTTCCATTTCTAGGATAGCATCCCTGGTACGTCCTTTTGAAACTTTAGTTTCCCACTTTTACCCCCACCCCTGTGAGTCATTTCTCTGTTGTGATTCAAAAGGGGATTCAAGAGTACAAACTCGCCTGTCCCTTTGTAACTTTTCGTTCAAAAATGGTAGCCTTAACTTCTACTAAGGAATTCTATATTGGTTCCAAAGTTTTACTGAATGTAATAGTGTATTTATTTACAACTGACAAGGACTTATTAGGAATATATATCTTTTGCTTTTTTTTTCCTGATCGTAAGAATTTAAAATGCCTCACTGTTTTAATTATCAAGTTGCAGACTTTATGAAAAGGTGTGTAATCCGATGCCAGCTTGTTTTTTCCTTCTCTTTTCATTCTCAGCCTATTCTGCACACCCATATCAATTTCTCTTGCAAAAATGAAAAGTTTGCTTTTTCCCTGTCCTTGAAGTGAAATCCTCCATTAGTGAGTTCATGTACTGTCCCAGTGTGTTTTCAAGTTACGTACCTGTACTTCATGAAGTGCCTCTTAAACTTCCTTTTTACTTATTCTTCGTGTCTTTCACATCATGCCTCCCGATCCCACCCATCTTCCTCCTCTGCTCCAGAATATAACAAAATAAAATTTCATAGAAAAAAGAGAAAAATGGAGCAAAAAAAAAAAAAAAAAAGGCGGGGGGAGAGAGGGAAAATGTTGTCATGGAAGCTGCAGTGTGACACTGTGAATCATGGCGTAAACTCTTTAATCCATACATTTTTAAATTATGCAGTGTCTTAATAAGCATATGGATCAGCTATATCCCAAACATGTCATTGTGCAAATATATTCAATTTACTAACTATATTTGGGCATCCTCTCTCATTGCCCTTTATGCTAGACCAGTCTGTGAAACACGCTAGTCAAGTGCTTTACCACCCCCTATCCCTTAGTTCATTTCACCCCTCAATTTTCTACTTGATTATTTATTGTTATTATTATCCTATGTTAATTATAGAAGTGAATCACTGATATATTTCCTTCCATCCATATGTAATGCATTCATCATGTCTACCCACTGGTTGTTTTTGCCCATTTTTTTTTTTTTTGGTTTTTCGAGACAGGGTTTCTCTGTGTAGCTTTGCACCTTTCCTGGAACTCGCTTTGGAGACCAGGCTGGCCTCGAACTCACAGAGATCCGCCTGGCTCTGCCTCCCGAGTGCTGGGATTAAAGGTGTGCGCCACCACCGCCCGGCTTGCCCATTTTTTTTAACCACCCTCCAATACTTCAACCTTGGTACCCATCTCAGGCTCCAATCATTCCTCTTCAATTCTTCACATTTTTGTTTCTTTATTTGCAGTGTTCATTGGAAATAGAAAATATGAAATCATGACATTCCCTGTCTGGCTTATTTTGCTTGACATAGTATCTTTAAAGTCTGGCTTTCTGTCATCTTTGGGTTTTAGCGCTCTCTTTGTATTCCTGTGTTGTTTCTGTCTCTTATGTGTGTCGTTCACTTCCTTGCAAGCCTAACAATGTTTCACATAGTAGTGTAAATTATATACTGTAGTGTTCAGGTCCTCCAAATTATTATCATACTTCTGGAAGTGCCACTCTACACTCTCATATCTTTTATTGTGTCACTTTTCACTATTTGTTGCTTGGCAAGTGTATTGAATGTGTCTTATAATATGAAGATTTAGGAGTTGTGTGGATTTATCTTTATAATTATTAGCATTTTAGCAATGACAGCTCAATCAATGGATTATAAAGGAAATTAGCTGATTTTGTTGATAGTGGGGTGTGATCAGGTAGTGGAAGGTTGACCTGGAAAAAATACAATAGGAAACCTGAGGCCAGTGAGGGGCACATGAAGAACAAGCATGAAGCTGTTGTGTTTTGTTTTTCTCAAAAGATAGTAATAGACATTAGATTGAGTAAAATTAGTGCAAAAGGGATAGTAGTATATAATAGAATTAGTACTTGAGTGACAAAGGAGTAGGGTGGTGAATTCACAGCCAGCCTGGGTCAGGGAGTCAATTCTATGCTAGTCTGAGCTGCTTGTCTCAAAAACAAACAAACAAAGGACCCCAAACAAGATATTCAATATAGAGTTACCATTATACAGGTTAATCTTATTTTGTGTGTTTCTGAGTAAAAATTTCCTTGGCAAGGAAAGCAGATCTAGTGGCAGCAGCTGATATAGTCCTTACAGGATGGTGTCTTTAGTGACCTGGCCACAGCACCACCGTCTATGACTCCATCCTATTCTCATAGCCTGCACCCTGTATATCAGTGCTGCCACAGCATCCACTGTAGCTGATGTAGTGATTCTGATGCTCACATCCTGACTTCCTGTTTGGACATATGTTGCTGAGGTTTGGGATATTTCTTTCTTGTGACAGGTATACTGGAAAAAGTGTCTTCTAGCATTCTTAGCCCTGTTCTGAAGGGAAGAAGTCATCCATGACTAGTCCTTTACCCATCCATCCTTTATGCATGTGAAATATTGTGGCAATATTTTCTAAAATCCTTTGAGCCCTAAGGATTTATACCTTGTGTAAATCTTGTTCCCCACAGCCGGAAGAACCCTCTCGGTCTGCTCATTGCCCTGGATGAGAACAAAGAAGCAAGAGGAGAACTGTTCTGGGACGATGGACAGTCAAAGGGTGAGTGCGGTGAGAGGCTGTGGTCCTTGCAGACCTGCATGTCTGACTCTGTCCCTTCATCCCTGCTGGCCATTCAGCTGTTGGTGAAATCTCACCAGGCATCCTAGAGCATCTTCCCAGAGAAAACATGTGCTTCTGCATGTACTGGTCAGAGGCCATGATAGATGAACCTCAGATAGAGGAGGGAGAATATGTCTCCGACTCTGTCTCTGTCTCTGTCTCTCTTTCTCTCTTTTTCTGAATTCTCTCTTTGGTCAGTCATGTCTAACAGGCTCTTATTTCATTATTAAAAGGCATCTGAACGACACATTTTCAAGACTGTTTCTGTAATTCATTTTCATTGTAAATCACTTCCCCATGAGCCCTGGGGGGCGGGGGTGGGGGAAACTGTTGATGATATGAAAGGCACACCCATGTCAGCGAGGCAGCGAGTGCACACAGTCCTGATTATGTGCATCTTCTGTGCTTCTGCACACTCTTTCTTTGTGTCTCTCCCTGCCTCCCTCCCTCTCTTGTTACCTCCTTCTCTCCCTCTCTCCCTCTCTCCTTTCTTGTTTCCTTCTTTCCTTCCCTCCTTTTGTCTTTACTGCACTAAGAATTCTCAAACTCTAGCTTGGGAAGTAGATTCCCATAAGAAGACTGCCTTGGGAGGACTACAAAGGATACTCTCATGGTTATAGCATTAAGGAGAAGACCAGTGTGTGGCCAACAGACTCTGCACACACACAAGCACTGTGCAATGGTTACCATAACATTAATTGATGTTTCCATCACTGTTAATGGCAGTATTGGCTCTCTAGAACTTGTTAGTATCATGAATCATAGTCCTTGAACAGATTTTCCTCATTTACCCTTCTACCTGATTCTGAATTCTCCTGTTCCTTCAGCTGTATTTAGGCTATTTATCTCCCGTATAAACAGAGACCATACATTGCTTCTCTTTGCTGTCTCACCTACTTCTCCTAGTGGAATATATTCCAGATTCATCTCTGCTCTAACAATGCAGGCCTTCCCTCTTCTTTAGTATTAAAGAATATTTCATTGTATTCATGCACTGTAATTCTTTTATTCATTCATCTGCTAATAGATATGGTTGTTGTTTCCCCATCTTAGCTATTGTGAAAACAAGGACAAGAGACTCAACATTGACCTCTTAGGAAGAAATATAGGGGAAGCTTCTTTGATATTGGGCATGGTATTGTGATTTTAAGTGTGACACCAAAAACATATGCAACAAATCATAAAATAAATTTGCATAGTCATTATGGAGAACATTGTAGACATGCCTTCACATGTTTAAAATAGAACTATCATATAGCACAGAAATTCCATGTCTGGGTATGTGCCATCCAAAAGAAACTAAAACAGTATGCCACAGAGATACTAGGCCTCTCATAGTCACTGTGGCATTATCTGTACTAGTGAAGATCCATAAGCAGCCCAAGTGGCTGACAGATGAATGAATAAATACATTGTGATACACAGATCTAGTGAAGTGTCTTCAGTCATGAGAAGAAAGAAGAGTCATTTTTAAGGAAAGGCAGGTGATGCTTGTCTTCTGTGGTCACCAGGCCAGACTGACATCTCTTTCTTCTTTCAGATACTGTGACCACAAACTCTTACCTATTCAGTGAATTTTCTGTCACCCAAGTGAGTGCATATTTTTATGAATATTGTGTGGAATTTTGTCTGAAGATGACTATATATGTTTTTCTGTGTGTATCTAGCTGTATTTGTTTAAGTATCAGCATTTATGTGGGTGAATACACTGTATTTATGACTTGATTCAGAATTATATCAGCTATGTTATTAGAAAGAATCAATAGTAATAAAGAAAATCATGTGGGGTTGTGAAAGACAATTCTATAAAATATCAGTCTGTTTCCTCCACTCTCTCCATGGGCATTATAAAAATGAATTTATACCCCCATTAGCATGTACCAGCAAAGGAAATTGATAGGCCTTTAATGAAGTTCAAGGATGTAGTTTAGGGTGGGGTATTTGAGGGCCTAGGGTATCTAGGTGTTCATTTTTTGTTCATAATTATGCTTGATGTGTTTCAGAACCATTTGAATGTGACCATTTCAAGTCCAAACTACAAGGATCCCAATAACTTGGCATTCCAGGAAATTAAAATCTTTGGGACAGAGGAAATTGCCAATGCTAGAGTGAAACAGAATGGTGTCCTTAGTCAGATGTCTCCTCAAATCACTTACAATTCAAGCCTGAAGGTAAGAATTCCTTTTGTGAGGGAGACTTTCACAAACCCCCATGGTATTTTGATATGACTTCTTACCAGAGCACATCTGATGCCTGGTGGGGATGTCACAGTATGGAGGAGGAAGGTAGAGATGTAGAGATGGTTTGAGGCACCATGACTCCAGTTTTTCTGTCCCTAGTTTCTTCACTCTCAGTGTTTGCTTTTCTCTAACTGGATGTGGAGACAGGATCTGAGGGACAGGATCTGAAAACTGATGGCTTGTGCTTGAAGGTGAAGGTAGAGATAGGGGTCCTGTAATCAAAACATTTAAATTGCTTTATTTATTTAATGTTTCTATCCTTTGTTGGACTCCAATAAGACATATTATCTGTTCTGTAATAAATACATTTTCAGGGTATATTTTATGAAGAAGTTGATGGGGCGGCTAACTATCTCAAATGGTGATTGGAAAGTACTATTCTGGCAGATGTAATGACATCCAGACCTTCTGTATGACTTCCATTCCATTCCCCTAGTTCATCTTCATTGGGAGGCACCTTTCCCTAGTCAACTGAGATTTCTGCTAAATGGTGTATTAATATTTGACATTTTGTCATGACAATATATAAAGAGGATACATATATTACAAAGTTATAAATGAAGACTTGTGTGATTGGTTGTGACTATTGCTAAGTGTAAGCTATCTGAAGGATGCATATATGAAAACAAGCTTTGCTCATCATAGAAAATAGGATACTTAACATATCACCAAAAGAATTCTTTATTGTTTGAATCAGGGTAATGAGAGATGCAATTCACATACATGAAAATATATATAAAAAATTAAGAAGGTGTTTAAACCAATATTTGTAAAACATTTGCTTTGATTTCATTTGATGAAATGCAGTAGTTGAGACCAGCTTTTTCGTTTTGTGGAGATCGAGAAATAGCTCAGCATTTAATATTACTGGCTGCTCTTTTAGAGGTTTCAGGTTTGATTCTCAGTACACACATGTTGGTTATAAACATCTATAACTCCAGTTCTAGGGGATCCAGTGCCACTTCTGGATTCTGTGGCCATACACATACTGCATAGACATGCATGCAAGCAAAACACCCATGCACATAAAATAAGGTGGGGATTCCTCAGCTTTATATGACAAGAAGTCTGAAATGGAAAACAGATTGGAGTTTTTTTTTCTGTAATTGAATGTTCAAAGTTGAAAACTTGTTGGAATTGGGTCAAGGTTGAACTTTGTCAGAACTCAGATCTGTCTTGTCTAATGACTGGAAGTGGCTACTTAGATCTAGTGACAATGCCCTTATTCTAGGAGAGATGAAAAAGGAAAAAAAAAAAACAAGCAAAGAAAAGAGAGTTGGAAAAAGAGGAAGGCAGAGATAAAGCTGAAGGGCCAGGTCCTTCAAGCAAGAAAGAAACCCTGGCCCAGCAAGTGAACTCAAATTTACTTTTTGGGCCATGAATATGCTACAGTCATGAAAATTTCAGATATTAATTGGTAGAATGTATTATTTGAACCTGAAATACCAAAAAAGAAGAGCACATTTCATACAAAGAAGACAGCTGGCAATGTGTTCAGAAAGGGCCTTGTTTTCCTAGAAAGCATTTATTTGTCTTAGTGATACTCTTCAAGCTGAGCTAACAGAACAGGGCAGCCAAAGGGCTCAGAAGTCTGACATTATCAATCTGTAACTCCATACCTGGCATAGGACATTTGAAATGGAAGTTTATATAATGATATTTCCTACTCCTCAGTCATACCCTTAGTAGATAAACCTGAGATAAAAAAAATTGAGGTAGGCTAGGTGGTGGTGGCACATATCTTTGACTGTAGCTCTTGGGAAGCAGAGGGAGGCAGATCTCTGTGAGTTTGAGGCCGGCTTGATCTACAGAGAGAGTTCTAAGACAGACAGGGCTACATAGAGAAATCCTATCCTCCCCCCCAAATAAAAATAAATGAAGTAATTTGTATAAGATTCTAGAGAAAGCTGGTACCACAATACTCCTATTGTTCTATTCTCTAGGCATTCCACACCAAAGGGGTCATGATATGGGGAGGTTATGAATGAGAAAAATAGCTTAATTTGCTAACAGGAGGAGAAACCTTTCTGAGAAAATGAATAGGGGTCAAGTGGTCCAGGGAAGGAATGAAAAAAATGTGATTATAGCAGTTGTTTTCAATCTTTTTCTACAATGTAATAGGTAAGGTTTTGAGAGAGTACTGATATTTTCTTTTTGCCACTATCTCTTACTCCATGTATACAGTTATGCCCTTGGAAACTGTAGTGTGCTCTTTATATCATTAAAAGAGGGGCAAAAGAATAGACTAAAAATGCTAGTTACACTTAATTTCCAAAAATGAAAGTTTCAGATCCTTAGTCCTGAGGATGAACTTGCATTCCTTCAGGTGGCCACCATCACAGATATCCGTCTCATGCTGGGAGAAGCATACACAGTCGAGTGGGACAATGTGAGGGATCTGGAGAAGATAGACTGCTACCCAGATGAGGATGGTGCAACTGAGGCCAAATGCACTGCCCGTGGCTGCATCTGGGAGGTGAGCATGCTGAGGATGTTCCTGGAAACTGGAACCCTTGAAATACAACCTACAATGTTTTTAGCATGGCCCTGTAACCTTGGATTTATTAAAATCCATAGAAAGAAAAGGCTCCAGATGAGTCTGATTTGGATTAAGAAGTGTGAAGTTCAAGAATGTGATGTTTACTGTGCTGTTTGGAGTCCTGGAACTTAAGCCCATGCTTACTTTCTTATAGGCATGAGTGACTGAAGTGATGGCTTTCCCCATATAAATTGACTTATCTATTTGATAACTCCAGATCTCTGCTGATCTAGGATATTGAAATTTTTTTCAGGAATCCAGCTTTTCTGGGGTCCCTTATTGCTACATTGCCAATGAGCTGTACTCAGTCAGCAATGTTCAGAATCACCCAAATGAGGCCACAGCTGACATCTCCTTGAAGGCTTCTGCTTATAGCAATGCCTTTCCCTCTACACCCGTGAATCAACTGCAGCTCCGAGTCATCTACCACAAGAATGAAATGCTGCAGTTCAAGGTAAACACAGTGTGTGCCATCAGGTGTAGACAGGGCCTTTTCAGTTCCATTACTCTGTGAAACCTTGTGTTACAACATTATAAAAAAAGTTTTGTGTTTTTAGTAAGTAGTCGAGAACAATATTCTAATGAAGACAGCAATTAGATGACTGGTAGAACAGTGGAATCTCTCCTAATTTCGAATTTGAGAGAATCACTGTGTCTAAAGAAAATGTTTGGGAGAATGAAACATGGAGAGGGAGCAGAGGAGACTACTAGGAAGGTTGGACAGTTATAGATGAGTTTGGTGTAGGGATAAGAAGGAAGATGGGTAACAGGGGATGTGATTGAGACCTTGAGACCATCTTGGTCAGTCAAATCAACTAAAAGGGGGATATACCTAAGGAATGACTGCCATGTTCATAACATGCAAATGTGTGTGTATGGTTGGTAATGATAATGAAGATTAGGAAATGGAGTAGATTTGTGATTGACAATATAAGAGGAGGAGTATGATTTTGAATAAAATAATAGGAGACAACTTTGAAATACTCATGAAAGCAGTTTCTTTTCCTTCCTTGGTTTAATTAATCAAAGGGACTAGGGATGGACTAGCTATCCTCTTGTTTGTTTCATTATTAGAATGTGAGCTGCTATAAAACAGGGTTTTATCTTCCATGGTGGCGGTATTGGAATCCCACACATAGGCTGATATATAGTGAGTACTCAAATGCTATTGGAATAGTACAAGGCAGTGATCAAGGCAGAGTGGCTTTGCGTAGACTGCCCTTAGAATCTGGGCTCATTCTGGACTTGAGTTCTCCATCTTCTAATGTGTTGTTTTGTGTGTGTGTCCTCACCAGAATGGAGTTGATTGGGTGTGTAGCCTCAACTCACATTCACTAACCATTAGCTATGCAGTAGTTCTCTCCATCATACTCATGTCTTTCTGATCCCACTTTAACACTCTGGTTCTTTTGTTTGTTGTTTCTTTACCTAAATCACCTGCTCTCAGTTTTGTGTTGGTTTATTGCTGTTTAACTTTTAAGATTCAGCCTATATTTCTTCCATGAAACCATCTCACTGTTCCTTCCCTGTAAGAGCAAAGCCCTTCTGCAGAATTTGTGTTAGCTCACATCCTCCAGGAGCGCTGAATTCTTCTTTCTGGTTTACCATGAATTCTTAAGTGTTTCATGACATTAACCTTGGCTTATTCAGTTCCTATCCCTACTATTTACTATTGGATCAACAGTGGTTTGTGGATCCTGAATTATTCAGCTTTATTTAGTTTTTCAGAAGGGATGTTTTTAATTAGAGAAACTTAGCTTTTTTCCACCAAATTTCAAAGGTTTCAGATCTTACACTTATACATCCACACACAAAATAAATGTATCATACGTTTATAAATACCAATTTCAGAATGAACATTTCATGTTAATAGCAGTGTTGAAATGGATGAAGAAATGTTCTAGAGCCTGTAATATTGAGACATGACCCAGATCAAACTATTTAATAGAACCTTGTTCTCTGGTGTGTTGGTTAAGTCCTGTATTGTGAGGTAAAAGAAGAGAAAACCTTCAGCCTGTAGACTATGTAAAATATGCTAAGAGTATGCTGAGGTATTTGTGTCTAGAGTACAATTTTATTCTAAAGCACTCCTTGAAATGACAGCTAACTGTGAATATTTACACTATTAATGTCATGTTTTGACATATTTACATATTATAGATTATCAATTCAGTACAGTTAGGATTTGATGTTTCCATCCTCTAATATTTTGTGAAGTGGTAATTGAACATCATCTCGAGTTATTTTGAATTATATTGTTAGTTATATTGAATTGATAGTTATGCAATTATATTGTTACTTTTGCAATATTGTTATTTATGGTCACTGTCAGCATGCTGGCAAAGCATCATAAAATACATGCCATATTTTTGTCGTTACATTAAATGATTTTCTCCGGCCTAGATCTATGATCCCAACCACAGTCGGTATGAAGTCCCAGTACCTCTGAACATCCCCACTGCTCCATCCAGCACCCCTGAAGGCCGTCTCTATGATGTCCTCATCAAGGAAAATCCATTTGGGATTGAAATTCGCAGGAAGAGTACAGGCACTGTAATGTAAGTGGGTCCTGGTCTGACTTAGAGTTCCTGCTTTCCTAAACATTCCTCACCAGGTTCAATGTCCTTGAAGACGTGGCTCAAAGCATCAGACTGCCCCTGTTCAGATCCATGATGAATTAGTTACCTTTTATGGCTGTGATAAAAAGCCCCAACCAAGACAACTTATAGACGAGTTTGTGTTCATTGCTTCAGAGTGTTGGAGTCCATGATGGTGAAGTGGAAGCAGGCAACAGACAGGGCAGCAGGAACAGCTGAGAGCTCACATCTTGAACTTCAAACAGGAAACAGAAAGCAAACTGTGTGTGAGCCTTTCAACTCCAAAGTCTGTCCCAGATGACATACTTCCTCCACCAAGGCCACACCTCCCAATATTACCAAATAGTGCCCAAAAGGGGAAAATTATTTAAATACCTAAGACTATGGGGGATATCTCATCTAACCACTGTACATGAGGAAGTGATTTTTGTTCTTAGAGGAAATCTTTAGTACTAGTGATCAATAAGGCAGTTACAGGTGTGTGGGAATTATTGAATGATTATTTACTGAGTTTCTTCCGGATATTAGGTGATCTTCTTGTACAGTGGTCATAGACAGGTGTGCTATTTTTTCCATTAAAGGAAGTTAAATTATACTATGAAGAAGAATTTGATAAAACAACAACTGCTATGCTGGAAAAATCAGGGAAATGAGATTATTTGCAGACGTAGATACCATGATCTGAGATTGTGTCTCTGAGGGTGAGGTGATGGTAAATAGAACCAATTTTAGGAGAGGTCCTGAAGGGAGTTCTGGGTAAAGGAACACTTGTGATAGAATGATATATGTCATGAGCTAGAGGAAATTTATCAGTTACAATAGAGAGATTCCCTTGAGGTGACTAAGAGTATGAATGTGGGAGACATAGGAGGGATGTTAGGTAGGACTTAGAACAAGAACAGCCCTGGAGGTTCCAAGGGAGGCTCTCGGGAGAGATGAGCAGGCATGTGAGCAGGAGTGTGAGGTGGTATGAGGTGCTCATAAAGCAGCCCTGGATAGCTGTAGGAAGTGGAGCATCAGGGGTCAAGAGCAGAAGACACAGTGAGTTTGGAGTGGTAAGGTGATAAAAATAATTGGACATGGATGTGGACAACAATAAAGGGAAGCAGTGATACAATGTAGGGGATTTAATGGTGACTTGGGCCAATAGCAATGGTGACTATTTATTTTAGCCAGTATCCTTGCTTGTTTTGCTTGGGAGAGACCCTGTTTCTGATTGTTTGTGAAAATGGAGGGCTCTGTTGTCCTCACAGAGACAGCTGCTGGAAACTACCAGGGAGCTGATTTCCTTTTGCAAATGTTCCTTTTCCTTCTGCAGCTGGGACTCTCAGCTCCTCGGCTTCACCTTCAATGACATGTTCATCCGCATCTCCACCCGCCTGCCCTCCACATACATCTATGGCTTTGGGGAAACTGAGCACACAACCTTCAAGATAGACTTGAACTGGCACACATGGGGCATGTTTTCCAGGGATGAGCCCCCGGGGGTAAGGACAGGGCATTGGTGTCCGTGTTCTGTCTCCTCTATCCACACTGTGTGCTTTGTGATGTTTTTTCAGGACTCTACATGATTGTCAACTTCTACTGCTAGGCTAATGGAGATCTTTTTAAGTTCCCCTTTCCTCTGCTGTTCTTACTAGAAGAAGATTGACTCAACGTAGCAATCAAATTTCTCTTGAGTTTCTTTCCCATGCACACAGTCTCCTAACCTCCTTTTCCCTTTGCCTCTCAGTACAAGAAGAATTCCTATGGTGTCCACCCTTACTACATGGGTCTAGAGGAGGATGGCAATGCCCATGGAGTCCTTCTGATGAACAGCAATGCCATGGGTAGGACGAACCTCTGTCCTCTTATTGTATGCCAATGATTCTGAAATTGCCTTAGAATATATTTGACTTAGCTGTCACCATAGACAAAATTATAGTCTTTATGGAATGATTTTCCCATTCATTGACCCTTTATGTATATTTTAATTACTATAATCTACCCAAATTTTATTAGCAATGCAGTTAGTTGAGATCTTTTTTTGACTTCTTCAATTCTATACGTACCTACTTCTGAATATCAGTTGTCAGTATGTTACAGTTGAATAGAGAGAAGGTGGGGATTCCAGGGTTAAAATTCTCAACAGGAAGGATTTCATCATGTTGACATTTTCTTGTGTTTTCAGATGTGACATTCCAGCCCCTGCCTGCCCTAACATACAGGACCACAGGGGGCATTCTGGACTTCTATGTGTTCTTGGGCCCAACTCCAGAGCTTGTCACTCAGCAATACACAGAGGTAGGAAGGAAAGCATTTTTGAAATATGTGTGTTGTATATGTGTGTGTACATACACTCATAACGTGTTCCAACCCTAATATACAGGATTAGCATATAATATAACTGTCATATGGTACCTGAATTTGATAGTCTTTCTCTGGAAGAGTTATAATATGGAATATGGGAGAGTGGATATGTTCCCGTAACTATTAAAATTATGTTTTCTTCAACTATTGCAGTGTATCAGATTATTTTTGGTAACTAGTGGTGGGCTAGTGTGGTGGTGGAGCAACGGTAGTAGTGATTTTGATGGTGTGGTGAGGGATGGTGATATTGAATGTAGTGGCAGTACTATTGATGAAAGTTATTGTGAGGATGTTGACTGTTATGGTGATAATGGTAGAGAGGATGATAGGACATGAGGTGATCATGAAAGTGATTGTAGAAGAATTGATGCTGGGAGCTGAGAAAGTGAGGTTCATGTTAGTGATGGTGGTTGTGGGTATGGTGATGTTTTGGTATTAGCGTTGTTGGTAATGATGCTTATGTATGTGGTGGCAATGAGAGTTATCATGATGGAAAATGTTACATCATCACATTGTCACATCGGTTACAGAATGGTGACAGAGACAATGACTGTATTGGTGGTGGTGACAGTCATAATCATGGGGAATAACAACATTGTTGGTGACAACATCAGCAAACTTGTATGAAATATCTAGCCTGTATATTACTTAGTGCATGTAGAGGGTGTTACACCTACTAAGTTACTCAGTGAAACCAACATGAGATAGCTCCTACACTTAGCTTTGATTGACAGGTAAAGAAACAACACAGACATGTCACATAACTGCCCAAGGTCACACAATCAGCAAGACCTAGAGACTGTATTAGAAGTTAGCTGTTTCCCCTTTTGTTGTGTGTTTTTAGTATCTAAATTATATATCTAGGAATCTGAATAAAAGCAGGTTTTTCAGTAATCCTGAAAAATGTGCTCTGAGAAGCTGTAGGTTTTCTGTAGTGTGTCCCAGGAGCTCCACACACCCCTCCACTTACTCTCTGGGTTTGAATTTGGTGTTAAATTGGGTAAAATATTCTGACTTCATATCCAGTTTCCATCCAACTTCTCCTCTAACATTCTAACACTTTCTATTTTCTAGTTGATAGGTCGGCCTGTGATGGTACCTTACTGGTCCCTGGGATTCCAGCTGTGTCGCTATGGATATGAGAATGATGCTGAGATCTCCAGCTTGTATGATGATATGGTGGCTAAGCAGATCCCCTATGTACGTATGTCTGTTGGGGATTTGTTTGTCAGATTTAAGTGTGTTTTTAAAATGACACACTGTATTTTCTCATGTCATGTCACACTGAGCCTAGAGCATCCACAGTGATTCAGGGGAGACCATTGCCCTCATAACAGTGGTGCCTTAGAAAACGAAGAGGAGCTAAGGTCTCCTATACCAGGCTTTCCTCTGCTTTTTGACTGACTTCAATATACTTGATTATACTGTCCTTAGTGACATGACAATTAAACCCCACTCCAATACCAGTTTTGTTTAATTAAGGAAACTTAAACCTATTTCACTGAACCAGTCCTCTGTGTGAATTGCTTTCTTGGGCTCAACACAACACAATGCTCTCCATCCTGGAATCCTGTATTGAGTTTGTAGTGAAATCACATATAGGATCAGCCACATTCACTTCAAAGCCAGAGGTCCAATAACCATAAATTATTTTGTCACCCTTTGTGTCTGTTTTGTACATATTTTTCTAGGTTGCATTAGTGCAATGTGCTTTCTGTAACAAAGCAGTTCTCAACTTGTGAGTTGTGACCTTTTGGGGGGGAGTCAGACAGCCTATTCACATCTAAGACCATTGGAAATCATGGATATTTACATTATAAATCATGAGAGTAACAAAATTACAGTTACGAAGCAGCAACAAAAATAATTTTATGAACGGGGCTTACCACATCATGAGGAACGAACTGTATTAAAGTTTCTCAGCATCAGGAAGGTTGAGAACCACTGTTGTAATAGAACATCTCATTGAGAGCTCTGCATTTGATCATCTCCAACACTGGGTCCTCTACAGTGAGGACAGTTTTTGTTTTGATTCTTTTATAGTGGACCTATGATTGTATTATACACAGAGTGAATATTTGACATTATTTTCAATGAACACACATCACTGATCTCCGGACACACTCATAGAGAAAGTCAAAGCACTTTTTCCTATTGTAATTTTATTTATATTTTTACACAGTGTTTTTAGGTTTTAATTTTTTTTTTCTGTGTAGTTTTAGTGCCTGTCCTGGATCTCACTCTGTAGAGCAGGCTGGCCTTGAACTCACAGAGCTCCACCTGGCTCTGCCTCCCTTGTGTTGGTATTAAAGGTGTGTACCACCACTGCCCAACTTCAGCTGTTTTTAGTTATGTTTTATAATAGCTTGTACAGATAGGTTGCGATATTCATCGTACATTTTTTTGTTGATGTTGAAATGATTTTTTTTCTGTTTTTGAGTCAAATATTTAAAAATCAGTGAATACCCAAGGATTGAAAGCTATAATATGGCATATCTAGCAGTTGAAATTGCTAGAAGCAAGCTGTGGTAACTGCTAGAGTCTGAACTTTCCAACCAGCAGCCACACTTTCTTATACCATCCACAGGACGTGCAGTACTCAGACATCGACTACATGGAGAGGCAGCTGGACTTCACCCTCAGCCCCAAGTTCTCTGGGTTTCCAGACCTGATCAATCGCATGAAGGGCAATGGGATGCGGGTCATCCTCATTCTGGTTAGTTTGTGTGAATGTGTAGGCTGTGCTTGAGACAATGGATGGGCTTGATGGGGATCACCTTAGACTGCCTGTCCTCTCCTGTTTCAGGAGAGAAATAAAGGTGTAATTAGTATAAGTGTATTTCTGCAAGTCAGGAAACGCTACAGTGAAATTTCAACTGGGGACTTTCCCTTCTTTGTAATCCTCAGTCTGAACTTTCACCTGCCTTGTGCTCTGATCGCAGGACCCAGCCATTTCTGGCAATGAGACACAGCCCTATCCTGCCTTCACCCGGGGTGTGGAAAATGATGTCTTCATCAGATATCCCAATAATGGAGACATTGTCTGGGGAAAGGTATGAGCTTTGTGTTGATCCAGCAAGACTTACCCTGGGCCAGGCACTGTGTTAGTGTGTCTGTGGGTGTGGTTTTTACTCTTTGTTTTTTGTCTCTGAATTTCTGCCATTCATTTTATAATCAATATTTATTGATTATTGATAACAATTAAGCAATTTGTAGAATCTTATTTGATCATTTTTCTGCTCACAGGTCTGGCCTGATTACCCTGATATTGTTGTGGACCCCTCTCTAGACTGGGACAGTCAAGTGGAGGTAAATGTCCCTCATGGAGGTTAATTAAGTCAGGAAACAAGAAATACCGGTGCCTGGCAGTGGACTTGGCATGAAAACACACTTAGAACCTGTGTCCTTCCTGTCGTTTTTTTTTTCTCCTGATGATCTTATATACACATTTTGTTTCCAATTCATATCTAACTTTCTACTTTGATATCAGTATTGTTGTTATTGAGATTTAAAACAAAAAAAGTTAGGTGAGATGTCCATGCTTATCATGGCACAACTGTGATTTGAAACCCAATTCTGTCTAAATCCAAGGTCCCACGGATGTTCAAGTAGATGATGCCTCTAAGAATAATATTTTTTTTGATGAATTAAGGTACCTGTTATTTCTTTGGATATTGCTTTTTGATAGGGTGTGTAGCCTTTCTATTTGGTGTTTGACTTTTTTTATTGCATTCCTTATGATTGCAGACAGCCTTTTCTGCCATTATAGTTATAAATCCTGTCTGACTTACATTGTCGCATGTCTCCCATCTTTGCTTTTACCTTGTTGCTACTGCCTTGTATTATACATTTGCTCTCTACTGGGAATAGATTTTTTTCTTATAATGTCTCCAATATTACATGCTCCTTCAACTATATATTTTTCACAACATCAGTAAACTTTTGTGGTTTAGGAGAATTTTACTCTATTTACCCAATATATGAACACAACTCATTTCTCTGTTGTGAATTGTGGTTATAATGTCTGTGAGTAGGATTCTAAGAGTATGAAAGGGCTCTGTGGAGAGCCACTGATTGGCCTGGCTTCTCCTCTCTCCTCTCTAGAAGCAGTGACTCTTTGTAGACAGGGATTACATCCATTTATGTATAACCTATGCATCTTTCCTAGAGGAGTTGGGAAGTGAGAGAGATGGAGGCTATTTAGGCCTCTACTCTGGTGGATTAGATGAAGAATCTGCTCTCTGTGTAGTCAGAGAATGGTGTAACAAATGGTGTTTACAAATTATCACATTCAAGGATCAGTTAGGTAAATGTACTAATTGAAATAGTCACAAACCATAGCCATTATGAGATCAAGCACTAGATACTCAGAAGATCATTAACAAGGGCCCCTTTGCAGAACTCTTTCTTTACAATGTTTTATTCCAGCTAGTGTTCTAGGGTAGAGGAGAAAGCTCTGGCACAGCTGCCATAGAGCACTAAGAATCATAAAACACAGGATAATGATGCCCAGATACCTGGTGTTGATCACTGGGCCTCTGCAAGCAAACTGCAATACCCATGCTTGTGGCTATCCTGCTTGGCTATTAGAACATGTATCTTTATTTTCTGGTACTACATAAAGCAGAACAAGTAGAAACTAACTTAAGCAGGTTTCAAACACTGTTCAAAATTATTCAAACTCAGTTCAAGGTTGTTTTCTCTTGTTATTATGTAATTGTATCTATCTATCTATCTATCTATCTATCTATCTATATATCTATCTATCTATCATCTATGTATCTATGTATGTATCTATGTATCTATGTATCTATCTATGTATCTATCTATCCATCCATCCATCCATTCATCCATCCATCATCTCCAATCTCTCATTTATTATTTTGTGAGGATTTAAGCAGAATAGGTAGCTTCCTAATCTCTCCATCAGTTGTCAAAGAAGATAACTTGCATTTGGTGGTCCAGGCAGCCCATGTAGGCACATGAACATGTCAAGTCCTTTTAAAAGGGCCTTGTAGTCCCTATATTAATGATTGCATGAATGAACAGTTCCTTCTGGATACAGTGATGCTACTCTGGACTGTCCTCCCTCCATGCCACTTAAGGAATTTGGGCTTTTCCTCCTTCGGGGCAGTGGCTAGAAGTAGGACTGGAATGTTGGAGTAAATGTTGCCTGTTACCACAAATGCCAATGAGCAGAATCAGGAACTCTGCACTTATCAGCTGCACTTTATTCAAAAGGCAGTCAATCAGGAATGCAGAAACTTATCATCCACACAATCTGTCTTCCCCTCTCATCTCCAACAGGCACATCTTTGGGGAATGGAAGCAAAGGCAGCCAGACATTCCAAATTCTATGCCTCTGGTCAGGTGGCCAGGTTCTTCTGTATTTTCCCTCATTATGATCCCTCTCTATATGTCAGGGCTCATGTACTCCCAAGGCCACTAAGCCTTCCATTTGTCTGGAGGTGTCCACTAGAACAAACAAATTAGTTCAGCATATGAGGTGTGTGCTGAGCTAGTTAAATTGTGTGCACACAGATTCCTGTCTATAATATGAAGTGCAAATGTGCTCTTACACATTAAGACAAGGTTGACTTGATTTACAGTTACATCCTACAGGGGATACAATTCTGACTCACACATAGCTGATAATGTCTGTATAATCTGATACTCCATCTACCCTTTCCCATATCCCATGTTTCAGACTTAGTGTGAGCTGAGTCTCTCTGTTTCTGGTGGAGGGTTCTCTTTGTTAGTAGTGTCATAATTTCTATTTCCAATTTTAGTAGATACAATGCCTCTGTATCACCATTATGATGTGTTGCACCCCCGCTCCCCGTGAAGCAGTGATGCATGCTGATCCATTTCTGATCCATTCTTCAACATCTTCTCTTGTTCTGTTTCTGGTCCTGTGAGTTCTTACATAATGGACTCTTCTCTGGTGTGTGTAAGCAATATAGTGCCCTAGGAAAGTCTTGCTGTTATTCCTTACCACCCCATTATTTACTTCCTGACACTTTCAGTTCTGTGAAGAACTTAAAAGAGGCTTTTTGTTGAGACTCAGCAAGGACTGAAATGTCCCACAATAAATAACAGGGAGAAGTATAGAGACTTTATGGATATTTGCTCTTGCTGAGTGGCAGAAATTCACAAGTAGACAGAGAGTATGGATTATTATTGATCTATTATTTTCTCCAATTCTATTAAACACTGAAGAGAATATGAAGATCAACTTGAAAATACAAGAAAAAAACTTTGCTCTTAAAAAGTATAACATGTAGTCAAGGAGCAATACATTGGACATACTTTTCCAGTAAGATGTAGACAATGTTTTTATGATTTGGGGGAAAAGGAAGTGAAATCAAAGTGGAAGCTCCCCCCACCCAAAGTCCCCCCACTTCATATTGCACATGGCTGAAAGTGTCCTCTGATTTTACAGTCACAGCAAACAGAGAGCCATACTAGTTAGTCCAAGATCAGAAACATGCAATCAAATCCAACCTCATTCCCAGTGTGAATGTTCCCTGAACGCTTTTATCCAACCTGATACCCTTCACCTAACGTCTGACCTTTCAGCTAAGGCTCACATGACTTCTACCTTGCCTCATCAGTCCTTAAGATATGATGACACAATTTGACGGAAATCCATTGCATGAGTTAGTGAGTGCAGTATTAGATCACTCCCACTCCTGTGGAGAAGGAAGAGAAATTCATTGAATGTTTTTCAGAATTACAGTAGGTGTTATTCTGGGCTTTTTTTTTATCTGTGTTTTACAGTTTTCTAAGATAATGCTTATCCAAATATCTGCTATATACTTGGTTCATATTATCATCATCTACCACCATGTAGTATAAGACTTTGCATGAACCGTGTTCATATTAGATGCATGTCTGCTGCTTAATATAATCATTTATGACAAATAACAAATAATCATTATTTAACAGCAATACCGAGCTTATGTGGCCTTCCCAGACTTTTTCCGTGATTCAACTGCCACATGGTGGAAAAAGGAGATTCAAGAACTCTACACGAACACATTGGAACCAGAGAAGAGCTTGAAGTTTGATGGCCTGTGGATTGTAAGTGTGTGCACATCAGTTTACTTGGATAGAGGAAAGGAGTGGTGTGTGTATATGTGTGTGCACATGTGCGTGGGCACCCGTGCGTGTGCATGTTTGTGCATCTTCCTGTACCTTAATTTTTAAAAATATTTACCATTTATTTCATTTGTATGAATGTTTTGTCTATATGTATGCACTATTTTGTCTATATGTAATGTATGTATGTACATGATGTGTGTGCCTAGTGCTCATGTAGGTCAGAAGAAGGTGTCAGATCTGGAGCTGGAGTTACAGATGGTTGTGAGCCACCATGTGGATGCTGGGAGCCCAGCAATAGCAACAAGTGCTCTTAAGAACTGAGAGATCTCTGCAGCCCATCTACCTGTGTGTGTCTTAACATATTAATAGAATAATATCCGTTCCAGGCTATAGAGATGCACAATGTACTCCTTCTACCAGGTGTGGAATAGCGTTCATCCTCTCCACATCTGGTCTTTACCTGAAGCTCCTTCTCTAAGATCTCAAATGTCATTATCAGAAATCTCTTGGAACTTGGCCCCCCAAGGGAACTTTCCCTATAGAGATCATTTGTTCTTTATAGCCTGATTCCCCAGCAGTTGAAGATCTTCCCTGTGCAGGTGTCCAGAGATAACTGGATGTTTAATGCTTTTATTCATGCTATTTTCTTAACTCTGAATTTACAGGCTCTGATTACATTTAAATAGAAATAATGTTTCTGACATTTGTAGGATATGAATGAACCTTCCAGCTTTGTGAATGGAGCAGCTCCTTCGGGCTGCAGTGATGCTACTCTGAACCGTCCACCCTACATGCCACGTAAGGAATTTGGGCCTGCTCCTCCTGTGCAGCACTATCTGGAAGCAGAACTGAATGCTGGAGTAAATGTTGCCTATCACCAAAATGCCATTGAGGAGAGGCAGGAACTGAAATCCATTGTACTTTATTCAGAGGCAGGCAGGCTGGGAATGCAGAGGATTAACATCTCCCCAATCAACCTTCCCCTCTCTAGCTAGCACATTTTAGGAAATGTGTGCTGAGCCAGTCAAAACGTGTACATGCAGATTCATTTCTACGTAAGGAAATTTCTACTGTGCTCCTATAGTATAAATAATTAACCCTCTCTATCCAGTCATCAGGGGTTACCTGTTTATCAATGGTAGGTTCTCATAGTTTCTGTGGTTTAATGGGGCTGAAGATAAAGAACAGGAAAGCCGTTTACCCAATTCTGTGTGTGTAGGATTGAGGAGACATTAGGCAAATTTCTCAAATTTGTCTAGATGATTCTCAACAGTATTAATGTCTCTGAAGCCTTCTCACTGTAAAATGTCTTAGCTATCCAGTTTTATGAGAATGCATCCACCTGCATTATCTTTGTAATCAATGATTGGAAAAAGTTGCTTCCCATTATCATGGAGCCAGTTGACTTTAAGGTTCTATTTGTGTTTATGCCTTTGCTGTCAGTGAATGAAAACCCAGTGTTCTGTTGCCTCCTTTATCTTATTAAGTGAACCAGCAATGGAAATCATACGCAGGCTCCTTACATCTCAGCTCAGAGCACTGTACTGAGTTGACGCTAAGCAGGGGAGAGATATCAGATTAGTCTTAAGTCGTGGAGTTAAATCCATTAATAGGAGGTCAGGAATGAGAAAAATCAGAACTGTTTTTCACCGTCTTAACCCTTCCCTCAGATCTGGAAGCCAGGGACAGGGGTCTGAGCAGCAAGACCCTGTGCATGGAGAGTGAGCAGATGCTTCCGGGTGGCTCCCGGTTACGGCACTATGATGTGCACAGCCTTTACGGGTGGTCCCAGACCAGACCCACCTACGAGTGAGTGACCCTCTCCTTCTACTTCCTCTCCTTCTACTTCCTCTACCTCTGTGATGGGTGTTGTAGCTCCTCTACTTTTCCATTCATTTTCCCATCCCCAGGGGTCCGTATAATATAATTGTAAAAACTGTGTGACAATTCTTATTTGGTAAGCAACCTCTCCTTAACCATGGAGCCAGCTGTGTGAGGCAATCAATAGTTCTCTTGACTGTACCCACAGGCACCCTGAAAGTCATCGTGCAGTGTAGGCAGTACTGTGGTATCATTGGTGGCAAGAGGACAAGGTAACTGAGGGCTAGAAAGCTTGCCTCTTTGTGTTGAAAGTGCGTTGTCTCTTTAGGTGTTGGTTTTTCTTTGGCTACTCATGTTGGATAGTCAATTGGTCTTTTGTTGAAGTAGCTAGGCATACTCACAAGGGAGCCAACAGAAAAATAATTCCCTCATACAGAATATCAAGTATGGGCAAATAAATAGCCTCATCCTGTGACTGCTTTCTATTTGGGGAGAAACCAATGAATTGTCACATGGTGAGATACTTTGAAAACAACTGTGCAAAGGCCTGACCACTGTTAATATCCTCATTAACCAACGAGACCTCCTGTAAAGGGTCATTTTTATATTCCTTCTAGTCACACAAGATATATTTTTGTCATGATGTCCTAAGAGCAAGGGCTCTGGGGAGGACCTTCTGTTGATTTCCTTCCCCTTTCCTGCCTTTAATTTTCCTCCTTGTTTCTCCACCAGAGCTGTGCAGGAGGTGACAGGAGAGAGAGGGGTCGTCATCACCCGCTCCACATTCCCCTCTTCTGGACGCTGGGCAGGACACTGGCTGGGAGACAACACAGCTGCCTGGGACCAGCTGGGGAAATCCATCATTGGTGTGTGGGTTGTGCCCAGGGGCCTCTGCTGGCTGTGGGTGGAGTGGGGAGTAGGGTCCTTGGTGAAGGGGGAGGGGCAGGCAGAGAATGAGTGCCTGTCCTGACCCTGCTGCATCTCTCCTTGCAGGCATGATGGAGTTCAGTCTCTTTGGCATCTCCTATGTAAGTGTCCTTGCATGCTCCTCCCCCTCCCGAGGAAGGTGGCCTCATCTCTCAAAAGCTCCCAGAGCTCACTTTGTTTGTTGTTGTTTCAGACTGGGTCAGACATCTGTGGGTTCTTTCAAGATGCTGAGTATGAGATGTGTGTGCGCTGGATGCAGCTGGGTGCATTTTACCCCTTCTCCAGGAACCACAACACCATTGGGACGAGGGTAGGATGTCAGCTTCCTCACATATATTATGTAACTGGAAATGCTACCTCAGTTTCTGAGTTCAATCCTGCTGCCTGTTTTCCCTGGAATGCCATCAAATCATTAATCCTTTTCCTGTAAACTGTCTTCAGTTTCAGTAATACTTTGATGACGTTTTGCTTTAGGGACTATTTTATACTATACCTCATGAAGAATGTCCTGTCAATTTTTTTCTGGTAAAATTTTGGTGATCTTTACCAGTTCATTAAGAGTATTCTAGGATTCCTAGTCATTATTTTCTAAACTTTATGGTATGTTAGGTTGTGATATAGTTCAAACAGGCCTTCAATGATCTTCTTGAACTCCTTAATTGTCTCTGGAGGACTTTGAACACTTTTCTTCTCCTGCTTTAGAGACAAGACCCTGTGTCCTGGGATGAAACCTTTGAGAATATTTCCAGAAGTGTGCTAGAGACCAGATATACCCTGTTGCCATATCTCTACACCTTGATGTACAAGGCCCACACGGAGGGCAGCACCGTTGTGCGGCCTCTTCTCCATGAGTGAGTGTCGAGCTGGGATGCTGTTGAATGATGGGGAATGCATTTAACCTGTAAGGAGGGAGCTGATGAAAGAATTTTTCCACTCTGAATGTTTGACTCTTTTTTTTGCCAAGGATGTCCTGGTATGGACCATACTTTATCAGTCCTTCCTTCTGTGCTCTGCTTGACGCAAGTCTTGTATGAAAGACCACCTATTGAATAAAAAAAACATTAGAGAAGAGTCAACATTCCATAGCATTATTTTCTCCATATGACCTTGCTTTATTTTTATTTTGTTATGTAACTCTAGGCCATCATTTGTTCCAGGTCACCTCGATGAGCACTCCAGTAAAGATTTAAGAGCAAAAAGCATGTTTGCATTTAAATGTGGGATGATAAAGAAATGGTTTCTCCATAAGTACATTTCTTGACAGTTTCTGAAGTTTTGGAGGCATGGTACATAGGATGATGTGGGGTATTTAATCTTCATTATTCTGTGCAGAGAGTGCTGGAGGCAGAGGACACATAGGATCTCTGATATGGGTCTTAACTCAAGTATTTCTTCAGGGCATTAAGCGAAAATATCCTCTTCAGGTCTGATTGTGACACCTTCAATTCCCTTTTCAGGTTTGTGGCAGACCGTGAGACCTGGAATATAGACAAACAGTTCCTCCTGGGTCCAGCCTTCCTGGTCAGCCCTGTGCTAGAGCCCGTGAGTATGGAGACCTCTGAGAATTGGAGGATCCCAATGGCTAGATTGAGAGAATTTGGAGAAGGAAGTCTGGTGTGACACAGATCTGGAGACTGGGTTTCTTATTTTACATCCGTCTCTTATGGTCCTTCAGTGTAGGATTCTATATCTTGGGTTTTCTGCCCTCAAATCCTTCTTTACATTAGCCCAATAATTCCAGTTTAGAGAATAGTCAAAATGAAAATAGCTTCATTGTTTATTTGAACATATTGTTTTTCCACTGATTAAAATGAAATGTGTAGGTAGGTACAGGTGTGGGAAGTAGTGTAAAGATTCTTTATAGCCTCCGTCATTTTTAACTGATACGTTCAAAACTGCTTGCAGCAATACGTCATCAACTTGTGCCTGCTGGTAGCTAGCTCTTTGCTGCCTTCTATAAGTGGTTACACGTGCAGCAAGAGACATTTTATCATTTCTTCTGTACCTAGATGGGCATTTAACTAAACAGAGAAGCTATTTAGATCACCTCCAAATACTTTTGAACCTGCAGACATGTTTTCTTCTGCTCTATACCTAACCTGGGGTATGTGTCTTTAGGGAAGTATGAGTAAGGCTTCAAGCATGAGGTTGTCATTGTCTTTGAAGTCATGTTCCCCAAAGGGCCTTAGTGAAGGTGCTGGTTTTTGTTAGGCAGTTTCCATGCTTGGAAATTCGGAAAGAAAACAGGGCTTCTCAGCGTTGGTGATCTTTAGGAAGTCTAGGCACAGGTATCCAATTCGAGCTCTGTTCTTTTATGCAAGGGTACATTGCAGGTTGCTGACTCTGTCTTAGAATGCAGTACTCACACCCAATCTGTGTTTAATTTCAGGGTGCTCGAAACGTCAGCGCATATTTCCCCACAGCCCTCTGGTATGATTACTATACGGTAAGTTCACTAAATGTTCATACAACCTGGCAGTGTTAGAGTTCAAAGTCTCTGAGTGTGTTAGACTCAGCAGAAAACAGACCAGATCCTGACAATGGAAACCACCTGCTCTGGTCTAGCTGTCTTCTCAGTTCCTGTTAGGATCAGACAAACCACAGCCACTCTTCTAGAGAACTGCTAGGAAGCGACATGAAATCCTGCAGACTGGTGCCTATTGGGCTGTGAGCATAGCTCTCCTTATGTCACCACTAGCCATATGGTGAAGACATTAATGAACTCTTTTTCTGATACCAGAAAGTACTTAAGAGAGTAATGTTCAATCTCATTTCTGTTTATGTGAGTGTGCCCTCACAGAGACCCTTTCTCCTCTGTATTTCTAAGTGGCTGCTCTTTTTGCACAGATGCTAAAGAATTGTTCCATGTGATTAGCTAAGACAAGTGAGAGCCAGTGCTGTCGATGAAAAGTACAGATCTTACTCCAAAAAGAATGTGAAGTCAGTTATTCAGGGCCACTCATGAGTGACTATTGCCTGGGATCAGGGATTCAAGTTGTTCCAAATGACATGCTGCACTGTGGAAGCAGATACATGAACTTTTTATAGCCACATAGCAATAGAAAGCCGTAAGTTAGTACACCAATCAAATACATTGTGAACCTAGTGCTGGAGAGGTAGAGAAAAAGGATTCATCCAGTTTAGCCAATCAGCAACTCCAGATTCAGTGAGGGACCTTGTCTCAAACAAACAAACAAACAAACAAACAAACAAACAAACAAACAAATAAACAAGGTGGAGAGAAGGATGATGAGAGCAATCTGGCCTCTGTGTGTGTGTGTGCGTGTGTCCGTGTGTGTGTGTGTGTGTGTGTGTGTGTGTGTGTGTGTGTGTGTATGTGTGCGTGTGTGCGTGTGTGTGTATGCCTGTATGCCTGTGCATTCACACACACACACAGCCATGTACACATATGAACACATATATACATACAAACACACACAGAGACACATGCACTGAAACACACAGCCACACACATGTACACATTAGTATACAGCAGTGATTCTCAACCTGTGGATCGTGATCCCTTTGGGGCCAAACGACCCTTTCACAGGAGTTGTGTATCAGATATTTATATTACAGTTCACAAGTGGCAAAATTACAGTAATGAAGTAGTGACAAAATAATTTTATGTTTGGGGTTCACCACAACATGAGGAACTGTATCAAAGGGTTGCAGCAGTACCAAGGTTAGGAACCACTGATATACAGTCATGTATACATGTGCACACATATGAACACATACATACAACACACACATACTCACACATAGATACACAGATACACACACGCACACACACACTATAGGATAGCATCACAAAAAAATGAACTTTCTAACCTCATTGTTAATAGTTCCTGCATTGACCGACATACATTAGAGCTGAAAGAAGCAGTGGACACATGCCCCTATTCAGAAGTTATCTTCAACTGACAACAATTTTCAAAGGAAAAATGAGTTTTCTTCAAGGGAGACCCACTAGAAAAACAAATTGCTCTTAAGAGTAGGTTACATGCCCTGCAGTAGATGGCCCACAGAAAACAAACTCAGCAGCATCTTTAGGGGTTCCTTGTCTCAAAATGTCCTATCAGGTTTTTTTAATTTTAATTTTTCATTTTTACTGTATGTGTGTATGTATATGTGTATTACAATACAGCTTTAGAGTATATACAGTGGCTGTTTTTGCTTTATCTTATTATTTATATTATTATCTCTTAGATGACTTTTTTCCTATGGATAGACAGAAACGGGGTAGATTTGGGTAGGAGGGGAGTGGGTAGAAACTGGGAGGAGTAGAGAGAGGAGAAATCATAATCAGAATATATTGTATGAAAAAAATTTATTTTCAATAAAAGAAAAAGTGCAAAGAAGTGCCTGCATCATGAGACCCTGCTGTGGCTGAGAAAGTGTGAAAGGATTTTAGGTTACGACTCAGATGAATGAGCATCTTTCACAAGAGGCCTGGCAAAGGTGTTAAATGTAAGACAGGAATATTCTGTTCAGGATAGTGGTATGTAAATAAGTCTGCTCATGCTGATCTTTGCAATGGAGCATATTTCAAAGGGGTTGGGAACTTGGCAGGATGGGAAAGAGGACAGCACCTCCGTAGTCAACAAGAAATAAATGCAGATTTTGTCCAGTGTTATCTCGAAGAACTCTGCGCCTTAGTACCTGATTGTAGGGTGAGAGTGTTTGGGATTTATATGAGATCCTGCAAAGGCCAGGGACTCTCATGGAGACTTAGAGAAGCAGAAGCAGACTCCATACAGCAGCAGGGAAATGAACGAGGTATGAAAGCAGGTTTGTGATGAATGGTGATGACCTAGAAGCAAGTTGAGGGAGGTGTGTGGGCTGTATTGCTCAGGGAGGAATGTGTGCATTCCCTCATCTTTTCTCCTCCTTTGGACACCAGGGTGCAGACATCAATTCAACAGGAGAGTGGAAGACCTTACCAGCCCCTCTTGAGCACATCAATCTTCATGTCCGTGGGGGCTACATCCTGCCATGGCAACAACCCGCCCTGAACACTCACTTAAGGTGAATAGGGAACGTATGGTTCTACTTTGCACACCTCTGAGCTCCTCATTCTTTTGTCATGAGAATCCCCGATCTCTCCAGTGTCAGCCTTAAGGCCAAAAGCTATTTTACTGAGCTTAATTTTCTCTCTCTCTCTCTCTCTCTCTCTCTCTCTCTCTCTCTCTCTCTCTCTCTCTCTCTCTCTCTCTCTCATATTTCGTCCACTTCCTCCAGCAGGCTTCTGTTAAACCCAAGATGCTAATCCAATAGGGACAGTAAGGAGGGAGAATTGTGTGTGTGTGTGTGTCTATGTGTGGTTTGTTTTTGTGGGGCAGGGGGTGTCACCAACTATGTTCTTAGATTTCCTGCAGTCTCTAGGGTCTCTTGACAGAGAACTGCCCCCTGCTGGGCTTGGAAAGACTTTCCTCCTGGTCTCCTTACCTTAGTCTTGAGGATAAATTGACAATAGGGATAGTCTGCATCCCTGGCTTTCCCAGGGCTATAGACCTTTTCACATTGTAAGTCTCATGACTCGAGAAAGCCCAATTCTGAGCAATCTCACTCAGCACTCTCCCTACCTGACTTGGCCTGATGACCTATCTGTAGTTAGAGACAATGTAGCTCATGCCTCACATTGTCTCTGATCTAGGTTTGGGTTTCATTGACTAAGTTCCTACAAACCCAGTTTCCTGTTTCTTTCTTTCTTTTTTTTTTTTTGGTTTTTCGAGACAGGGTTTCTCTGTGTAGCTTTGCGCCTTTCCTGGAACTCGCTTTGGAGACCAGGCTGGCCTCGAACTCACAGAGATTCGCCTGGCTCTGCCTCCCAAGTACTGGGATTAAAGGCGTGCACCACCACCGCCCGGCTCTGTTTCTTATTAATAATTGAGCATGGTTCTTTTTCCTTTTTAATTCATAATTGGATTTTAACAACACAAACTCAAGTCTCTCCCGCTTTTCCTTTTTCTCCTCTTTGCTTGCACAATTACAATTCTAGCTCTTCAGAAGAGTTACTTGCTGGTATTCTCATATGCTTCAAAGTTTAGCCCTAGTAAGTTTCAACAGATGGATTTCTTGGGAGGCTTGAAACCTGCCTTTTCCCTTGAACCTCCCTCGTTTTCTTAATACTTCAATTTATAGACTTTTATGAAAACATAACTAAATCTAATCACCACTTTCCCCTCCCTATTCCTCTCCCTGTCAAATAACTCCAGTTTCAGGTTACTTTGTATACTGATACCAAATTCCTGACTCAAAAATTAAAATTTTTTTGTTCCCTAGCTTGATGTCTGAACCCCTTTAAGAATAGGATGCCCATAGTCTATAGCTCGAAATGTGATACCAAGCTGACTTTGACACCTCTGTCTTTTTCAATATGTTAATAGTAGAGCTGGCTTTCAATGCCCCAAAGATGCTATTCTCCCAGTACAGTCAATTGTTTTATTGTACTTGAACTTATGCTTCTGTTACACTTGGCCTGAGGACCAGGGTGTGGAACATGTTAGCTAGGCACGTGCTTTACCACAGTGTGATCTCAGCATATCCCCAGTACATTTGCTTTCATTTGTCTAATCACACATTTCTTATCATTGACACATATAGATTGTAAATTAGTGGTAACTACAGAAGCAGTTCAGAAATTCCAAGATTTAAATGCTTGCACCCTTCATAGATGTTTAAAATACTTAATCTGGTAAAATTATTATTGGAGGAAGACACGATATTCTTTATCTGCCCTTAAAGCAAAGGAGTCATGTATGACTGACTAGTATCTTTCTCAGTTGAAATCTGAGGCAAATGTTTTCTAAAATCTTTTGAGCCCTAAGTATTTGTGCCTTGTGTAAATCTTGTTCCCCACAGCCGGAAGAACCCTCTCGGTCTGCTCATTGCCCTGGATGAGAACAAAGAAGCAAGAGGAGAACTGTTCTGGGATGATGGGCAGTCAAAGGGTGAGTGTGGTGAAAGGGTGTGGCCATTGAAGACCTGCATGTCTGACTCTGTCCCTTTACCCCTGCTGGCCATTCAGCTGTAGGTGAAATCTCACCAGGCATCCTAGAGCATCCTCTCAGGGAAAACATGTGCTTCTGCATGTACTGGTCAGAGACCATGACAGATGAACTACAGATGGAAGGAGAACATGTTGCCCCCAACCCCTCTCAATTCTCCTGTTGGCTAGACTCTCATTTTTATTAATAGACACTCAAGGGGCACAGTTTCATGACTGGTGCTTTAAATCATCTGCTCTGAAATATATATTACCCCCAAACCCTGGGGGACAAGTGTTGGTGATATGAAAATCATACTCATGCCAATATAAGGTGATGAGCACACACATTCCTAGTGTCTATGCATCAAGCTGTGCTTTAGTTCATATCAGTTGCTGTGCAGTAATGATGCTGTGGCCCTAGCTCAGGAAATAGATTCCCATGGAACAACTGCTTTGAGAACATTTGGGGAGATCTTTGCAGGGGTGTGGTAGTGAGAAGAAAGCAAAGCAATGGCTTGGACTTGTATAGTTTGTTCATCATTTTGTCATTCTCAAGACACAGTTTTAAATTCTTGATTTTATTTAAAAATAATGAATTGAATATGTTTGAACATATTCAAGGTCTTCAACATAGTCATTGTTTACTGATTACCATCAATATGACCAACAATGAAGACATTCATTCTCAGTCATGGTAGTATATATTATCTCCCTAGAATATGCTCTTATAATTCAATGTCGCAGATCACTGAGTAACTTCTCTACTCCCCTGCCTCTTGGCAACTGCAGTTCCATGAACTGCTATTTTGAAATGTACATATAAACGTGATGGCTAAGTACTTCTCTTTGTGTCTAGCTTCCTTCACTTAGTATGATATGCCTCAGGCTCATGCAAGGTCACATGTTGCCATGTTTTTATGTTCTCACTTGCTGAGGACTCCATGATGTACATGTCCTACCATTTCTTTTCCCATCATCTACCCATGGATGTCTAGGTGCTGTCCACAACTTCACTATTGTAAAATGTATGCTAGCCTTCAAGTTAAACACTGAGCGTAAGTCACCTAGGGAAACAATATGGAAAATATTCTTTGACATTGATCTTTATAGACAAAGTCAATGATAGGCCCTACTTAACCTTGACGTCTTCTGTATAGGAAAATAAAAAAAATTGATAGTTTGCAAAGGCAGCATACAGAGTAGGAGAAAATGGAGCCAATTATGTATTTGACAAAGTCAGTGGAAAAATTAAAAAAAAAACTTCTTAAAATTGATGGCAAGGGAATACACAGTATGATTTTGAAATAGGAAAACTATTTCAATAGATGTGTTTTTCAGAGAAGACATAGTCACACCTAGACATGTATAGCCAACAGGTAAATGAGAAAATGCTGAACACTAGCAATAAGTTCAGGTTTAAATAAAGCATGTTAGTGATGTATCACCCCATATCTTTTAGTATGAAATAATCAACTGTAGCAAGTGTTAGTGAAGGTGCAGGAACCCAGGGGAACTATTAACATCCTTTGGTAGAAATATACATTGGTCTAACCACAGTCCTTCAAAAAGTTGAAAATAAAGTGACTTTATGATACAGTCATCTCACTTCTAAACACACACATATGTATGTCCTTGAAATAAGCTTGCCAAAGAGAATCTGCACTCCATGTTCATTGTGGCATTATTGCTACTAGGGAAGATAATAAAACAGTCTATATGCACTGATGGATACTTGAATAAAGAGATAGTATTATTAGATTTAGTAGAACGTTAATCTGTCATAAAATACATATTTCTTTGATTTACAAAATCAGCTGTCAGCTTTGAGGAGAGGAGATAAAATATGGCCTTCTTCAGGGACCAGGCCAGGCTGACTTGTCTCTCTCTCTTTTTTTTTTTTTTAGATCTCACAACCAATAATGTTCTATGTCAATTTTCAGTCACTCAAGTAAGTAGAACGTTTTTAAGAATCTGAAGTGTGGACTTTTATCTGACCATTAGCACCTATTGGCATGTGTATATATGTGACTACATTTTCAGTAATGACTATGGGTGAGCACATCCCCATTTAGGACTTAATTCTCAGTAATTTCATCATTTGTGCTGTTGAAAGGAAGCAATAATATTCATAAATCAAAGCAAATCATATTTTTCAATAGAGCTAGTGTCTTGATACAGTTATGTAAAATGTCTATTTGCATGTTCTCATTTTTTCCCCACCTAAACATGCATTAGTAGAGAAGGCTCAGAGGCTTTCACAGCAGCTGAAGATCTGGTCAAGGATTGGGCATCTGGTCTAGGATAATAGGGCATCTGGTTTAGGATAATAGATCATCTGGTCTAGGATAGATCATCTAGTCTAGGATGGGGCATCTGGTCTAGGATGGGGCATCTGTATAGGATAGGGCATCTGGTCTAGGATAGGGCATCTGTCTAGGATGGGGCATCTGTCTAGGATAGGGCATCTGGTCTAGGATAGGGCATCTGGTCTAGGATGAGGCATCTGGTCTAGGATATGGCATCTGGTCTAGGATGGGGCATTTGAGGACCTACAGAACCTCAGCCCATTCATTTGTGCATAATTATGCTTGATGTATTTCAGAACCACTTGGATGTGAGTGCTGTAGGATCAACCTACACAAATCCTGATAATTTAGCATTTCAGGAGATTAAAATTTTTGGAACACGGGCACTTTACAATGTTACAGTGAAACACAATGGTGTCATAAGTCAGATGTCTCCTCAAGTCACCTATGATCCTAACATGAAGGTAAGTCTCTGTTTTGTTGAGGCTTTTCAAATTGGCGTGATGGTGATTCTTCTTGCCAAAGTCACTGGGGTTCTCAAAGGATGACAACACCTTTGAGGCCTGGTGGGAAGGGCAGACTAAGGGGAAATATGATGACATTTGGGAGATAGTCTGAGCTGGAATGAGTCAGGGAGCTTGTGGGGCAAGGATGATAAAAACAAATAGTTTGGGTTTGTATTTTTTTGTCTCTCAAGAGTCCTGCTCTCTTACTAACTTTATTATCACATATAGATACATATAATATATACATATATAATACACACACAAACAAGTCATCATTTGCTTGTGTGTATAATACACACACACACATACACACACACACACACACACAACTGAAACATACACATAACACAGAAAAGGAAGTGGGGGCCTGTTCAGATGAATGAGGATCTAAGAGCTAATGGCCAATGCTGAGGCCTAATGAGCTAAATTTTTGAAATATTTTTTAACTTTGTTGAGATTATTTCTCCCCCTGATTTCATCAGTATTAAAACTCTCACTCCAACACACATACACATTTTCATGGCATATTTAAAACAAATTTGAAGATCTTATCCAAATGGTTATTATTAGGTTAGATGATAACAAATAATTATTTACTGGAAAGTAATACACCTTATCTACTAGACAGAATTGTGTTGCGTTCCTCCTGATATAAGGAGAAATCCTCCCCCAGTAACCTTGAGCACATGTTGTACAATTTCTGGATTGGCATGTGTGATGGAACCATCAAGTTTTGGGAAAATAAGTCAGTTTATACCTCTTGTAATGGCATATTATCATATGTGAAATTTTGTCTTGAATAAAATTTTCAGGATGAACACATATTCAGGGTGCAGACACCATGAAATAAAGTGGTGTGTTGTTGGTTTTATAGTTGTTGGTGTCCAGAGCTTAGTAAAATTGCTGAGCACAGCTTACTGTTCAGGGTGGGAAATGGACCTATAACGATGACGTGTCAGGTGAGATTCATTAGTTGAATATAATGAGACATCTCCAAAAGATTAAAAAATCTGACCATTTTGTCATTCTGTTGAAATGAGATGATGGAGAGTTGCTGGCATGTACTTAACAGTTGAAGGCTGTAGGGACTGAGGTCCTTCTCTCATGATCGCAAGTGGCTGCTTGGTTCTGTCACAATGCCCCATTCTAGGAGAAATAAAAAGGGAAAAACAGAACAAGTGATAAGAAAAGGTAGACAGTAGAGGTTGGCAGAGGTAAAGATGAAGGAGGAAATCCTTGAGTGGAGAAAGAAACACTTACCCAGCTGCTGTTGGTGAACTTGATGCTAACTTTCCAAAGCCAGAGCTATAATTCATAGACTATAATGTAGTCCTCACCTGAGAGCTTTGCTCTTCAAAAAGGAAATACTACAGAAGAACATGTGGTTTACTGATAAGACAACAGGAAGTATGCTCCACGTGGGCCCCACTTTGCCATAAAAGGAAAGTAGAGCAATTCAAGTTGAGATATCAGAATCAGCCAATCCAAGAACTGAGAATAGTCTCATGTTATCACCCTGACAATCCTGTCTATGTAGGTAGCATTTGGGACATCCAGTTCTAAGTGGAGATCAGTTTATTCTGGAGGAAACATATGGTTAGATTTTGGAGGATCTTAGGTCATAAACTGCAAAGGTCATACTTGACTTAATTGTCAAAGAGTCTTACAATGGTCCTTGAAGCAAGGCCTTGTTAGAGATGGCGGTGGAGGGCTGGAATTGGTAGTATGGGGAAAGTATCAGCTAGAGAGGAAACTGAGAGAAACATGACAGTTCTTAAAATGTCACCTAAGAAAAGTGAAAGTGTTGAAGAAGAGTCAAATGTTAAAAAATAGAGAACATGTTGAATATTTAATTTGATGAGTAGGATATCAGAATGTTTCAAGATTTAAGCAGATGAGCTTAGATAAGTGTTAGGTATGGAAGAAAATGTGATAATTTTGTCCCAACTCACCAGGTTTCCAATTGATTAAATTGAGAGTCAATAAATCCATCTAGTTTGTTTAAGATCTCATAGAAATATGGGGATGGGAGCTCCCTCAGTTTCTTTTCTTGTTGTTTTGATAAAATGCCCTGACAAGAGCAACTCATAGAGGAAACACTTATCCTGGCTCATGGTTTAAAGGAATGGTCCATCGTGGTGGGAAAGTCAAGGTGTCGGGAGCTAAGCAACTGGTTGCGTCATCTCCACAAACATGAAGCAGAAAGCAGTGAATGAATACTGCTGTTCAGCCCATGATCCCAGCTGGGAAATAACACCACTCAAAGTGGGCAAATACTCCTTTAATCAATGTAACAAAGATAATTTCCCATACCCAAGCCCAGAGACCCATGTTCCAGGTGATTCCAGTGTATATGAAGTTGACAACCCTAACCATTACAGGAACTTGGACCTGTGATTGACATTGCATCTTCTCCATGTGCCCCTCACTGACAGGGACATTGCTTTGGGGAGTGAAGCACAAGAAGAGAAGCTAAATTCTAGAAGAGCAGAAAAGAGTTTCTGTAACCAAATAAAAGGGACAGATAAGTCAGGGAAGGAATGAAAAGGAATGGTCACAGCAGCTGTAATTTGTCCCAATTCTTACACAATATGATGAGGAAGATTCTAGTGGAGTAAAGGGACTGACATTTCCCTGTCACTGCTGGTAGTCCCACCGACTAACATGCAAGTCTTCCTGCAAGCCAGTCATATGCCTTGCATTGTTGACACTCTGTTCTCATTTCTGCTTAATTTTCTAAAGGTGTTTTCAGATTACGTAAGGACTTTGTTCCCAGTGAAGAATCTCTTGTGCCTTGTCTGCCCCTACAGGTTGCAATTATTACGGGTATCCAACTTCTCCTGAAAGAATCCTATACGGTGGAGTGGGATGACAGCATAAGGGACGAGGAAAAGATAGACTGCTATCCAGATCAGGATGCAGCTTCTGAAGCAAGCTGCACTGCCCGAGGCTGCATCTGGGAGGTAATCTGAAAGCTGAAAGTGTTCATGTGCACAGATATCTTATAAACGTTTCATGAGCACTTTTGCATATACTGAAATCCCAAGGCAGAAAGGACCTCTTCAGGAATCTGGGGAAGTCTGGAGCATAACTGGGGGTAGGACTGGGATATTTTAATAAGTATATTTCTTGAAGACCAACTATTAAAATATGTTATATATAAAATCACACACACACATGTGCGCTTGCACACACACACACACACACACACACACACACACACACACACACACACACACACACACACACACATTTTCTTCATGTAAATTGCCTTTTCTGACTCTTTCTATTTGATAACTCCAGATCCCTGCTGATCTAGGATATTGACTTTCTTTTCAGGAATCCAGCTCTTCTGGGGTCCCTTATTGCTACTTTGTCAATGAGCTGTACTCAGTCAGCAATGTTCAGTATTACTCAAATGTGGCCACAGCCGACATCTCCTTGAAGCCTTCTCCTTATAGCAATGCCTTCCCGTCTACACCCGTGAATCAACTGCAGCTCCGAGTCATCTACCACAAGAATGAAATGCTGCAGTTCAAGGTAAACACAGTGTGTGATCGGGTGTAGACAGGGCCTTTCTAATCCTGTTGCTCTTTGCTAGTCAAAGCTGCAGAACCTTAAAAGAAGTTTTGTGAGTACTTGGGAGGTAGAGGCAGGTGGATCTCTGAGTTTGAGGCCAGCCTGGTCTACAGAGTGAGTTCCAGGACAGCCAAGGCTGTTACATAAAGAAACCCTGTCTCAAAAAAACCAAAAAGAAAAAAAAAGTTTCGTGTTTAAATTTCCACAGTAAAATACACTGTATTTTAACCAAATGCAGAGAGAAATAAGACCCTTGTAGAACAGTATTACAGAAGTTATTCTCTCACCTGTATCTTTAAATCCATTTCCTCTGGCTTAGATCTATGATCCCAATCACAGTCGGTATGAAGTCCCAGTGCCTCTGAACATCCCCGATGATCCAATCAGCACCCGTGACGACCGTCTCTATGATGTCCTCATCAAGCAGAATCCATTTGGGGTTGAAATTCGCAGGAACAGTACAGGCACTGTAATGTGAGTGGGTCCTGGTCTGACTTGGAGTTCCTGCTTTCCTAAACAGTCCTTACAAGGCTCATTGTCATTGCAGACAGCCTGTCTTAAAGTGTCACAATACCCATGACCAGAACCATGAGGAAGCAATTTCCTCTTGGTCTATTCTTAGGGGAAGTCTTCAATATCCTCAGGGTGATTACTAAGGCAGTTGCAGAGGGAATATATCCAACAAACACTTCATGAGTTCCTTCTGGCTCTTAGGTGTTATTGTGCAGATAATACACACAGGAACCCAGTATGGGTGTAAGCATGTTGTATAGGAAAATGGGCTTGACCAAGTTATAGGGAGGTCACTGCTTCTGATACTGTGGTCTGAATATTTCTTTCTGAGGGGGAAGTGTCATTTGAAATAGAAGCTGGATGAGGAAGCACTTAACATGGAGTTCCGGGTGGGGAGAGGAACATCCTTGATAGAGGGAAGACAGAGAGCATAAAGCACAGGCAAGAAAGTTGGCATGTCAAGAAACATAATTGGGTGAAATCATTGAAGGATTAAAGTGGGAGATAAAGCAGACGTGCGAGGTGGGTTCTCGAAGAGGAGCAGCATGGAAGGCTTGGTGAGAAGTCACTGAAGAGTATGAGCAGAGCTGTGAAGTGATGTGGGGTCTCTTCACTCACAGTCCTGGATGTCTGTAGGAGGGCCCTCAAGGAGCAGGAATGACAGGGCAGGTGTGAATGATAGCAGTTGAGGTGATGAGAACGGCTTGGGTTTCACCTTACAGAGAGAGCACTGAGGAAGGCAGTGATGGAGGAAGATGGGTGAAGGATGACTGTTGGGTCATTAATGGGGGCATTGGTGATTGCTTTATGCAGATAGATTTGTGTTTTGTTTGGAGGATAACCTAGCTCTGGTGGTATGAGGAGAATCCAGAGCTCTGTTATCCTTAGGAAGACAGCTCTTAGAAGCCACCAGGGAGCTGATTTTCCTTTTGTAAATATGTCCCTTCTCCATCTGCAGCTGGGACTCTCAGCTCCTCGGCTTCACTTTCAATGACATGTTCATCCGCATCTCCACCCGCCTGCCCTCCACATACATCTATGGCTTTGGGGAAACTGAGCACACAACCTTCAAGATAGACTTGAACTGGCACACGTGGGGCATGTTTTCCAGGGACGAGCCCCCGGGGGTAAGGACAAGGTGTTTGGGTCTGTGTTCTGTCTCCTCCATCCACACTGTGTGCTTTGTGATGCTTTTTCCCAGACGCCACATGCGTGTCACCTTCTATTGCTAGGTAGATGGACATCTTTTTAAGTTCCCCTTTCCTCTGCTGTTCTTACCAGAAGAAGATTGACTCAACATAGCAATGAAGTTTCTGTTGAGTTTCTTTCCCATGCACACAGTCTCCTAACTTCCTTTTCCCTATGCCTCTCAGTACAAGAAGAATTCCTATGGTGTCCACCCTTACTACATGGGTCTAGAGGAGGATGGCAATGCCCATGGAGTCCTCCTGATGAACAGCAATGCCATGGGTAGGATGAACCTCTGTCCTCTTATTGTATGCCAATGATTTTGAATTGCTTTAGAATATATTTGACTTAGCTGTCACTATAGATGAAATTATAATCTTTGTGGATTGGTTTTCCCTTTCATTGACCCTTTATATATATTTTAATTATATATAATTTACCCAACTTTTATTAGCATTGCAGCTAGTGAGAGCTTTCATTTCACTTCTTCAATTCTAAATGCACCTACTCCAAAATTTCTCCTGTCAGTGTGTTACAACTGAATAGAGAGCAGGTGAGGATTCCAAGGTTAATATTCTCAAAAGGAAGGATTTCATCATGTTGACATTTTCTTGTGTTTTCAGATGTGACATTCCAGCCCCTGCCTGCCCTCACATACAGGACCACAGGGGGCATTCTGGACTTCTTTGTGTTCTTGGGCCCAACTCCAGAGCTTGTCACTCAGCAATACACAGAGGTAGGAAGGAAAGCATTTTTGAAATATGTGTGTTGTGTGTGTGTGTGTGTGTGTGTATACATACACTCATAATGTGTTCCAACCCTGCTATACAGGATTGCCATATAATATAACTGTCATATGGCACCTAAATTTGATGGTCTTTCTCAGGAGAAGGTATAATATGGGATATGGGAGAGTGCCTATATTCCTACAACTATTAAAATGATTGAAGAATAGCAAAGTATTTGTGGTAACTAGTGGTGGGCTAGTGTGGTGGTGGAGCTATGGTAGTAGTGATTTTGATGGTGTGGTGAGGGATGGTGATATTGAATGTAGTGGTAGTATTATTAGTGAAAATGATTGTGAGAATGGTGACTGTTATGGTGATAATTGTAGAGAGGAAGTCAGAACATGAGGTAATCATGAAAGTGATTGTAGTGGAGTCGATGTTGGAAGCTGAGAGAGTGAGGTCATGACAGTGATGGTGGTTGTAGATATGATGATGTTTTGGTAGGAGTGGGGTTGGTAATGATGATTGTGTCTGTTGTGGCAATGGGAGCTATCATGATGGAAAATATTACATCATCACATTGTCATGCTGGTTACAGTGTAGTAACAGAGACAATTACTGTACTTGTGGTGGTGGTGGGAGTTATGGTCACTGGGAATTATCACATTATTGGTGACAACATTAACAAACATGTATGAAATATCTACTGCATGTGTTACTTAATGCATGTGAGAAGGTGTTACATATATGAAGTTACTCAGTGAAACCAACAAGGGATTGCTCCTACTCTTAGCTTTGATTTACAGGTAAAAAAACAAAAACAAAACAAAACAAAAAACAAGCACAGAAATGTCACATAGCTGCCCAAGGTCACACAATCATCAAGACCTAGAGACTGTATTCTAATTTAGTTGTTTCCCTTTTTTTTTTGAGACAGGGTTTCTCTGTGTAGCTTTGCGCCTTTCCTGGAACTCACTTGGTAGCCCAGGCTGGCCTCGAACTCACAGAGATCCGCCTGGCTCTGCCTCCCGAGTGCTGGGATTAAAGGCGTGCGCCACCACCGCCCGGCTAGTTGTTTCCCTTTTTGTAGTATGTTTTTAATATATAAATAATATATCTAGGAATCTGAATAAAAGCAGGTTTTGCAGAACTACTGGAAAGTGTGCTCTGAGAAGCTGTAGGTTTTCTGTAGTGTGTCCCAGGAGCTCCACACATCCCTCCACTTCCTCTCTGGATTTGAATTTGGTGTCAAATTGGGTAAAATATTCTGACTTCATATTCAACTTTCATCCAGCTTCTCCTCTAACATTCTAACACTTTCTATTTTCTAGTTGATAGGTCGGCCTGTGATGGTACCTTACTGGTCCCTGGGATTCCAGCTGTGTCGCTATGGATATGAGAATGATACTGAGATCGCCAACTTGTATGATGAGATGGTGGCTAAGCAGATTCCCTATGTATGTACATGTCATGGTATCATGGTTGCTGACTCTGCAACCTCAGAGCTAAACAAATCTCTGTGTGTGTGTGTGAATTTGTGAGATTTTTGTAAGGTTTGCAAGTGTATAAAGTGACTCATTGCATCATATTGATCCTGTTGCTACTGTAGTGTAGGTGGTGGCATTGGCCCTGTGGATCTTGGGGCACTGGTAACTCAGACTAACAGTGGGGACCTAGTGTTGGCTCAAGGAATTCAGTCATAAAGTTCTTTTCATAAGAATAAAAGGTTTCTTTAGTAGTAGTTATGCTTAACTGAGGGAAAATGAACCCAAGTTAGTCAGAGCATTGTTTGTAAGGCCTCATTCAGGCTTCCACCTTTCTCAGGCCCTGCAGCACAGCTCTAATAAAGGCAGGTTCCTGGCCTCATTTCCAGTGGGAATTCAAGTGGAGGCAACCTCTCTCACTTGAGGGCAAGAGGCTCCCAATAGGACTGATCTAGGGACCTGTTTTTCATATTTATTCTATTTTATCTAGATATTGTTCTGTTCTTCATATTATTTTGTTAAAGTAAAAGAGATCATGAAATACATCGTCCTAATAAGAAAATTGTGTCTGAGTACCCTCAATATTGCTTTTTCACAGGTATTGAATGGTTTTGCTTTTTTTAAAAATTGATTTACAGCAGACTTACTGTCCATTTTGTATTAGTACATGGTTTATATTTTCTTTGAACAAGAACCACTGATTCCAGGGGCAGCCTGATAAGGGAAATCACCATAACCACTCTCTACAGCTTTTCTTTAATTATTTTTATAACAGTCTTTCCAGATAGGAGTTATCATTAATCTTACTCTGCTTGTTGTTGTTGTTGGATTAAATATTATTTTCTACTTTTGGGTGTTGGGTGAAGTCACATAAAAAAACAAAACAGAAAATATCTCAGAATCCAAACCCATATTATGACATAGCTAGGTCTGGGAAAGGATCATTGCCTTCTGGAGTCTTGACTGGCCCCACCAGCAGCCACTGCTTCCTTCTGTCATCTGCAGGATGTGCAGTACTCAGACATCGACTACATGGAGAGGCAGCTGGACTTCACCCTCAGCCCCAAGTTCTCTGGGTTTCCAGACCTGATCAATCGCATGAAGGGCAATGGGATGCGGGTCATCCTCATTCTGGTTAGTTTGTGTGAATGTGTAGGCTGTGTTTGAGACAATGGATGGGCTTGATGGGGATCACCTTAGAGTGTCTGTCCTCTCCTGTTTCAGGAGAGAAATAAAGGTGTAATTAGTATAAGTGTATTTCTGGGAGTCAGGAAACCCTACAGTGAAATTACAACTGGGGACTTCCCTTTTCTACCCCCCTTCTTTGTAATCCTCAGTCTGAACTTTCACCTGTCTTGTGCTCTGATCGCAGGACCCAGCCATTTCTGGCAATGAGACACAGTCCTATCCTGCCTTCACCCGGGGTGTGGAGAATGATGTCTTCATCAAATATCCCAATAATGGAGACATTGTCTGGGGAAAGGTATGAGCTTTGTGTTGATCCAGTGGGACTCATCTTAGGCCAGGCACCCTGTTAGTGTGTTTGAGGATGTGGTTTTCACCTATTCCAGTTGGTCTTTGGGCTTTTAGTTTTCATTTTACAGTCAATATTTATTTGTTTATTGACAACAGTTAAGAGCTTCAGGGAATCCACTTTTCATGTAAGAAGAGTCTTACATGAAAACGGAAGTCCTATGACTTATGGCTTATAGTTTTGTAGGAAATTCTGTGTAGGGCAAATTGTTTGAGGCATTTCTGTTGATGGTTTTCTGCCCACAGGTCTGGCCTGATTACCCTGATATCGTTGTGGACCCTGATCTAGACTGGGACAGTCAAGTGGAGGTAAAAGGCACTTTGTGATTTTGAGTGAAGTCAGGATTACCTGGAAAGGGAAACCATACCCAGAGTTCTAGAAGTTCCCAGAAGTAGTACTGGGCATACACTTGTGACCTGTTTCCTTCCTGTCATTTGTGTCCTGATGACCTCACACACACAGTTTTCTTCCTCTTGATGTTTCATCTCCAAGTGCAATGTCAGTATTGTTGTTCTTAAGACCTAAGACTCTGAGAATGTAAGTTACTTGTCCACAGTTATTTTTTTATTTAAATTTTTTTCCATTTTACATATCAACCACAGTTTCCCCTCCCTCCCCTCCTCCCAATTCCCTCCCACCTTCCTCCACCCCCATCCTCACCTCAGAGAGGATAAGGCCTCCCATGAGGAGCCAACAAAGTCTGGCATATCAAGTTGAGGCAGGACCAAGCCCCTCCCCAATGTATTGAGGCTGAGCAAGGTATCCCTCCGTATGGAATGGGCTCCAAAAAGCCAGTTCATGCACTAGGGATAAATCCTGGTCCCACTGCCAGGGTCCCCACATACTGCCCAAGCCACACAAGTGTCACCCACATTCAGAGGGCCTAGTTATTGATAACATAATAATGATTTCAAATCTAAAGCTGGCAGAATCCGAGGGTCCATGGACTTTCAACTGGGAAATACCTCTAAGAAGGTTTTATTTTCTCTGAATTAGTTCCTTTTCCTGTGCATATCTCTTTTAAGTAGTTTTCAGTCTTTATCTTTAATCAATTAAGACATTTTTCTGTGTGTATGCTTTTCCCCTACAGACAGGCTTCTCCATCTTCATACTTATAAATCTTGCCTCTGACTCCCTTTCTGCTATGGGTCTCAATGTTGTTTTTACCTCTTCATCCTAGCATTTTTTTTTTTTTTTATAAATTTGCTTTTTCCTGGGAACAAGTTCTTCCTTGTAAGTGATGCAGGTATACTAGGCTCCGAACCGATTCTCCTCCCTCGGCTTCATTGGCATGTGTTGGTTGCTTGAATGAATCTGTGGCTCTTCCTGCTCCTGTCAGTATTCTGGCCAAGGTGTGCATCCTGTTTGGTTTCTTCTCACTTGTTTGGTTGTCTGATATCTGAGTAGGGTCCTTAAGGTGGGGTGGAACTCTCCCAGAGAGCAAGCACCTGACCTAACCTTTATTCTTCTTCAATATAATTATTCTTTTCAGACAGGAATGTGTGTGTGTGTGTGTGTGTGTGTGTGTGTGTGTGTGTGTGTGTGTGTGTGTGTGTTCTTCTTTTCCAACTTTCCTAGAGAAGTGAGGAAGAAAAAGAAAAGGCCTGTTTATTTGGGACACCTGGCCAGGGGTGATTAAGTGAAGAAAGTCGTGTCTATATGGTCAGTCAGTAGTATACCTTACAGTATGTAAAAATTCCGTTGGGTCAAAAGTTAACCACTTCAACGTTGTTGTGGGGACAAAGCACAGTAGCTGTAAATGCAGGTGATAACCATGCACAAAAGCCCAGAGTCATCACCTCTTTGGGAAACTATTCATGTACAGATTTTAGCCAATGCTCAGGGATTTCATGGATATAGGAGAAAAACTTCAGTCACCAGCAATGGGACTGGTAGGAATTATGACCAATATTCATGCTTTTTACAGAGGAGTTGGTTTTTAAGGTCAAATTCAGTCCTAGAGAGAAAGCCATATATTGCAAAGAACTGGCATGCCTGGGGCCCAAGTGTTTAGGCTTGAGATAGCTCCAGTGTAGTAGGGAGAACGTTTGTTAGTGCAAGCCAAAGATGCCTAGTTACTGGGTTTTGATCCCTGACCACCTTGGTCACTTTGACAGCAATAGCACTGCAGATGTCAAATGAAATCCTCAGACTTAGGACTGAGCTTCATAGCTATTGGCTATACATCTTTATTTTTCTGTCAGTAGATAGAGTAGAAAAGTACAGAAACAGACTGTTTATGTTCGATTTCTATTACTAACAAGAATCTATCTATCTATCTATCTATCTATCTATCTATCTATCTATCTATCTATCTATCTATAATTTTATCTTTTTTCCTATCTATCTATCTATCTATCTATCTATCTATCTATCTATCTATCTATCTTTTACTATTTGTTAAGATATTGAGAAAAATCCTTAGCTTCCTGCTCTTTCCATCACTTCTCTCAGAAGATCAGTTGAATCTAGCAATTCAGTCAGCTCATGGGGACACTGGCTAGAGACATTCAGGCACACAGGTTCTATGCCACTTAATTGCTGACATTGGAAGAGGTGCTGTTTTATCAGTGCTAGGACTGGTGTAAAAGAGCTACACTCCATCAGCTTTTACAGGCAATGCTGGCTCTGATCTCTAGACCCCTGAAAATCTGTGAACAGTGTTGATAGTGCAATGACTTGTGAATATCATGTGACATTGAATGTTTAATGACCTGGAATCCCATAGCTCTGAGCCAGATAATTCTTCACAAAGAATTCTCATACCTTAAATCAGCCTTGGTAAGAAATACTGCAGTATGATGTCACATAAAATATTAAGACTGTCCTAAGTGACTCTTGGACAATAGAATAATCAGAAGCAACACGTAGTTTGTTAGACCAGTTTTATGAATCTGGTGAGGAAGAGCTCACTGATACCTATATCTGTCATTGCTGAGACTCGTATTAAACAAACAAAACAGCTAAGAAGCCTATGGACAGAAGGCTTGCAACATTAAGGCCCAAACATTTAATGCTTAAATGTAGAACTGGATCCAAGAAATACATTTTGGTATCTTGCAGTGGACTATGGTAAACAATCATAGGGCCAGTCACACAGATAGACTCATGATGTCAGAAATTGAAGACCCAGTCAAAGGAGAAGTGATGTTATCTGGTAAGTGTTGGCAATAGAAAGAATACGGCAGAGCCAGCTCTTTGGACAATGGTAGGTCATTTTCTAAGTACACAGGTGAGGATGATCAAAAATGATCTCACTGTACATAGTGAGATTAAAAAAAAACACAGCCAGCCTACTTTCCCACTTGTATCCCATAAGGGATAGAATTTTGGCTCAGACATAGCTGATAATTTCTATTTATTCATATTCCCTCTCCCTCTCTACATGGTATGTATGTCACCAATCTGAGTTTGATCTCTTGTTTGTCATGTGAAGATACTTTGTATAGCATCATTTCCTCACAAAAAGCCACAGCAGAAAGTCACTCCTCAAGTTTCCCAGTGCAATGGCATCTTGCTCCCCCTTGCCTCCTGAAGTCAGACCTCTGAGTCCTGATCCCGTGCTGTTTTCTTCTGTGCATCTCTGTTTTGTGTTCTGTCTAGACATTGAACCCTACATAGCCTTAGTCTCCAGACCAAGCTTTCTGCTTGTTGTTCCCACCCTCTCACCATTGGCTCCCTGATTCTTAGCTCTTTGACTCTTGTAACACAATGAATAACATAGGGGAAACCATTTATTGAAACATATCAAAGACCATAACATCCTATAACAAGCAATACAGAAAGATATATAAGCTTTTATGGATATTTGCTGTTTCTGAGTGGCATCAATGCACATATAATTAATGAGAATTTATAATCATTAAAAATTACTTCTCGGGTTCTAAGATAATTATGATAGGGAATATAAAGATTGGTCTAAAAATACTTGCCGAAGTCCTAGCTCTCTAAAGCTCTCAATGCAAATAAGGAGTGATAACCTGGATCCAATTTCAATATAAACATTGCTTTTATTACTTGAGAGCCGATAAAGAGTAAGGGAGTGGGGAGCTTCCTCCTTAAGTCTTCTTACTCTGATTAGCATAAAGTTGGGGTTTTTATGTGCTCTTTGGAATCATGGATAACAGAGATACATAGAAGTTAGTCTGATACCATGAATTCTTATCTCCTCATTTCCAGGGACCAGTCTTTCCTTTTTTTCCAATCTGGCACTCCATACCAGAAAAATGACTTGCCACCTACAGATTCTCACTAGCTCCTTCCTTGTCTCTGGAGAGTTATGAGGAAATAAGGGTGCAATTGAGGACTGCATGAAATAGAAATGGGGGTACACTTAAGGACTAGTGTAGTCAGAGTGTTTCTCAGTCCCACCGGGCCCCACAGTCCAGACAAATCTCTCTCACCCACAGTCCCACAGCCGCTTATAAAATAATCACTCAGAGGCTTATATTAATTACAAACTGTATGGCCTATGGCTTCAGCTTCTGGCTAACTAACTCTTTCATCTTAAAATAACCCATTCCTATTAATCTATATGTTGCCATGTAGCTATGCCATTACCAGTCTGCTGGCATCTTGTTGCTACTTCTGGGGCAGCTGGCATCTCTACCAACTCTGCCCTTCTTCTCTCTGTATCTGTGCTTGGATTTTCCTGCCTGGTTCCATCCTGCCCTGCCACAGGCCAATGCAGCCTTATTTATTATCTAATGGGAGTCACACATATTCATAGCATGTAGCTCATGGATTTCTTGAAATAGAATGGGTATTTACTGCATAAAATGGAAATGGGGATGCACTTAAGGACTGGGCATCTATAGCATGAAATAGTAAATTCAGAGGGATAACATGAAAAAAAAACAATCTGTGGATACTTTACAAATACTGGAAAGGAGGGTGTATAATTTGTTGTGCTTATTTATCTCTGCACTTAATGTTTCTAAAATAAGACAAGAACATATTATTCATGCTACCACTATCTACCACCACATAGCACAAAGGTTTACTTGAGTTACATTCTCAGGAAACATCTGCTATCAATTGTGTTCATTTGTAACAGGTGAATTTTGTTACTTTTACAGCAATATCGAGCTTATGTGGCCTTCCCAGACTTTTTCCGTAATTCCACTGCCACATGGTGGAAGAGGGAAATTGAAGAACTCTACACCAACCCACAGAATCCAAATAAGAGCTTGAAGTTTGATGGCCTATGGATTGTAAGTGTGTGTATGTCTGTGTACACATAGATAGCTGTGAGTGTGTATGCAAATGATAGTGGTTTTGAAGTAGTCCAGAGGATGATAATCATTCAGGAAGACTGTGGGTGTACCATCCTGTGCTTCCTCTGACAGAGAATAGAGCAGCTCTGTTCCCACTTAGTCCTTAGGACCTCTGAAATGCCTACTGCCAAGCTTCTGGGGTGATTGCTGGAAATGCCTTGGAAACTTGCTTGACCTGGAGGGTTAAATTGCTCTTTCTAACCATCCCCCACCCAGAGAATGATGATTTCCCCAGGGAAGCATGTGTAAAGACCACTAGAGGTTGGCTGCTTTATTCATTACTCCCTTGTCTCTGACAGGATGTAAGTATCTTTATGAGTAAACTACATATCTGACATTTGTAGGATATGAATGAACCTTCCAGCTTTGTGAATGGGGCAGTTCCTTCTGGCTGCAGCGATGCTACTCTGAACCGTCCACCCTACATGCCACGTAAGGATCCTGAGTTTTGTCTACTTGCTGAGCAATGGCTGGAAAGATGAGCTCTTCTGGAGCCCAGCAGCTAGCAATTACCTTCACCGGCAAGAGCAGGTCCTCATTGATTCTGCTCATCAAGCACTTTATCCAGATGTGTGTGTATGCAAGAACCATGACCTCTGGGCAAATTTCAATAATCAGTACAGAAAACATCCAATAGTGGTAGTATCTGCAAAGGATTCTCACAGATAAATTTGTTAGTTCTTCAGACTTATGTTAATTTATCTATAGAAATATATTTGCTGTCAATGGGTATAAAATAGGGGCTTCTCAGGGAGTTGATGAAATTTAGAGTTATATTGTTTACATATGGGTCCTATAAATTATTCTATGAGTTGTGTGATATTCCTTAGGTTATGTGATATTTCTGAACCTCAATTTTCTATGCAAAAATTCTGAAAACCCTATATTGGGGATATACTTTTTACAGGAATTATAGAAAATGATTTGTACTTTCAAGTCTAGCTCAGGGCTTGTTCCATAGTAAGTGTGTGATAACTTGGGCTCTTTCCCAAACCACCAGTTTCTCCAGTGGACTTGGTGTTGAAAACACCGCAGGAATGTTACCGTTCAGTGCTAAGTACTGTTCTCATGCTCCCAGGGAAAAAGACAGGCCCAGGAGAGGTCCCGTTAATCTTATGATACAGATTTTACAACATAGAAAAGAGGCAGCAATGAGGAGAATCAGAGCTGCCTTTCACTCTTGAATTGTCCCTCAGATTTGGAAGCCAGGGACAGAGGCCTGAGCAGCAAGACACTGTGCATGGAGAGTGAGCAGATTCTTCCAGATGACTCTCGGGTGCGGCATTATGACGTGCACAGCCTGTACGGGTGGTCCCAGACCAGACCCACCTACGAGTGAGTGGCACACTTTTCTCCAGTTGACATTATCAGTGGGCATGGCCAGTAATTGGTGTGACTTCCCAGTATTTTTCCTTCCACTTTCCATTCTGAAGATTAAGAAGAATTCAGTGATTACTCGTCTAGACCTGTGGTTCTCAACCTTCCTAATGGTGTGACCCTTTAATACAGTTCTTCACGTTGTAGTGACCCCAACCAAAAAATTATTTCCATTGCTACTTCATAACTGTAATTTTGTAACTGTTACGAATTGCAATGTAAATATCTGATATATCTGATGGTTTTAGGTGACTGCTGTGAAGGGGTCATGACCCACAGTTTGAGAACCACTGGTCTAGAGCCTTACTTCTTAACTAAAGAGCACAGGAGCGTGGAGACAATTCTTTGATTATGACTGGGATGGCAGATTTAAATATGGCAGTGTCTTATCATTGAGAAATTAATAGTCCTTTTGAGGAGCACATGCACAGAGACAGAAACAATTATTACACAATGCAGTTGGTGATGTGATTATAGCATTAGTTATAAGAGGTAAAATCAAAACGGGGTGCTATAATCTATTTTATTCTAAAAGTGAATCATGTCTGATATTTTTAGCCATTTTTTGTTGTATGATCTATGAGTAGTCTAGTGAATAAGCACAGTCCCACTTGGTGACTTCAATGAATAATACAACAATTGCAATCTAGTAAAGGAATTTACCCACTAGCTCAGAAATATAGAAAACCAATGTTAAATGAATAAATAGATCTTGTGATAGTTTAACACTTGGAAGCAGTGCAATTGTTTTACCATGTGGTGAAGTTGTTGCCTGATGACTATGAAAAGGTGTTATTGTCTCTGTTGTCCAGCAGGACCCTAAACCCTAGGGTTTGAGAGAACAAGTTCTGGGCCTTCCCCTGCTCCGACTTCAACTTACCTCCCTATTTTCCCCACCAGAGCTGTGCAGGAGGTGACAGGAGAGAGAGGGGTCGTCATCACCCGCTCCACATTCCCCTCTTCTGGACGCTGGGCAGGACACTGGCTGGGAGACAACACAGCTGCCTGGGACCAGCTGGGGAAATCCATCATTGGTGTGTGGGTTGTGCCCAGGGGCCTCTGCTGGCTGTGGGTGGAGTGGGGAGTAGGATCCTTGGTGAAGGGGGAGGGGCAGGCAGAGAATGAGTGCCTGTCCTGACCCTGCTGCATCTCTCCTTGCAGGCATGATGGAGTTCAGTCTCTTTGGCATCTCCTATGTAAGTGTCCTTGCATGCTCCTCCTTCTCCCTAGGAAGGTGGCCTCATCTCTCAAAAGCTCCCAGAGCTCACTTTGTTTGTTGTTGTTTCAGACTGGGTCAGACATCTGTGGGTTCTTTCAAGATGCTGAGTATGAGATGTGTGTGCGCTGGATGCAGCTGGGCGCATTTTACCCCTTCTCCAGGAACCACAACACCATTGGGACGAGGGTAGGATGTCAGCTTCCTCACATATATTATGTAACTGGAAATGCTACCTCAGTTTCTGAGTACACTTCTGTGTGTGTTCCCTGGGGAAAACCACAAAACCGTTAAGCCTTCTTCTCTAGGAACCAAATTCTTCAGTATTGTTTTGTTGATTCTTTGTATTTAGGAAACATTTTCCCATATGTCCCATAAAGAATATCTTATGGAATCATTTTCCCGAGAAAGCTGTGGCTGTTTTCTAACTGCTAAGAATACCCTTAAAGTCTCATGCACCCTTGTTTTTATCCAGTTGTGTAGAAACATTTGTGATAAGCTTTCAGTGACCCTAAGTCTATTGAGAGGTATAGCTAGGTTCTGAACACTCTTCTTCTTTTTTTGTAGAGACAAGACCCTGTGTCCTGGGATGAAACCTTTGAGAATATTTCCAGAAGTGTACTAGAGACCAGATACACCCTGTTGCCATATCTCTACACCTTGATGTACAAGGCCCACACGGAGGGCAGCACAGTTGTGCGGCCTCTTCTCCATGAGTGAGTGTCGAGCTAGAGTCCTGTTGACCCATGGGTAACTCATTCAGCCTGCAGGGTGGGAGTTGATGCAACAATTCTTTCACAGTGAAGGCATCAATCCTTTTTGTTATGAGCTCTCCAAGTGGAGAGCATGCTTTCTTCTCCCTTATAATTGAATTTTATAAACACCTCAGATCTTGGATGGAAGGGTTTTTTTTTTAACAAAAGAAGTTTTTAAGTGATACAAAATAAAATACCTCAATTTCTTCCTTATTTGGACATGAAAAGACCTAATCTTTTGCATAGACCTTTTATATAGACCCAGACCAAAATGCGTTAACATCATTAAAGTAGGTGTTCCAAGGGGGAATTTGAGGGATGAGGGCCATCCTCATATTTAAAATGTGCTATGGTGAAAGAGAATGGATATATTTTATGGAGTAAACATGCCTAAACACCTTCTGAAGTTTGAGAGAAGTGAGGGAGTGTGGTTTATATGATCTCATCAAATTAGAGAGAATACGACAATGCAGGATTCAGCTGTGTTTCTGGTTGAGTTTGGACTTGAGGATTTTTTTCAGTGTCTTATGCTGGGACTCGTTGGGATCTGATTGTGACACCTCAATTTCCCTTTTTAGGTTTGTGTCAGACCGTGAGACCTGGAATATAGACAAACAGTTCCTGCTGGGTCCAGCCTTCCTGGTCAGCCCTGTACTAGAGCCTGTGAGTATGGAGACCTCAGGGTAGGACGATCAATAGGTGGACCCCAGCTGTTAGGCTGGGTAAACATGGAAAGGAGAAGGCCTGTGTTTGGCAATCCTGAGATATCTCTCATTCCACCTTTTCTTCTCTTTTTCCTTCTTGTAATTGGGCCAAGAAACATTAAAAATTCTACTGGCAATTGAGATGAAGCCAGGCCACCCATGATACCCTGGGGCTAGAACACCAGATCCTCTTATAGTAGAAAGCTCTACCTCTTGGTTCTGATAACTTGAACTCAAAGCTAAGTCCTCAGATGAGTGTTTCCTCACATGTGCTTCATTTTTCTTTACATTGTCCCACCGAGATGGGCAAGATGGAGACAGAAAATTCTCCCTCCCCCGTTATGGACAAAACTGTAGCAAATACTTTTCTCTCCACCCACCCCTACTCTGACAATTGTTCTTAGAACTGTGATGAACCAGCCCTAAATTCTAGTAACTTTCTCAGCAAAATCAACCACTTAAGTGGCTGCCCTTGGATTGTCTCTCTCTAAAGTTATCCTCTCTATTCTGCTTCATAGGGTAGTGAAGAAGGTAAATAACCTTGTGTTATATTTGAAGATATAATCTTCCCCCTATTTACTAGTATAAGGGCTTAGGGTCAGGTGGGGACTGCAGCAAAAGAATTCAATGCAAGGAGTCATTCCTTTTACCATGAAAACAAAGTTTGTTGGGCCAACTGCTTTGCAGTAGTATGGTCAGCTCACTGACGCTGGGTAGCTCTTTGCTTCATTGTGTAAGGGGTCCTGTAAGCAGCTAAAGTCCTTTTCTTTAAAAAACTTCCTTTGAGAACGATTGGGTCTCTGATTAAAGACCAGCTATTTAATATTCCTCATATCTTAATATACCTAGAATTTTTCTTTTGCTCCATAGCCGAACATGGGTGTTTGTATCTCTAGAAACAAAGTAGGGTGTTTTTGTAAGGAAACGGTGATTCAAGTTGCCCATCCCAAGGGGCATTATGGAGGCCATTGGTTAGGAAATCTTCCAGTTAAAGGGAGTAGGAGGAAGTGGCCTCCCTATCATTGCTGATCTCAGGATAGTGAGACTCCAGGCTGTCACTACTGTTGTCACTTTTTTCCCACATGCGTTGCTCCTCCATCCTAGACAACACTTCCACTACTGACACCTTGTTTGTGTTAAATTTCAGAACGCCAGAACTGTAGATGCATATTTTCCCAGAGCCCGCTGGTATGACTACTACACGGTAAGTTTTCTAAATGTTTGTGTAGCCTGACAAACAGAGAGTACAAAGTCTTTGTATCTGACAGATCTCACACCACAGCCCTGGAAACCATGTGTGGTTGTCCTGCACAAGCTGTATATTTCCTGTGGCCTCTGTTTTCTCATCTTCCAGTGGGGTGAGAGCAAGACCAGAGAGCTGAAGAGGCAAGCCTCTCAGTCATGGCTCATTGCATGTTTTTTACATGTGGATTTTATTTTTCTGTATGTCCTTACTATCCACTCCGGTGACTAGTCACCTCTTCAAATTGTGCCATAAATTAGTTTTTGCTTCTGTCTTTTAGTATATATCTGCTTCTATAGTATAGATCAGTGGTTCTCAACCTTCCTAATGCTTTAGCCCCTTAATACAGTTACTCATGTTGTGGTGACCCCAACCATAAAATTATTTTCTTTGCTACTTTATAACTGTAGTTTTGCCACTGTTATGAATTATAATATAAATATCTGTGCTTTCTGATGGCCTTAAGTGACCTGTGTGAAAGTGTTGGTTGCCCCCAAAGGGGTTGTGACTCACAGGTTGTGAACTTCTGGTATAGATACTCAAGAACAGTTCCTTCCTATAATTACTGAGTGAGTCCTCAAATACATATCCAAACAGCACATGTTCACTTATAAAGGCAACCACAGGGGCTCTCTGTTGCGGATATCTGGGCCATAGTGGTCATAGAAGACAAGCTGAGAGAGAAAGGTTTTGAGAAGACATTTTAGAGGTGATCTGTCTAAGGACACATATGAGACAGATTCTTAGGGAAGAATTAAAGGAAAGACATTCTTGCCCTCCCACTAGCCCACCTCTTTGGACTTTCTGAGCAGAGCACAGTCAGGAAGACCAGAAGCAGACCAGTGCACTAGCCTCTCCTCTGAGGACAGTGCAATGGATCTGGGTGAAAACGGAACAAGGACAAAGGAGTTTTTCCGTTCTAGGAACAAAGTCATTTCCCTCTTATTGGTTGCTAGCTGCTTTCTCTTAAGAGTAGAAGTACACTAACATTCAGCTATGTGCTTTCAGTCCAGCACCAGGGCCCTGGAGGGAGAGAGCAGCTTTTTCCCTTAAGTGGTCCTCACATGGTCTTGAATTTGCATGTTGACTGTCCAGTACTTTAACAGTTCTTTTGAACCTGTCAGGGCTTACACTAGAGCTAAGCAGGGAGACACTCAGGGTACATAGCTTAAGGGAGGGCCCTTACTGGAAGGATGGACCTGCTTTTTCTTGGACTTGAGAGTGTGGACCTCCTTCAGGTCTGCACCCTAGGCATTTTGGTTGGAGTCCTAGCCTTGCTCAGGTGCAAAACTCTCTGCTGAGTTCTAGGTATTGGAATGGTGGGTGCTTTTCTGTTTGGGGTTAACAATGCAATGATGAGCTAATATTTGCCTTTCAAAACTTTATGGGAGCACACTGTGGAGTCTAGACATAGGGTGCTACTGTCCTCTAGGGGGCAGAAACAATGTTGCTCAACATCAAAAAAGGACAGGACCGGACTGCTGAGCACCATGGCCCATGCCTGCCATCCTAGCTTCTAGGGAGGCTTTGGCAGGGGGATTGCTTGAGTCCATCAACTCTGGGGTATTGTATGCTATACTAATTGAACGTCCTCATGAAATTTGATACCAGTATGGTGATCTTCTTGGAGCAGAGGATCACCAGGTTGCCCAAAAGGGCTGAACCAGCCCGAGTAGGGAAAAAGCACAGTATAGCAAGCCAGATTCAAAGATAAAGGCACATAAGTCATTTGGATGTTTTCTATGGAGCAGGTGAATGTAGAGTGTATAGCTGGTATGTATTAAATAGTGGGGACCAAGAGACGAGTCCAGGAGGTGGCTGGGATGTCTGCTAGATGCACTGCTCAGTGATATGTGCATCTCTCTCATCATCTCCTCTCTTTTCCCCACAGGGTGTAGATATTAATGCAAGGGGACAATGGAAGAACTTGCAAGCCCCTCTTGAACACATTAATCTTCATGTCCGTGGGGGCTACATCCTGCCCTGGCAGGAACCTGCCATGAATACCCGTTTGAGGTGAATGGGGGGGAAATGGGGTTCTGCTTTGTGTAGTAGTGAGCTTAATCATGTGTGGAGAAGGCTCCTCATCTCTTGAGTATCACTCTGAAGTCTGAAAGTATTTTCACTGGATTTATTTTTTGCATTTTTGTATTTGAACTTTTGAAAAACTCTGAACTCTCAACAATTTTCATCAGTTGTTTAAATCAAAGTGTGTGAAATTGCTCATGTAATAAGTGACATTTACAATAGAAATTAAAATGGCGGTAGTCATAATTCATATTTTTGGAATCTTCCATTTCTTTTCTTAAGAACAAATGATTGCTGGAAAATTTTAACCATGTGGCAACTGATGCCTGAGGTTGCTTTACCTTGAAAATATTTAAGAGCTCTTGCCCTAAGTTTATATGTCATTCATCAATCATTAACATCAAGCAAATGCTTGCTGCATGCTTAGGATAATACTATGCCAGTATTAAGAACTTTGTTTTATGATTTTCTATTTTTCTTAATCAAAGAGAAATGAAATTGCTTGAGGTGAGTATTGCCGTCATCTCCATTCCACAGATAAGGAAGTGGAGGCTTTATTGAGCTATATGATTCAGTGAGTCACAGGCCCAGGAAGAATATGGGATTCCATGTGGGCCTGACATAATGCTTCAAAACTTTACCCATTTGTCCTCTGAGTGTTTTAGTTGATGGGTCATGAAAGGTTTACAGCTTCAGGAAAGGGGAAAGAAGGAAGCCAGTTATGTGCTTTTAATTTAAGAGCCCTACTGGAAAATTCCCCTTGATGCCTTGGTGAAGTCATCCACTTAGGACATGCAGTGGTGCATGCACCTAGAGCCAGTTCTCAACATTTTCTAGTAGGAGAACCCACTTGAACCCTCAGGAAGTACTTCATCTTACTCCTTTGTTCCTGTGAAACCTGTTGGCTTGTGACTGTGACTGTGTTTTTAGCTAATGCCTCTCTCCCTCCCCACCACAGCCGTGAGAAGTTCATGGGCCTCAAGGTTGCCTTGAATGATGAAGGACTTGCTGAGGGCTGGCTCTTCTGGGATGATGGGAAAAACATCAGTGAGTAGGGGCTGGCTGGGATTCCTGACCACATCATGAGCAAGGCTCTCGATTATCTTAAATTCCTGCCTTTCAGCTGAGATAAACTATCATGGTATTTATACACATTTCCCAACTACATGATTAGTTGTCCCAACAAGACAATGCTACATGTGTTGTTTATGTGGGGGACTTTCCATCAGGAGTTTATGGGAGCTGGTAACCTCTTTGGAGGTGGATGGCACAAGTACTCTTTACCACACAGTAGAACTTTTAGCCACAAAGAGCTTCTGCAGCTCAACACAGCTGTAGATACAGGTTCCAGTGAACACTCAAATGTCACAAGGGCATCTAACAAACTGAAGTTTGTTTTATTTGATTGATATTCATTTAAATTTACATAGCTAATTTTTATGGTGCCTTCTGCTGTGGGCAGCACAGTTTTAGAAGCTAGTGGTCCCAGGAGGAGTGGGGAAGTAAATGAGGAAGAGACCGCACTGCAGAGGCAGAGGAAGCCCTGAGAAGGAGCTAGTCACCAGCAAGCTGCCTTTTCCGTCCTCCACGCTGCCAAACACCACGCTTTCCCAGTTTTTAAAACATTTTGTGGAGATCACATTTAAAACCACCCATTACCACTCAAGATAAAGCAAGGCAGCAGCCACAGCGTGTTTACATGTGTGGATGTGTGCTTCTAAGCAAAAGGAATCTGGAAATTCTGAGGTGACTCGGGAGAGGTTGGGACTAGTAGACTGTGAAAAAAAGTGACCTAAGGCAGCAGTAGGTGATTTTTATATGTGGTAGCTTTTGGACAAGTGCATCTACACGCTCATTTCAAACATTTGTATCCATTTGGGGATGGGTATAGAACCTGACTAATTTCCATAGAGAGAACGTCCACTACAAAATGGAACTCGTTGTAATGGAGAAAAACAAAACGAGAATAACCTCACTCTCAGCTAAGACAAATCAGCAATTAGAAGCCTATCACAGACCCAGCTCACATCTGCCCTTTTGTCTGTTTGCAGATATCACTGAGCGATACTACTTGGCCAGCTTTTCTGTTAGCCAGGTGAGTGTGACAGACACTAAAAAGAGAGTATAGGTTTCTGCTGTCTTGGCAGGATACCGGCTCTTGTAAGGGTTCTATGTATGTACTTCCTAGAATTTCTTCAGTACTCGTCTTTCTTTTCCTCCAGAACTCTGGGGGTGGGGGGAGGATTTCCTATGCTCCCAGGACATGTTTTTGACTGAACCTGTCCATGTCTCAGCAGTAACTGTTTCAGTGTACCATTTTTTTTTTTTTTTTTTTGGTTTTTCGAGACAGGGTTTCTCTGTGTAGCTTTGCGCCTTTCCTGGAACTCACTTGGTAGCCCAGGCTGGCCTCGAACTCACAGAGATCCGCCTGGCTCTGCCTCCCGAGTGCTGGGATTAAAGGCGTGCGCCACCACCGCCCAGCCAGTGTACCATTTTTCAGGTGGATAATCTTTCTGTGTAATCTAGCCCTCCTTCCTATGCTACTTTTAAATGTTCTGCACATATGGTGACCTTTCCATGTGTAGAATATACATTTCTTGATACTTGAGACTTGTAACTTACAGAGTTCAAGGCCATCCTACAGACCAGGCTGATGGTGGCCCATGCAAAGTGGATGGGATAGGGCAGCTGGGGACAGGGTGCTGAGGTCATGGTTTTTACTATCTGAAAACGTAATATATGGACTCAGGCTGTCTCATTTCGTGATTTACATCTATGCCTAAAACAAAGTTGAGAACAAAATTGAACTAATTTTGATATTTGTTTCTTTCTGTTTTATTTTCAATTTGACAGAATACATTGCAGACACATGTTATTCTTAATAATTACATCACTGGTACAGCACCTTTGTACCTAGGCTACATTGAAATCTGGGGATTGGGCAGTGTTTCCATTACCAGTGTGAGCATCGCTGGGAGCAACTTGAATGAACCAGTCTCCTATGACTACAACACCACAACTCAGGTTTGTGACTGCTGGAAAGCCCAATGGTCATTCCCAACCCTCAAATGCTTTGTGCAACAGTCTCCCCTCCCCCAGGCAGCCACTGTGTTCAGTGTCATCTGTGGGCAGAGTGGAGATAAAGCAAAATCCATGGTTTATCATACGGTGTTGAAAATCTGATTGTTTACTTTCTATATCTAATGTCTTGTCTTAAAACCTAAGTGACACTTGTCTCTCGTTCTGGCTCGGAAACCAAATTCTCAAACAGCTTGTACTACTCTATTTCATCAAATGTCAGGTACTATCTTAACTCTAAGAAGAGTTGGTCCACTACTTAAAATACCGTAGAGAGGCAACTACAACAAAGATGAAACAACTCTTTGCTCTCACTCACTGTTTTTCCATTTAAATGTATAGGAAGCTCTTGGAAATTTCCACACCCTTGGAGTTGTATCTCAATATTTTAGTATTTTAAGTGGTATAACAGGGGGAAATGTTAGGTAGAGAAATACAATGACTCTGTATCAGAGTAAATTTGAATGTAAATATGTATTTAAAATATCTTAACATTATGAGTTGGAGATTGGTATCATTTGTAATTGGTTCTTTGAGAATTTCATGCTATTAACCCCTTCCCCCAACTTCTCCCAGATCCACCCACCCTTCTCTACCCACCCAACTTTTGTGTCCTATCTATGCATCAATGTATATATGCATGTATGTGTGTGTATTTATGTATGTATGTATGTATGTATGTGTAGGTATGTATGTATATGTTATGCGTGTATGTATCTATGAATGAATGTGTGTATGTATGTATGTACCTACCTAACTACCTCTCTCAATGTGTGCTTTCTATATTTCCTTGAGCATGTGGCCTTCCATTGGAGCACGGTAAACTTAGCATTTTGTTAATGTTTATGTTCATCCCCTGCCCCAACTCCTCTTAGATCCTCTTCTACCTCCCTAAACATCCAACTTCATGTTCTCTTTCTCACTCTTCTTATTTAAACCCATTTAGTCCAGTTTGTGTTGGTCAACTACTCCTGGGCGTTGAGCCTGACCCAGTGTCATATCATTGAAGAAAACTGACATTTCCTTTCCAAGTAGCAACCAAATGCCAGTAGCTCCTCAGCTACTCATGGGACTTCATGCCTTCTCTTTCTTCTCTACACTGAGATTTTTGTCTGCCTTAAGCATGCACAGGTCTTATGCATGTTGTCACAATATCTGTGAGTTTATGTACACAATCCTACTGTGTCTGGGAAATATAGTGTCTTAGTTAGGGTTTCTACTGTTGTGACAAAACACAATGACAAAAAAAACTTGCTTAGGAAATGGTTTCTTTCAGTACACAACTCTCAGGTCATATTCCATCATAAAGGGAAGGCAGGAACCTAGAGCCAGGAACTGATAAAGAGGCCATGGAGGAATGCTGTTTTACTGGCTTGTTCCTCCTGGCTGACTCAGTCTGCTTTTTTATGCAACTCTCAACCACCTTCCAAGGTGTGGCACTGCCTATAACGGGATGGATCCTCTTCCATTAATCATTAATCAAGAAAGTGCTCCATAGATTTATTCACAGGCCAATTTGGTAGAGGTATTTTTCTCAGTTGAAGTTTCCTCTTCCCAGGTAACTATATTTTGTGTCAAGTTGCAAAAAACTAGCCAGCACACGCAGTGTCCTTAAAATCATTTTCTACCTCTGGTTCTTAAAAATTTTCTGCACCCCCCCATTCTACATAGCTCCCTGAACCTTGAGTGGAGGGGTGTGATATAGACATCCCATTTAGGGTTGAACATTTGGAACTCTCTAATTCTCTGCTCAGTGATCAATTGTGGGTATTTCTGTTAATTGTTCTCTACTTCAAGAAGTTTCTCTGATGAGGGTTGAATGATGCACTGATCTATTGGTATAGCAAGAAGTCATTAGAAGATCTTTTATTGCTATGTACATTTGCAGAATAATCATGGCAGGTTTTCCCCTAGAGCCCATGACCTATCTAGCCACAGTTTCTTGACCTCTCAGACAGGTATAGATTGCATGTCACAGAGTGAACCTTAAATTTTAAAAAAGTGGTTATTTACTCCTGTGACATTAATTCCATTATTGCACTAGTGGGCATATCTTGACAGGCAGGTCATTATTGTAGCTAGTAAAGTTCATTGCTGGGTGAAAGGGATGATTGCTTTTCCCATCTGGTAACACGCATAGCACTTTCTGTTTCCATGAAAGCTCAAGGTATACACACTTTTGAAAAAAAAAACTGATTCTTTGCAATTACCACAAGAAAAGCACTTTTAATGGAAAAGTGATATAATATGAAATGTTAGAATACTTATTAAAGAACATGGACATGAGACTATTTAGATGCCTTGGGGTATGATACACCTGAGATCTGAATTTAAGGCTTGATTCTTATGAATTACATATGTCTGATCATAATATATAGGATGTTACAACCAGCTAATAATACTGTCATGAAGATTAAGTATGTGTAAAACACGACTGTGGTACCTGGCACATGATTAAAAAAAATACTAGTAACTTTACTGACCACCACACCTGAGACACGTCTGAGTACTCAGCACCTGTTCTCACTTGATCCTTACAGGAACATTGTAGGACAGATCACATCCTCTTCAGAGAAGATACCAGATGCATAGCTTTTAGGGTCCAAAAAGATACATAATATAATATAATACCTTAACTAATATATAATATTTATTTTTATGTTTTATCTATTTGTACTGGGATATGTTTATTATTTTGTGCCTTAATATTAATTATTATTTAAATAGATACATATGATACAGATCAGTTAAGACAGTTCTTTCCTACCAAAGATGCTCTGATTCAACATTTCTTAAAAATTCTAGGGTTCAAATCCAGGGCTCTGTGAATGTTGTGCAAGCACTGTACAGACTGAGCCTCAGTGTAAATATTTGACCACACACAAAATGCTACCTGCAGGCTGTACCAAGCTGTCTGCTCCTGGTGTAACAAATAAAATAAATTATGAAGTCCAATGCTAAAATCTAATACTGCTAGCTATGATAAAATGCTTACTTTAAAATATTTTCAATTAATTTATACTCTACGTAGAGTAAAATAAACTGATCTTAAGAGTGGAAAAAACATTTTTATACTTTTGTCTGATGTTTTGTCTCAATCCACTAAACACATATTTGATAAGTTTTTAACCCAGTTTGTGCTTGATCTTATTACTCATTCCTTCCTGAAACATTCTTTGGATGGTTTGCAGTCTATACATTCACAACACTAGTGTTAGCAATGATGTTCCCACTTGTGTAGACAACGATCATGCCATGATGTGTGCCCAGCCTGGAGTAATTTGAGAATTGTTGATTACAAACATGCTCTCATCCTGTCAAAGTTAAAATTAGAACCTTAGGATTCATATAATATTTTGGTGCCTACACTTGTCACACTGTGGTAAATGGGAGCACTTCTTCCTATGATTCTCTCTCTCTCTCTCTCTCTCTCTCTCTCTCTCTCTCTCTCTCTCTCTCTCTCTCTCTGTCTCGTGTGTGTGTGTGTGTGTGTGTGTGTGTGTGTGTGTGTGTGTGTGTGTGTGTGTGTGTACATGTACTAAATGTGAATGCTTTCTGATTTCTAGGCCTGAGAAAAGTTTTTCGTCAGTTTTATAATTTTAAAACATCTCCTTATACTTTGGTTTTCTTGTCAATCACTTTTAAAAAGATCTTTTAAAGGACTTTGCCCTATTCTGTTGTGAATCAATTTATTTACAGTTAAAACTTGGTCATTGGTGAGGCCTCTCAAAAGTGTTTGCCTATAAGAAGCACGAATGTTAGACTTCCCAGGCAATGGGTGAGGAGACATTAGACTGATCAGGCCATGGGTGAGTGCTGTGAGGAGACATTAGACTGACCAGGCCATGGGTGAGCACTATGATGAAACAGCATTAGACTGACCAGGCTGTGGGTGAGTGCTGTGAGGAGACAGCATTAGACTGCCCAGGCTGTGGGTGAGTGCTGTGAGGAGACAGCATTAAACTGCCCAGGCCGTGGGTGAGTGCTATGAGGAGACAGCATTAGACTGCCCAGGCCGTGGGTGAGTGCTATGAGGAGACAACAGAAACTGGGGTGAAAGGAGAGCTAGAAGCCCTACAGAAGAGAGGAAGGCAGGGTACCCTTTTCAATGGCCTGTGCACTTGTTCTCAGTGGTTGGGAACTGAATCCTTGAGATCCCATCCCTATCACAGAACAATCATTCTACTCCAAGGATTAGGAAACACCCTTCACACCTGAAAATAAAACAGTAGTTGGCATCAAGGCCATGTGGCTCAATGACTTGCACCCTGTTCATTTGTGCATAGGAAATTCTAGACAACAAATGCTCAATACATTTCTTGTTTGTTTGTTCCAACAGGTATTGAAAGTTGATGTGACTGACAAAAGAATCAGCCTGCATCGTTTCCAGTCACTGACATGGAACTCTTCCTAAATTTTCAGAACAAAATACTACGAGCAGATTTAAACTACTTATGCTTCATAATCATGTAATTATTATGTATCATCAATTGTTTCATTCCCAGTACTGCTATAATATTTTGTGGATTTTATGTGTGTGTGTATTATGACTCCCAAGATAATATCTCTGGGTCACTTTAATGTATCTGTGTAATTAGTGTGGCACATATGGTTCATCGCATGACATCCATTGAAGATGTGAAGATGAATTAGATCCATGCTGAAGTCTGTGTGTGTGTGTGTGTGTGTGTGTGTGTGTGTGTGTGTGTGTATGGGAGCCCAATCTTGTCATGGCAGCCCCTGTTTGCAGGTAAGCAAAACCTTAAGAATTATAGAAAGGAACTTCTGTGAGTTGGTATAGGGGGAGGAGAACAGTATGCTGAGAATATGATGGAGGAGGAAGAAGAACACAGGAAGGAAGCAGGGAAGATGTGATGTAATGGTAGGCAACAGCAAGAGGGATAGTCATTCTAAGGAATGGTAGCCTTGCAGGGAGGAGAAAGGGA